AGAATTTATGTACAGATGTGCGCGTGTTGCCGATTTGACTGTTAAGCAACTTAATGAGGACTATTAAAAAAAAAAAAATAAAATAAAAAAATAAAAAAAAACAAAACAAAAACAAAACAAAAAAACAATAAAACAATGTTAAATTGTATACTGTATTTTCTTTCTTGGGCTGTTGAATTATTTATCATGGAAATAGCAGAAAAATTGCTGGCAATTATTTTCAGTATTCTTTTTCAACTAACACTACAGTGCTATGGATATTTTTTCCCTCTAAACACGTTTTGCGTGGTATTTAAAATCACAAATAAACAAGTAAAGAATGGTGTAAAGTATCAAACGTCCGTAAAAAAATACTGAAGCATTTTAAAGTATTTCAACAATAGTCCAAAATACTTTTGGGGGTTTAATGACATATTTTTAATCCGAAGAAGGAAAGTATAAAATTTTCATTTTAAAAAAATAATATATTTACAAATTAGATATACATATTGTGAGATCAACAGAAAAAACAATTTTTTGTTGCAAATACATTATAAATCATGTGTATGAAAATCAGAGATAAAAGGATAGCAGCAAATGTTTTATCATCAAACGAAGAAGACAAATATAATATCTTAACACTCAAAATATATATTTACCAATTATCTCTGACAAAAGACCGTTAACTCTATGGGTGCTCATTTCATTGACATAGAGTTTTGTCACATGACGTTGTTACAAACATGATGCCAATATGCTGCACAGCTGATGACTGTGAAGTGTTAAAAATGTATAATACACAACAGTAGCATATTCAAAACGAAATGTAATATATAGTCTAAGTTTTATTTATCATTAATAAATGCTGAACGCTCGTAGCGATTGTGTAACTATCTTACACACTCCATTAATGTATTTCTTGTAAAACCCTTTCTATATGAAATCGTAAATTTATAAATCGCTTATGAATATAAAAAAAGAGATATATTAAAAACAATTTAGTGAGAATACTAGTATTCGAAATTTTTGAGATGTTTTATTCATAACTTTAATAAATAATTATGGTATCAATAAGGAAATGTTTATCGACGCAATAAACAAATAACATCTTTATTTTCTGAGTGCAGTTTCTAAAATTAAAGCCATTTAATTTGTATATATTGTTGTTTTTTTTTTTAAGAAACGGAGAAATATTTTCTTGCTATTTCATGTATGTGAAATTGATTGATCTTTTGACAGAAGAAGAAAATGTAAAATGCTTAAAATAAGACAATGTTGAATTTCATATCCCAACGGGAAATTTTCATGACTCACATGTTTGATTATGTATCAAACAACTGTGCTCGCCCTAGCGCAGCCGCACTGTCAAGATATTGCTTAAATTCCAATACAACAGGCAATTTAAGTTAAAAAAAAAATAAATCTGGTGAATTTTAAAATTTGCAATATGCTTAGAGCTTCCCAGTACTTTCAGTACTTTGATTTCAGAGAGAAACAAACACAAAAATGTGAAGAATTGTTGACTTTTCTAACTTTAAAGTTCAAAAAGCTAAGATTAAAGTTTGAATTACCAACTTTAACGTTGGAAAAGCCGATTTTAAAGTTCGAAAAGAAAATTTAAATTTGACCAACTTTAAATGCAATTTAAAAACATTTTATGGTTTAAATAATGACGACTTACTTTGGATATCAATTCTGCTTATGAAAACAAAATATGAAGTTTATTCCTTAATCAAATTTTATAATTAGCTCAGACCATTGAAGCAAGGTGCATTAATTTTCGCATCATGTTGCAATAATTACCTTGGGTTGGGACTTCATGTTTTACGGACATATTTTAGTTTATTTCTTTAAAAATACAATTTCTTTCCTGAGCTTTTCTTTAACTCCAATGCGTAAATTTGTCTCCCCTATAGGAAGTGGTATTGAATTTAGCAAATATCTCTGTCTATCTTTGTAACAAAACTATGACTTGTTCATTATTTAGAATCCTTGCCTGAAATTCATTTAAATTATGTATAACAGCATGAACAGTGCGACATTAAACTGCGGACACGACATTGTCCAGACTCTTTACTGCCATTTCTAATTGTGATGTCCAAAAATATATTATAGCACTTGGTGGGATTTCTTAGCAGTATCTACGGGTCTCATGTTGAATTCTCAAATATCTTCTTTTTTTTTTTTTTTTTTTTTTTTTTTTAAATATGAAGTCCTAAAAGTCAGAATCCCATGGGAGAATGGTGGGATTTATAGTCCTAACAAAGGGAGAAAAAGTTTCAGATGAGATATTTTCTCCCATTAGGATTTTTTCACCCACAAATTTGATCAAATGTGATAAATCCAATGGATATTGACAATGAGTCATTTTCTTCCATACTTTGTTAAACATAGGGTATACCCCATAGATTATGATAATGATATCTCACTCCCATTTGATCAAATTTGTTGGAGAAAAAATCCCACAATTTTATTTGATCAAATATGCTGTTGATATTGGTTCGAAAGTGGACAATAAAGTTTACTTAAATTTGTATCTCAGAGGTCAAATTATATAAATTAAATTTGTTTGGGATGGGGGGGGGGCTTCAATCATTTTTTTTTTTTTTTGGACAACTCTTCCCCTTAAAAATATCGATTTCGTTCTTGCATTTCCTAACATATTGCATTCGTTTTATTGTCTTTTCTCGAATTGCATTCATGCTAGCTTGATTTACAGAATCTGCATGCAGACTTAATTAATTACTTGCTTCATTTATTTAAGCTATTACTTGTTTCGTTCGTTCGAATTGAGGTTATTGATGATAGTTTAACCTTGCAAAATGAGTCTTATCGTCAATAAATAAATGGAGTCTGTATAACGGATGCTTACGACCGCAATACTAGCATTAACCACCTCAAATCGATTGAAAGAAGATAATTATTCTAATGCAATTTGCTTGTATTTCTTACCACAAAAGCACTTTGCCCCGTTTCAGAACTAGTTCACCCACATCATGAAAGTTCTGTAGATAATCTACACGAAGAGAGAAAAAAAATCATATGTTGGGCAAGATACTTGATGAATTAATTAACAAACGTATAAATATTGAAACTACAAAACTGACATATATTACAGATTCTGATGTTAACAATGTATTAATTTTAACATCTTTTAAGTCTATACATGTATGATTGAAATGCTGGAATAGAAATCGATTTTATCTGTGTATGAAGTTTTTTGGAACGATACTAAGACGAAAAATGAAGGGGAAAAAAAGCGAAGTTCAATGTGTAAATGAAGGTCAAAGTCTGAAAATCAGGGTTTTCATTCAATATTTAGCAGAGTAATAAGTTTAATGACTTTGAATAGTTTCCATGAAGCTAAGACAATTTAAACAAAACATGAGGAAAGGTCAATGTCATAGGAAAGGTCAAGGTCAGAGAATTAAGACAAAGTTAAATTGTTCTAACCAATATCTTTGTATGAAGATTAATTAAGTTCAAGGCCCATTTATACCAGTTCCCAATGCCGTGCGAATGCTAACTCCACAAATGACAATTTGTAGTCGATCGCAGAACTTAAATACGAAGTGATGCGTCTCGTATGTACTTAATATTTGTTGAGCTTTGATGTCATACGGTCACGATTTATCAATTTCAGGTTACACGAACTGTTACGATCACATCACCGTTCAGATACGATCACATACGTTTCAATATTGTTATCTCGATCGGGTCTACGATTGGATCTCGGTCTGACACGATCATCACGATCCGGGTTCCCGATTTGGCACGATCGGGTTCATATACGTTAAAATACGTGAATAACGAACCAATGCGCTATGTTACGATAGAATACGATTAACATTGTGGTCGCAATGTCTTTCACGATCAGGATCGAGAGTGATCACGATTTGAGTTACAACTGGACCCGACGGGCCTGACTGTCTATGGACGTCATCATTTGCACTGATGAGAATTAGAAATTGACTATCGATGTGAAAAATCATTCTTGCGTAGCGATTAAAAAAAGGCTCAGTGACCTACTTCTTAATGTCCGTCTAAGAGACAACATGGAGTTGCCCTTTTAATGCAAGTGTAAATGGTGTAATATTTTTGAACGTAGTAAAAACTTATTTTTAATAAGTTTGAATAAGATGACCATTTTCGTTTGGAACCAAGCTTTTCAAAAGGGCAAGGTCATCAATTTTTATGCTAATTTGGGAGACATCTCAACATATGTGTTCCTGTTATACACGATAGATTTCTTACATCACAATTTAATTGTACGATTAGAAGCGATGTGACACGTTTTGTTATGATGCAATACGATCTGATGCGATTATCACGATTACATAAATCGTGTTACATGTAATCGTAGAAATGCGTCAAAAAAATTCTACGATCAACACAATCGTCATGATTGGCCTCAAGATCTGATGAGATTTGATACAATCATCGCAATTTATGCGCGATTAAGACCACAATTTCCATTGTATCGCAAATAGTGATAGTGGTCCCCTGAACGTAGGCTTAATTAATAAGCTAAATTGAACTAGTTGAACTGAAGTCACAGCAAATCTTAATGCACATATATCAATTTGCTAGAATTTTATTAAATTCAGTGTGAAATTTTGCTAGGAAAAGTACTCAAGCAATGATTGATTTCATTTTGATCCATTTACGAAATGGGATTACAAGAATATAGTTTTTACTTTGACAATTGGGAAATATTCTAATCTATCGCCTTTTTTGTACTGTCTGATCATGACAAATATGGCAAACAGCAAGATTGGAACATATATTAAAAATTTTAAAGAATATGTTTTGTTTTTCCCCCTAAATTAATTTAGAGAGTCATTAGATGTTGGGACATGAGATTTTGATTGACACGTGTTCTCCGCACGGTCGGGTTTGTCAGACAATTTCCTTCACAATACAGCATAAAGACAAAGATCCGCTTGTACAGCGTAATTTGTGCCTGTCTCTGTCTAAATTTGGACACAGTTTTACATTACTTTGTGAAGAATGAAATCATACAAAGGATTTAATGTAGAATCTTAATGGATTTTTTAAACTGTGAACGATTGAAATTATTGAATTTTATTTAAGGAGATATTACGTGCCATGGAAGGATAACATTTCAGAATAATTTTGGATTTATTAACAAAAAATGCTTCGCATGAAAGACCTAAGTCCGGCAGTGAGTGTAGAACCGCGCCCCGGCGCCGCCGGTGGCTCTATTGCGCTATCGCCAAGCACAATAAGTTTTACTTCATTTTTTGACGGATTAAGAAATATCCGGGAAAGTGTTGTTTCTGTGGAAAAGGTAAGTAGTAATACTGCGTAGGATAAGTTTTTGTCACTGCGTTCATCTCAACGTTACCCCCCCCCCCCCTTCAAAGAAAAACATAGTATCCTGAATTTTCAATACAAGTACAGTATGTAGTGTGTAGAGTTCAACAAATGTAACCAATTAAAAAAAAAATATGTGGATTCTAACTAATTCCTAATTAAAAGTTGATAGTATGTTAGGCTTATCTACAAATGTACTAGAAAAATGATATTGGGAGTATGAATAATAGAATACGCAAAGTTCAGAATCTTTTCCCAATAAGTTCTGCGTATGAAAAAAAAAACTTGCAATAGACGGAAAGGTAAGGTGGTTAACCAGACAGGTGTCTCTTCTACCTGTCAGGTGTCAGTCCCTGTGTTTGTCTGCTAACGACGCTGAAAAATGAAGTCAGGTGACAGTTTATTACTTGGGGATATAAAGAACTTTTTTCTTCATTAAAACATGACTGCTGTGTCTTCAAAGTATTTTCATTCTAACTTGTTTAAATTAACAAACAGCATATTATAATTTATACAAAATTCGATACAGTGTTAAGAAAATCACATTCTGTCGGTTTTTTTTTATTAATTGATTAATGCTGCACTTAAGATTACTCGTACTTTTAAGTTCAGTTTTAATATGCAAGCATTATTGTTAATTCAGTGCAAGTTGTGTCATAATTAATTCACAAAAATACAGTTCGTTATATTTTTGTTGACGTGCAATATTCACTTCCGAGGTTCACAACGGTATAATCCTAAATGGAAATAAAAGAATTCAAAATCGAGAGTTAACCTTTGAATACTTAAATAAATATATATCATTTAAAAATCGATATAGAAAAAAATATACATTTGAGAAAATTCAAAATCGATTTTTAAAGATATTTATTTCTATGTGATGGAACTTTAAATTCAAAACATGTGCATCATTTGAATAGAAATAATTTTTAACTGTCAACAATTTGAAACACTTTTTGGCCAATTTACATGTAATTTTACTGTAATATAACGGTACAGGATTTGGACTGAATGTAACAAGTTGATTGGCAAATGCATTGCATTAAATCAGAGAGATGGACAAGTAATGTATACAGAGACCGGGGGCTGTTGTTAGAGCGGTGACAATTGTGTTAAACATGGCGACATATCATTTGTATTTGACAGTTATTGCTAACAATTACCTATTCATACGGCCATTTAATTGAATTTAAAAATGAAATGGAAAAATATATTACATAAGAATGGTAATATTGACGATAAAGGACAAAATAAATGTTGATAGAGTAATGAAATCAGTAACCCCCCCCCCCCCCCCCCTTGCCATCCAAAAGGGACATCTTCAGATGACTCTTCAGATGCACTCTGCTAAAAAACAAGTGTAAGCTAGTGCAATAAAAATTTCTTAAAAAAATAATTAACAAGTGAAAATGATTGAAAAATAAAATTCCAGTATATTTACAGAAGGAGACATCTTGGATAGAGAGAACATTTTACAAGAGAGAATGCATTACATTTATAGCTGACCCAGAAGACCAGGACAGGTATGATTATATGATTTATAACCTAAATGACAATGTGAGCAGAAAGTAGAACTGTGTGTTAATTATAAATAACATTGTGGAACATTAGTTGTTTATCTATAGAGAGAGAGAGAGAGAGAGAGAGATTAGCCGGAAATCATTCTCAAAATCATTATCTCAATTTGTCAAAATTGATGCCTTCTGCAAAGAAAGATAACTCGAAATTAGAGAAAATATATTTCCCTTGCAAACTTAAATGATTTGTTAAACATTTACCCCCTATCTCTTACGAAGTTTTCTTTTTTATCCCCATCTTTTGTGAGAAAAATATCATAATTACCAAAACCAGATCCCTTTGAATTTCGTTGATGAGAAGATACGTTTTGAAATATGCTTTGTTTATGTAAAGGAAGTGACCTACTCAGGCCCCACTTAGGATTAGAAACAGATTTAGACTTTACTCAAAATTTTAATGATCTATAAAATGTTTATAACTTATGAACTGAAACTCTTAATTTGCATATAACAGATAGGTGCAAATTAAAAATCATTCCAATTTTGGACTGCTTGATTTCTAGATCATTTCGGCGTAATAAACATTTCTTGACTTAAGCTTAAAATGCTTCATAATCCTGTGGCCTTATGTGCAAGACAATCGGGGAAATTCCAACATCCACCTATATGTTCAATTAATTTCAAAATCTAATCAAATCGTCCAGGCCTCGACAAGATACAACTTTACAAATGTACCTTAGTTAACTCATACTAGAACAAACATTCTGAGAGTATTGCATTAGCAATACTACTCCCCTACCGGCAAGTGTAATCTGGTTCCCGTTGAAAATTGAAAATGCCATAATTCTGTCAAAAATCAATGAAACGGAATGAAGTGCAAACTTGATGTATAACTCATCAAGGTAAAGTCACATACCAAAAATCAGCTCAATATCTGGAAGCGTTTAGAGAAAAATTGCGGAAAGCCGTGAAAAATTGAAAAGGGCATAATTCCGTCTAAAATCATTGAAGCGGAACGAAATGCAAACTTGATCTGTAACTCATCAAGATACACTCACATAGCAAAAATCAGCTCAATATCTGCAAGTTTTTAGAGAAAAAGTGCGGAAAACCAAGTGGGACAGACTGACAGACAGACAGAGGGACAGCTAGACAGACAGACGGACGGACAGACTCAGGGGAAACCTATAGTCCCCTCCGGTTTCACCAGTAGGGGGCTAATAAAACATTCAGGCAGACAAACCAGGCATTAGTTACCATTCAGTGTTCGCATGGGTTTCTAATATTTTCTTTTTTTTTTTCACAGATGCTGTTGTGGTCGCTCCGCCCTCAGGCATGGAGAGGACTTAACAGAGGAAGCGCCCTCCAGTAGGCAATGGTTGCCTGGTCTACACACGACACCCGCACCCACTGATGCATTTGGAACCATTGAGTTCCAAAGTGCAGGATTCCCCATAAAAGCACAGGTATAATAGGATAGTTAGCTATAGTTCAGAAAAAAGCTAAACGATTACTTTAAGAGAAATTTCATATTTGAATGGAGTAATAGGCGACATAATTAAACAAGCATTCTGAGAGTATTGCATTAGCAATACTAGTCCCCTACCGGCAAGTGTAATCTGGTTCCCGTTAAGAATTGAAAATGCCATAATTCAGTCAAAAATCAATGAAGCGGGACGAAATGCAAACTTGATCTATAACTAATTAAGGTATAGTCACATACCAAAAATCAGCTTAATATCTGAAAGCGTTTAGAGAAAAAGTGCGAAAACCCCTAAAAATTGAAAAGGCCGTTATTCCGCCAAAAATCAATGAAGCGGTACGAAATGCAAACTTGATCTGTAACTCATCAAGATACACTCACATACCAAAAATCAGCTCAATATCTGCAAGCGTTTAGGAAAAAAGTGCGGAAAACCAAGTTGGACAGACTGACAGACAGACAGACGGACAGACAGACAGCTAGACAGACAGACGGACGGACAGACTCAGGGGAAACCTATAGTCCCCTCCGGTTTCACCGGTAGGGAACTAATAAAATGCCGAAAGAAACCTCTTTGATGAGCGCACGAAGAATTGAAGATATATAGTTTGTGTGAACATATTTACTTTCTTCACACACCATATTTATTGTAGGTAATATGTTTAAGGTATTTTAAACGCAATAAAACAGAAAAGAGTCGAAACAAACACAAGGGGAAATGAAATGATCGTTATATTCTAAAGAGGGTTTGGTTTTGCAAGCCGTAACTATATTGGAGGAACGGAACGGGTCTAAAACTTTTCGTGTGTGTTGATGTTTTCAATGTAATAATTTTCTACCAATTTTCTAACTATTTTCTCTCTAATTTTCACAATTATTATTAAATTAAATCTTTTTCGAAAAAATTTTCAGTATGTGCGAATGTCAACACTGGACACAAAAACAGAAAACGTTTTGCAACTTCTGCAGAAACAGTGGGGTCTAGACCTACCCAAGCTCATTATAACCGTGCATGGTGGTATTGCTAATTTTGATCTCTCGCCAAAAATGAAACGTTCCTTCCGGAAAGGGGTAGCAAAGTTTGCCAAGACAACAGGTGCATGGATTTTTACCACTGGAATTCGGACAGGTAAAGAAAGCTCATGTACTTTAACTCTAGAATTTTTTTTTTTTTTTTTGTTAGTTTGTATGCAAGGTTATTAAATATTTCGGTCATTTCTTTTAATGTAGGTGTAACTAGACATGTTGGAGCAGCTGTCGGCGAAAGGCGATCCAAACAGGCCAGACGGAAATTGGTTACCATTGGGGTTGCACCTTGGGGAGTTATTGCAAACAAGGAACATCTTGTTGGAAAAAATGTACAGTTTAATAAAGATATTCAGCAAAGCAAAATCTTCCCAACATATACTCCCCAAAATAGAAAAAAAATTGAACACGTTTAAACATTTTTTTTTTAAAATTTTATAGATCATTTGTCAATCTCATCACGTGATTGCATCTTCTGGCCAATCAGCACTCGACAGCAATCATTCTTACTTCCTGTTGGCAGATAATGGGACAGTCGGGGAATTTGGGGCAGAAGTCATCTTTCGTAGGAGAATCGAGCGATATTTAAATCAACAAAAATCATCAAAAGGTACAAAAAAATTGTATTCACAAAGCTGACGATTATTTACAATTTCGTTTCATTTATTTCAGTTTATGACCAATTTCTAAATGACTGCAATGGAAAGTGATAAAGACTGAATGATAACCCTTGACATTAACTTCATAAATGAAACTAAATTTAAACTAAGCAATATTTATTTTAAATAATTAGGGATCAACATTCCCATGGTTTGTGTGGTGCTGGAAGGGGGGATGAACACGATTAGGGCGGTGTTAGAATATGTCACAGACACGCCTCCTATTCCTGTGGTTGTTTGCGCAGGAAGTGGGCGTGCCGCAGATCTTATCTCATTTGCATATCAAAATACAAAGAAAGAGGGGTAGGTCACGAGACTTTTGCAAATTGCATTTCTTGTTAATTACATATGGATGATTATAAATACTGTATACAAGAGCAGATCTATTAATGCATTTTCTACTTATGTGTAAACAGAAAACTTCCTGATAACCTAAAGCTAGTCTTAAAGGACGCAATACAAGACATGTTCACATGCACCGAGGACCAAGCCAAAGAACTCTATCTAGAAATCTTACTGTGTGTACAGAAAAGAAACCTGGTAAAGTTGGAGGTTATATACATTCAAAGTTAACATTTTTATGTCATTTTCATATTTTGATTTTGTGTTTGATTTGCATCCATAGTCCTCAATCAGTCAGTGTGCTGCCTGTTGTCAAACCTTTATCAATATTTTCACTTAAAGTTTATGTCTGAGGACCTTTTGAGAAATGACATCGTACGTCATTCATGCATTGTGCCTGTGAACAGAGAATATATCTTTATATATAGCTCTTGTGACGTGACATCTTTTATACCTTTAGATTTTTTGTGTGTTACAGATTACCATAGTGAATCTTGCCGATGAAAATCAGGAACTAGACCTCTGTATTTTGACTTCCCTATTGAAAGGTATCATAAAAACACATTGTCAGTAATAATTATTTTTCAAAAACCCACCGGATCAGTACCTGTTTTCGACTGCATATATTTCCATAGAGACTGTAAATTATGTATGGATTGACGCATTTAGTTCACAAACAAGATCGATATATGCACAAAAATTGTAATTTACTAGAATTAGTAAGCATTCAGTATAAAAGACATATTATAATTGGGGCCCCGCTCTGCGGGTGCCCTATAGTGATCAGTCTGTCCGTCCGTCCGTCCTTCCGTCCGTCTGTCCGTCCGAGATCTCTTGTCCGGAGCATATCTTCTCTCTCCTTGGCCCAATCTGGCTCATACTTCACCCACAGAGTGTCTTTGGGTAAAGGGTGTGCAGTGACCTTGAACCATGTTTCTAGGTCTAAGGTCAAGGTCATAGCAGAATTATATGAAAAATCCTTGTCCAGAGCATATCTTCTCTCCTTTGATCCACTTTGGCTCATACTTCACTCACAGAGTGCCACTGGTCAATGGATGTGCAGGGACCTTGAACAAAGTTTTTAGGTCAAGGGTCAAGGTCAAATATAGCCTCTATGTTTAAATTCTTGTCCGGAGCATATTTTCTCTCTCCTTGGCCCAATCTGGCTCATACTTCACCCACAGAGTGTCTTTGGGTAAAGTATGTGCAGTGACATTGAACCATGTTTCTAGGTCTAAGGTCAAGGTCATAGCAGAATTATATGAAAAATCCTTGTCCGGAGCATATCTTCTCTCCTCTTGGTCCAATGTGGCTCACACTTCACTCACAGAGTGCCACTGGTCAATGGATGTGCAGTGACCTTGAACAAAGTTTTTAGGTCAAGGGTCAAGGTCAAAAATAGCCTCTATGTTTAAATTCTTGTCCGGAGCATATTTTCTCTCTCCTTGGCCCAATCTTGCTCATACTTCACCCACAGAGTGTCTTTGGGTAAAGTATGTGCAGTAACCTTGAACCATGTTTCTAGGTGTAAGGTTAAGGTCATAGCAGAATTATATGAAAAATCCTTGTCTGGAGCATAACTTCTCTCCCCTTGGTCCAATATGAACCATACTTCACTCACAGGGTGCCACTGGTCAATGGATGTGCAGTGGCCTTGAACAAAGTTTCTAGGTCAAGGGTCAATTTCAAAAATAGCCTCTGTGTTTAAAAATCTTTGTTCGGTGCATAATTTCTTTCCCTTAAGTCCAGTCAGCCTCAAACCTTACCAATTGACTTGGGTACGGAACAATTGTGATTTTCCATCCATATTTCTGATAGATGATATGCAACAATTTTCATAGAGGATATGCAGCATTCGTGATTTTTGTGCCGTTTTTTGATAGAAGGTATTGAGCACTCGTAATTTTCTTGCCATTTTTTATTATAACAAGGATAACATAGAAGCCCTTTAGACTCAAACAACACATCCCTTAATAGTACACAAATGTTCCTCTTCAAAATAAACCCTTTTCAGCTACCTTACATTTTCATGTTCATTGCTGAAAGTGGGGCTCTTTGAGATGGTCACCATCTCAATGATATCTAGTTTCAATCTGTACTTACTCTCAGGTACCTGTAGCACTATTGCAGAAAAATTGCGACTGGCATTGATGTGGGACCGAGTAGACCTCGCCCAGGATCATATCTTAGATGCAGAAAAAGCAAGAACGGTATGGATGTCAATTATATCTTTTATCTTCACTGCTTTTATGGATGAAATGGGTGGTACTAGAACCAAAATGAAAGAATGGCAATATCATGTTTCTGTAGTAACACTCTAGACTAGATGACTAGATATATTTCTGAGGAGTAGAAAAAAAGAAAAGAATGTTTATGTTCAGTGTTTTTGTATGGTATGATATCAATGTTTATGCTCAGTGTTTTTGTTTGGTATGATATCAATTTCATTTAGGATGAGTCCTTGGAGGAAGTTTTGATGGAGGCTTTGATAAGTGACAAGGTGGACTTTGTTAAACTACTTCTGGAGAATGGTGTCAGTGTACATTCTTTTCTAACAGCCAACAGATTAGAAGATCTCTATAACGTGGTTAGTGTGAAGGAAATATATATATTTTAATTAAAAGGAAAATATACAAAAAAATTCTGACTTGAGGACCCATGCTACAAACAAAAAAAGCGGATGCATGAATTGGTATATATCTTTGGACTTATTTTGATTCTAAATGATGTATATATCAAATTTCTAAAATATGAAGAAATTGTAGATTTTCTATGTTCAAATTTCTTCCTGTTTGTCACCACCATTATAAATCTATACCTTACATATCACTTTATGCATATAAGTGATTAACTTTTCAAACAGCAGTTGTACCTTCTTTGAGGGATGTTTCTTCCCCTAGTTCTTACTAATACTGTATCTTTCACAGACACAGTGCCAGTTTAACCCAGTTCGTTATTTCATAAAAGGTTTGCGAAAGGTAAGTCGTTTTTAACTCTAGACAAAGAAATAAAGATTTTGAAAGCAAAGACAAGGCAAATGTACATTTCCTGTATCAAGAATTTGACATATTTCAGAACTTATATCCTAACTATCGCTTCACGCTGCCAGATATTGGTCTGTTAATGGACAGCTTAATGGGTGGAGCATTCAAGTCAATCTATTCTGACAAGGACTTCCGACAAAAATATGCTGCATTCAAGAGACTTGTAAGTATACTAATCTCTTTTGTATGATTAACAGTACACAGGATGGATTTTTAAATTTTTCAGCCTTATTTGCCATTCTTTCACAGAGTTCTACCGGAAGTAAGAGGGATATGATGAGCGAATCTTCCCTGAAGTGTGACGTCAGAAAGTCAAGGCTATTTCGGTATCCGTTTCACGACCTCATGTTCTGGGCAGTGTTAATGAACAGACAAAAGATGGCGATGTATATGTGGCAGCAGGGTGATGAAGCAATGGCCAAGGTTTTTATACTATTCATTAAAGAGGTTTAATGAAAGTTTATACATATTTTAAAAATCTAGTTCAGTTCCTTTGGAAAGGGAAAATTTATATACGTTACTCAAGAAAAATCATTTATGATAAAACACATTAATAGATTCTTCCTTCCCAAGTGGGTGATTATTTTAAATTCCCTTTCATCGTGTTTTGTAGATATCATTCAATGGTTCTTAATGTCTGTATAATATTGAGAAATTAATGTATTTTAAATTTTTTTCTGTATACAGGCTTTAGTTGCTTCCAAGTTGTACCAAAAAATGGCCCAGGAAGCAGACGCGGATGAAATGAAGAGCGGGGTGTCGGGCCAGCTAATGGACCATGCAGAGTAAGAGGAAACTTTATATTTAAACATAAGATATCCATTTGAATAATTTTTTTATGAATTGTAATAAGAACAATTAGAAAGTACAGGTAATTCTTATGAGATTTGGGATGCATGAAGCAATGTAATTGATCTAGCTATTACAATAGAAATTGTTGAAACAAGTAAGCACAAGAAAACCCACACATTTTGATGATATTGACAGAGAATTCATGAAGGTAGCGATAGAATTTTTGGACCACTGCTATCACTACAATGTAGACTGCACACAGAAACTCCTGACAGAAGACCTGAACCATTTTTCGAACACAACCTGTATAACTTTGGCAGTTGACATTAGACACTATGATTTTGTGGCTCACAACTGTTGTCAGAACCTTATAAACGACATCTGGATGGGCGGCCTCCAAACAAGAAAAAACAGCAGCATTAAAGTGAGTTACGGAATTTGAAGTCAACGAAACTTGAAATTTAATCATCGTATATTCATTTATATCAATAAAAACTTTAAGTTGTGTAAATGTTATATCGATGATATAATCTATCATTGTGAAGATGCCAGTTCATGACATTTATCTTTATACTGGAAAACATAATATAAGGTGATATACGTATTATATGTGTAAAGTATAGTTGCTATATTTTTGTTTACATGTACCAACATATTGGTTGGGTTTTTTTCTTTACATGACGAATCACAGGCACTTGTTTATGCAATAACATTAAGCCAAATTTTATAAATTTGAAATTGGCAAGGTCATTGCTGGAGTTTTGTTTCCACCGTTACTTACTATGCTGGATTACAAGTCAAAGAAAGAGATGAAGCTCATGCCACAAACAGCAGAAGAACATTTAAAAGAAACGATAGAAGATGATAGCGATGACAACGACGAGAATGACAATGACGATCTGGATGATGATAGCATTCAGCAGGTAAAATATGGTTAGAACTGACAATCAATTACGATTTTAAGAGTTTTATGCTTTCTTTCAAGTGACAATTTGAAGGGGGAAATTATTTACAAGGCATCTAGATAGAGTAATCATGAACACATACAAGTTAAATAAGTTTGACAGTCTCAGAATGAGAAAGGATGAATGATATGCTGGAAAAAGTTCTTACTGTTACAGATTTATAAGACCTTTTGACATAAAAGAAATTGCTGCATAAAACATGCTAGCTTCATCAAGAAATAAGCTATAAATGTTGACATGTCCTTCATACTTTGTCTGCAAATACCCCATCTAGAAATTATAAAAGGAACTTCTAATTAATGAAGATATGTTCATTCTTTTTAAGGAAACTTCCATGCAGACTCTTCCAACATCGAACTCTCTACCGAAGTTAGGTGATGCTTTGAAAACCAGTAACAGGCCTCCTATGATCAGATCTGCAGTAAGTAACAGTCAACTGCCATTATTTATTTTTTAACTATTTAGTTTTATTTTTGTAGTTCCATTTGTGCAATCAAGGCAATTATTTGCTGCATTGTATACATCAGAAAATTATATTTCCATTGAAATACCACTAAACAAGATTCTCAGAGACGATTTAGCCCTCATCTGACTACAACTTAAACAAAATTACTAATCCTGTATAAAATAAAAAACCTGTCACTCTTATTTATGCCAAACTCGTGGATCAGCAAATTTAAATCTCTGGCTGAGTAATCATTTGTGTTTGTGATCGACTGCTTTAATATATAGATAATAAATCATTAATGAAAACTTACCTCTACTCACTAAATTAGGATTTTTCTGTAATGACAACAATTTTCAAACGTTAGATGTAGATAATAATGAAATCCAAGGAGGTTTAGTACACTTTACGTTTAGTATATTGAATTGATACAAATCATTGCTGAAAATTAAAATTTCATAACGAAAACTGTAAATACCTATTGTCAAAGTTATCTTTATCTTAATAGGTTATTTTAGAGATGTCTCTCAGAGTAGATAACTTTTAAGAGTTACCTATCTTTGCAGAGAGTCAATTTTACCTTAAAGATATTAAATATCATTTGCAGAGTATGCATTTTGAAAACCAGAGAAGGATAAGTCGTCAGGATCTGAAGACATTACAGAAGATTGCAAACAAGAACAAGGAATGTAACATCCTTCCCCACTTAAAGAAACCACTTAAACTTAGAAAAATGATTCACAAGTTCTACACGGCACCTATTACAAAGTTCTGGTTCTATCTGGTAAATATCTCCGCAACCATTTTGTAGATTAGAATGTTGAAACCTATACAGCAAACCATAGAGTATGCCCATAAATTACTTACATTTATTACAAATGTCAAGAAGTTAAAGTAATTCTTTATTGTATCCTAAATTTACATTACTGTGTTTCAATGTACGTTTTGCTGCCAAAATAATGTTTCATGATAAGATATCCAGTAATTTTTTTATTAGATGAAGTAAATTTCTTATGTTGATTAACTCCAATTTTTTTTTCCAAAAAGTGAATGGAATGATTGAAAACAACCCATTCATCAAATATTACTGGAAAGTCTATAAACAAAGAAAACCATCCAGCAGTATTTTTTCACTTTTTCAATTCTGTTTACATTTACTAGATAACTTACATTGCTTTCCTGGTGGCCTTCAGTTACACCATTTTGGTCAGAACTTTGCCCAGCCCAGCATGGCCTGAAATTTTTGTCATGATCTATTTACTATCATTCACTGCTGAAAAATGTCGGGAGGTATGATTAATAAGTAAATACAGATTTTGATAATTTTAACTTTATCAAAAGTAGTTTTCTCGTAAATTCTAGTATCTCTGTTGGTATTTCATTCAAAACCTTCACAATTATTTTTATATGATATGATTAAGGTTTGAAAAACGCATTTTGCATTGTTTAACAGAATTGATATTATTGAATTATTAAGTTTTTAAATTATTTTTAAGCTGTTTATCTTAGTACCTGGTCCGTTGAAGATAAAACTCCGAGTGTTTGCTAGCTTCTACTGGAACATCTGGGATATGGTAGCCGTGTTGTGGTTTGGTGTTGGGGTCGTCTTGAGATTCAACCCTTCTACTTTGAGGGCCTCGCGAATAGTTTACACACTAAACATTGTCTTCTTTTACATACGGATTCTGGGAATTCTGTCAATTAACAAAGCCCTTGGAGCCTACTCAAAAATTATTGGGAAACTGGTAACTTTTCCTATCATTGTTAAATGGAAAATTTAAATGTGTTTCAATATCTCCTAGAAAATTCTTAACTTTTCTTCAATATTTATGACAATTGACTGTTTCAGTATAAGTAAGGTCAGTAATGATAGTAAAAGAACAAATATATAGAGATTTTACTTTAAATTTGTAAAATAGTGAAATTAATATATTTCTGATGTTGTCAATGATGTTTATATCAAATAACTGAGGTTTGCCGATGTTGGAGTATTTACCGTAAGTGAACTTGTTTTTCTTTTTTCAGTTGAAGCACATGTGTTACTTCTCCGTCATTGTTTTCATTGTTGTGGCCTGTTTTGGTGTCGTTAGACAAGCAGTACACTTCCAGAATGAGGAATGGTCTTGGTTCATGGTTCGATCCATGTTTTTCTATCCCTACTGGATGATTTATGGAGAAATTTTCAAAGAGGAAATTGACAGTAATAAATATGAATATATTTATTCACGTTTTTTTAAAATTATTAAATAAAACTGTTTTGAACAAAATACAATCTTGTATAGAGCAGCTGCAAATACACATAACAGTCGAAGGAATATGTTTGACTACTCCACTTTATAACAACACACTCTTCTTCAGTTTACACCAGCCTTGTTGTTTTTCCTTTATTCCCATCTTGTCATGTTGTTTTACCATATACTAACTATAAAATGCCTCCCCTTTATCAGGGAAGAAAGTTAAATGTATATATAACCGCTAATTGCAACGAGTGTCGTCGACCTATTAATCTGATTACCAGTTACATTTTCTTCTGTAGTGTCGTAACATGTTATGTCCTGTATCCCTTTACCTCTTCTATTCAGAGTCTCTGACTTTTTACTATTACCTTTGTCTCCTTTACTTTGTAATAGTCTATCCTATACCTCCGTGTTATTCATTTAACAGCTAGTCCTGATACTTTGATATCTTCATTCTGTTGATTCATACTGATTCGTTTATATCCAATATATCCTTAAATTATCTTGTACATTGATTCCATTGTATATTCTTTACCATTACCGTTTACTGCCTGTACTGCTTCTGTGATGTTTCCTCTCTATAGATATCTTCTTTCCTGTGATTCTATCATCTTTATGACATTCTCTATCCGGTTTTCTTGTACAATTTACACCTGCCGCTATTAATTAAGATGTCTTTATAAATTCTTTTGTCTGCTTTATTCTTGCTCTGAATCTGTGTTGATTTAACCTTTTTTTTTTTATCTTTTCCATCATTGAGTTTATGGTTTTATTATGCTCATCTTTTGTTTTATACTCTGTGCTCTCTGCGATGCCTCTTTTACGTTGCTGAATTCTTTCTTCCTTACGCCGCTTTCAGGCACTAAATGCGTCGTTGAGTTTGTTTTTTGTCATCTACATGTGTATTACAATCTGTATTCGACATTTCTTAGCTCCATGTTCATGTAATGTCACTATTCAGTTACAGCTTTTTCATCACTCCTCTATACCTTTCATTCTTCTCTTTCAGCCTGTACTGACCCTGTGAATCACCCTGACGGTTGTACCTATGGATCCTGGGTATCTCCTCTAGCTATGTTTGTTTTCCTCCTCGTTGTATTCATTCTTCTTGTTAACCTCCTCATCGCAAGGTTCAAGTAAGTAACCTCTAACAGAACGATAATTCTATAAATAGCAAAGGGGATTTTCAAATTTTAGTTTACTTGTATCATCATATTATCACTGTTTTTGTTGAATCTTTAGATTTCCTTAGTTGAAAAAACAAAATTAACATCCAAAAGCCTATTTTGTCCTTTTATTATAATGCGGAATTCTTTGTCTAAAAATATCTTTTGCCAAAGAAATTGTCTATTTGCTTGGCCTTTCCAGTGCCACGTGCATTAAGTTTATCCCTCGAGTTCGGGAGGTCTGGAAATACCAGCGCTATAACCTGATCCGGAAGTATAAACTGTGTTCACTTTTGCCCCCTCCACTAACTGTGATCAGCTTGATTTACCAGTTCTTTAAATATCTCGTCTGGAAATGCCAGGGAAGGGAGGACTTCCATGACAATGGACTCAGTGAGTAGTGTTTTGACAGTTTTACGAAGTGGAAAGGTGCCAAGAATCTTCATTGTAAAACAGATAAAACCAGTTTACACAATTTAAATTTCTTTATTTTCTGTAACTGAGGTAAAATATTGTGCTTGCAAAGTTCAGTATGATCCGGCGGCACGGGGGTATTCATACGGGCCTTTGAAGCAGCATATTTACCTTCCGTAACTAGACACGTGTCGCAGATTGCTGCAATTGAATATTTATTATATATTTGCACATTTTTCCTGTTATGGTGTAAATACTGTTATTGACATTTTTTACGTCATGTATGTATAAGCTTTGTTTAAATAGCATAACTTATATTGATATTTTTGACTTGCGATCTTACGCACTGTAAAAGATGTTTAATTATGACTCCGTAAAGTAATTATCCTTTAATTATCTTTGCTTACAGAAATATTCTTACCTGACAATGAGAAAGAAAAACTTCACGGTTTTGAAACAGAGTGTCTTGAGGGATACTTAAGACACAGAGAGCACAAGCTACAGACCTCCTCCAATAAAAGAGTGTCTGCTATCTGTGAGAGGTACGCATCAAATTGATAATTCCCAGCATCATTAAAAATGATTGATTAATGAGTGGGACAGGTGCTTCTTTTAGTATAATACCTCTCCTTTTAGTTGAATGTTCATTCAATTTATTTTACAAATTTTTTGTATTCTTTGAGTTATTTTACGCTTTAAATTATTTTAAGAACAGATATATATACAGCTATATGAATAGATAAAAAAAAATGGTTAAAAGCGTTTTTTGTATATGAGCTACTGGTAACAATTTTTGACTAGTGTGACGGCCAACGATTTAGATTTACGATAGTATGTTAGAGAAATAACCAAAAAAAGTATATGGTGAATACATTTTCCTTATAAGTACAAAGGCTGTTTTGATGTTTAATATTTTTAGGGTGAATCAGCTCTCATCGAAGATAGATGATATATCTTCACAAGAAAAAACTTTCAGAGAATCCTTGCAAATCGCCAAAAACGGGGTCAGTAAATTAGAGGAGATCTTCATGAAGAATCAAGAGGCTGTGACGTTGCTGAGTCGAATACTTCCGGGCTTTCAAACGCATGCGCAAACTATTGACAACAAGAGTCATTCGCGACAATAAGATCAAGGAATTCTTTATATAATAAATGAGGAAGGGACAATGTTTTCATCCAATTAGAACTTTTAGTTTGATTTTTGCCTTTACTGGTTTGTTAATTTGTTTTTGATTTTTTTTTTTTGGTTGGGAGATGGGGTTTCTTTTTGATTGTTTTATATGTTTGTATTTTTTGACACTATTTTGTCATATGCCAATTATTTAATCTTATGTAAGTGCCAAAATCAAATTGTAGCTTGTTTGGAATGCATACGTAACGTAATCACTAAAACAGTACAAGCTCACCCACTTATGCAAAAAATGTTTTTGTTTCTATTTAATTATAAAGCATTCAGCATTGTATTATAGCTTATGCAATGAAAATGTGGTGGTGATTTTTTGGTGGCCAAGTGCCCATATGTACATGACTTTGTACTGAAAATTAATCAAAGATTCAACAAGAAAAACGTATAAATTAAGTGTCTATATATTTCACCAACTTCATGATTGTATGGTTAATGAAATTTTGTTTCTTTTCCCCTGCAAATTCCATTTATGTCATATATTCAACACACAAAATTTGCAGTTTTATTTAAAAAATGAAATGCTGACAAACCAGATAATGCAAAGAATGTGTTGATTAACATTGTGTTAAGGACCAAACATTTGTTAAGTCAAATACCATTATACATGAGTAATACTAATAAAGAAAAAAAATCATTGATTCTCCTAAACAAGCAGTTTCCCCTTGATATTTGTGTGACTGTACATTATATATATATATATATATCCGATGTTGACACAATCACAGCATCATCTGCATCAGCGTTGTAAACAACAGAACAAGTACCAAAGCCAAGTGGGAGAACTGAAGGTGTTCTGAAATAAAATAAAAACAACTTTATTGAATCTTACAGTAACAGAAAACCCAGGTATTTGTTATCTTACAAATTGATGATAAAGGAGAAATAATTTAAGAGAACATCGATGGTATTCATTGTGTTACATGTATAGTTGAATAAACAAAAAAAATCTTCAACTAAGGACTATTAATTATACCTCCTGCACTCTGACACGTCATCATTTGAGCTGCCTGACATCCTGCATAATTTACATCTTCATCACTTCCGTCGTCGCAGTCCTTTGAGCAGTCACATTGGAATGTGTTGTCAATGCACGTGATTCCTCCCGATTCGCACGTGAACCATCCGGCTGGGCATAGCTTGAAGGAATAAGTAAGCAAATAATTGACATTTTCCCACCAATATGTATCAGTACCAGGGATTTATCAGTACCTTCTCAGGGGCCGAAATTCGGCCCCATTCCCAATTGAAAATGAGTTAAATTTTTCCCAATTTGGCAGTATTTTTTCCCAATTGGTGAACAATGCTTTTATGTTTAATTATCTTGGAAAAAACACCAAGTAAAATTGTCAGATCGCCTGTAATTTTCCTATGTTTAACTTAATTAGCAAAGGTACAGTCATAAAACATGTTTAAAAAACATCGCCGACTTTTAATCCGAATTTCCTCGGTTTTTCTGAAAATGGTGATATTGCGTAATAATATAGATTTATTAAGTTATTTCCACATACTCAATTGATCTATGAGTGAATGTTTAGAACTGTAGGCATTATTTCAGATAGAAAACATATTTTCAATGCATTTTTACATATTAAAAGGGGACTTTGAGAAAATGTGTACTTAATTAGTATAATATTTTGCAGGAGGTTTATAATCTCCAAAACAGATTCTAATGACCTAAATTGGAATTTCATACACACATGTACTACTGATATTTGTATAGATACTTTATACTTTATTTATAAGTTATCTTGTTTGATGAAGTTGGATCAGATTTAATTGTCTGTTTAGTTGCCCAACTTAGAGTTCATGCTGAAATGTTAAATGAATTACACCTGAATACATGATGTAAGCAAGATTTTTTATTTTTCCCAATTTCATCAAATTGCCGATAAATTTTTCCCAATTCTCAAAAAATGGCGTTTCCCAAAATAAGCTGATAAATCCCTGAGTACATACATGACATAGCCTCTTGCAGAGCTTATTTATTTTACAGATAAACAGAGATAATCTTTCAAATTAAATTGTGGAAGACCTCTTGTTAGACGTTTTGGTTAACTATGTCCAATAGTTGGTAAAGACCTCTCTTTTTTTAATAAATTTAAATTCACATACTTGTTGGTACGTCCCTGCTGCCACAGTAGGACATGGCGCAGAGTTACAGTCAGTCAAGTCACTGGCACTTCCAGGACAGTTCTTTCCTCCATTAGCGGGTTTAGGATTTGTACAAAATCGGGTTCGAGATTGCTTTCCTCCTCCGCATGAAACCGAGCAGGCTCCATATCCAGACCAATTAGTCCAACTGCCGTCAACTGTCGTACAAAAGAGGGAATTTTAAGCCTTATAACTCATTATATGTATTCCATTTTTAACTTGTCAATATGCACGAGAGTTTTATTCTATCACACATGGACACACAATATTCGGTCATGAAGGTAAGACATTTTTTTTTTTCTACTTACTGATACAAACTTGAGTGTTGCAGTCTTGGGTGCTTGTGGTCGTTCCACTGCATTGGGCACCACCATACTGTGGGGCGGGGTTTGTACATGTCCTCTGTCTGTCCTGAGTACCTCCTCCACATGTTACTGTACAAACTCCCCATGAGCCCCAGTTGCTGAAGCCGCCATCGACTGAAATCCAACTCTTAATTTTATTGTAATTGCACCAATAGAAAGTGTGTTCTTACAAAGTTATCATTACCAACTGTATTTAGCCAAAACATTACTTGTGTTGTAAAGTATAACTTTCAATTTGTCACAACAATCTTATGTCATAACTGCTAACTTACTTGGACATGGCTGGGTATTGCAGCTTTGAGTCGATGTGGCAGAGTTTGGACAAGCTTTCCCGTTATATTGTGGTGCAGGGTTTGTGCACGTGCGGCTTCGGGACTGCGAACCTCCTCCACAAGTGACGGAGCAGGTGCCCCAGTTACCCCAATTTGCCCATTTCCCATCAACTGTAATATAAAATACACTTCTATCATCTGTTAATGAAAAAAATTGTTAATAGACGACCAAGAGAGACTCTCCAGTCACTTAAGGGGACATCGGAAAAATAAAAAATCTTTAACATATGGTATACAATGAAAATGATAATGTAGAAAATCCAGCTCTTGGTACAGTTAGATATGTATATAAACTTACTTGGACAGTTGTGGGTGTTGCAGACACGGGAATGGGAAGACATTCCTACGCATGCTTTACCCAGATACTGTGGGGTAGGGTTTGTGCAAGTGCGAGATCTCGTCTGTATACCACCCCCACAGGTCTCGGTACAGGATCCATAGGCTGCCCAAGACGCCCAATTGCCATCGACTGCCAAAATAGTTGTCAACTTGTATTTAAAGTTAAAGCTTCCAATGCCGTCTACAGTTTCATGTTTTTGCCAATACGAACATCCCATAAACTTTCAGAATTAGGAAATGTAGTATTTTTTTTTAATAATTCAATACCTTTAGCCAACATTTGATAGAGTCCTCTCAGATTAGTTTTTGAAAGGGGACAAGCATCAAATGGGCTTGTCGATCGATTATCATTGTTTCCTTTCTTAATATTTGAATTGAAATCTGTTCTCGATTTTTAAGATTTTAAGAAATAAATTTGTACACCCAAAAGTAAAACTATAACCCTTCTCCTTTATCCTGCCTGGTGGAGGTTACTTAACAATGCTAATCAGAGCCTATAGAATCAGTACTCTTTTTGGATGTTTATACAGAACGTACAAGTTATTTGTTTCAAAACTGAAATATTACTTGGGCAGTGGTGTGTGTTGCAGTCTCGGGAACTGCTTGTCGATCCTGAGCAGCTTTTTCCGAGGTATTGTGGGGCTGGATTCGTACAAGTACGACTTCTTGACTGTTTTCCGGTGCCACAGGTCTTAGAACATGTTCCATAGCTTGACCATGAAGACCAACGACCGTCAACTGTAGATTGAAATGAGTCATATGTACGATAAACGATATTCCAAATGACATATATTGTGTCATTGTTTATCATGACATAATGACATTGTTTATCAAAACAAACAATCATAAAAATTGTGTTCAGAGGTGTTTAGCGGGAAAAAAAATAAATATTCGATATTAATTTATTGAAAATATCTAAAAAACAAGATGTGTTTCTGAAACACTGATGCCCCCGTATGGCAACTTATAGCAAAGGTTAAACTTTCTCAAATGCAAATCAAATATGTTGGTACCCAAAGTAAGGTCTTGTCTCGAGGAATACACCTATGAAACATGAAAGCCCCAGCAGCTATCATCGAATAGATATGGAAAAGGTTAAAGTTTTTCAAAAGTAAGTCAAACATCAAGGCCAAAGTCAAATGTCAAAATAAATAGTGCCCAAGGAAAGGCCTTCTCACAAGAAATACAAATGTGAAATATGAAAGTTGTAGCACCAATCGTTCAAAAGTTATGGCCAGCGTTAAAGTTTTTCAAAAGTAAGTCAAACTCCAAGGTCAAGGGCAATGGATTACAACTGTTGGTATCCAAAAGAAGGTCTTGTCACAAGAAATAGACATGTAAAATATGAAAACCCTAGCACCAACTGCTCTAAAGTTATGGCCAAGTTTAAGTTTTCCAAAAGTAGGTCAAACTCCAAGGTCAAAGGGTCAGAGTTGTTGTTATGCAAAGGAAGGTCTTGTCACAAGGATAATAGGCGAAGTATGGAAGCCCTAGCATCAACCGTTCAAAAATTATGGCCAAAGTTAAAGTTTTTCAAAAGTAGGTCAAACACCTAGGTCAAGGTCAAAGGGTCAAAGTTGTTGGTATCCAACGGAAGATCTTGTCACAAGAATAACACAGACGAAGTATGAAAGCCTTTGCACCAACCGTTTAAAAGTTATGGCCAAAGTTAAAGTTTTTCAAAAATAGGTCAAACTCCAAGGTCAAAGGATCAAAGTTGTTGAAATCCAAAGGAAGGTCTTGCCATAAGGATAAACAGACAGACAGACGGACGGACAGGGCAAAAACTATATACCCCCAAATCTTCGAAACGGAGGCATAAAAATAAAATTATTTTAATCACATAAAAAAAATAATTTTACAAAAATTGTCACTAAGGAATAAACATGACATAATGGTAAATGCATTAGTACATGTGTCCATTCTGTAGGTTTATTCGTACTTACTTGGACAATGGTGTGTGTTACAATTACGGGAACTGGTGGAAGATCCGGAACATGAGTTTCCGTTGTAACGAGGTGCTGGGTTCGTACAAGAGCGACTTCTTGACTGAGATCCGGTTCCGCATGTTTTAGAACACGAGCCGTATCCTGACCAGGAAGACCATCCACCGTGTACTAAATATCGAACAATAGACATTCATTTTATCTTTGTCCGGAGTGGAAAGATTATGGAGTGTTCATTTTGTAACAAATGGACATGAACAAATTACGTAATTTGTGATATTTTACAACCCAATAGGTTTGAGCAGATAAGCCCATTTGCAGGCAAAGAAACTATTCTGATCCAAGATCTAGAATCCTTGACCACAGGGCTAACACGGATAAGATGGGGTTACAATGTGATTACAAGTATGCTATGAATTACCTCATAAACATTGTTGACGATATATACAAAGAGTCATCACGTTTATCATATATTAGACAGTAAAAATAATCTGGAGATGTCTTCTTAAAAGAGCAGTTCAACATTGAAAGAAGATATCCATTAGCTGTAAATTCGTGCTATGTCAAATAATGAAGCTCCCTGGGCTATAGAAAGGGGCAAAATATGTGAAAATATTTGCATAAATTAACCCCTTTTAAAATCTGATGAATAGCAACAGATTTTCTCTCAATATTGATTTTCAAGCATGCAGTGTATTCATTTTTATGCAAGGCAGGGTCCCAGGGCCGGTCAACAAATTTACACAGAAATATTTACATTTCCAAATAGTTTTCCTTAAGATTCTTTGCAAATTAGAAAAAGTTCGTGTTCTCATTAGTGGGATGAGTAAGAATATTTCCATTGTGATTGAAGTAAAAAAAAGTGCAAACTTTTTTTTTAAAAGTGATCGTTGAACGACAAAAATATATGGCAAGTCATCAGAAAAATGATGTAAATATAACATGAAGCTAACGCGCTTCATGAAATATTCGGGCGTGAAGCGTCGTAGTTCATGTCCTCATGAATTCTCAAAAATTAAATTCATCTCTTAAATAGATATACTTTCTTATGAAGAACAAGTATGTAATTGTTTACTTACTATGATTTATCAAACATTAAAGGTGAAACATCATTGAAATCATGAATTTTTGGCCAAGGGTGTCATAATATGGTAACGTGAATTTATTTGCACATTATTGGCTGTGATGACTTGTAATATGATTAGGACGGAAACATTGCTTGTATAACAAATATTGTTATTCCTTGTTCCGGAAGTAAATCAGAAAAAATTAAGCTGAACACAACAGATTGGGTACATACTTGGGCAGTGATGAGTGTTGCAACTTCGTGATGACGAAGACGATCCGGAACAAGACCTTCCACCGTGAGCGGGCCTTGGGCTTGTACAACTACGACTTCTGGTTTGTGTTCCGGAAGCACAAGACTTGGAGCAGGATCGATATCCGGACCATGATGACCATCCGCCATGAACTTTAAAAAAAGAAATATAAAGACAAGTGTATTGAAGAACAGACATTATTGAATCTATGCATTTTAAAGTATTTAGGGAGATTGAAGTATTTCATTTCGTTACAACCGAATAAGACTTTTGCTCTTTCGTATAAGGTAAAAAAAATCATTCAAAAATGCTACAAATCTTGTATGTATACCTGGACAATTGTGGGTGTTGCAGTCTCGTGATGATGTCGATGATCCGGAACAAGATCTTCCACCATGAGCGGGTCTTGGGTTTGTACAACTACGACTTCTTGACTGTTTTCCAGTTCCGCAAGATCTTGTACAGGATCCATATCCGGACCAAGATGACCATCCGCCATTAACTTTAAAAAATCAAATCTTTGTGTGTATTCAGGTGACAATGTTATGTTATTGCGTTGAAATTCATTAAAGACACATTAAAATCATATAAAAATAGGAAATTAATGAACGACAATTAGTATGTATATTTATTAGGTTTCAGATTTAACTAGGAATTTAATATCCTTATGAACAACAGTTCCTATTTAGGTGAACCTTTATTTATACGTGTCTGTATGATTTATGATAATAACTGTGGATATACTAGTATAACCTTTTGCAGCGTATTTAATGTTTGTTACTCAAAATGGTACATAGAGATGTGAATATACACATCCCTGTAGTCATTAATTATTATTGCTGAAAAATTGATTTATTTTATATATCTCATTGAAAGTGACTTTACTGCTGATTAAGAGAACCTGATGGATGGACAATGTTACTAGTAGATAAAAACTGCAATTATTATCAACCTTTCATTACACGAATTGGACTATCAATATGTCGCATACTAAATGATACCTGGATGTGATTTACAAGATAAAAACATTAGTGATACATGTATATACCTGCGCAGCTGTGGGTGTTACAGCTTCGTGACGATGTCGATGATCCGGAACAAGATCTTCCGCCGTGAGCGGGCCTTGGATTTGTACAACTACGACTTCTGGATTGACTTCCAGATCCACAGTTCCTACTGCAGGATCCATATCCGGACCAAGACGACCATCCACCATTGACTTAGAAAAGAATTCATATTCAAAACACAGGGTGAGCTGGAAAATTTGAGTGAACAATGATAGAATTATTTAAAATTAAAATGCAATGAATTCAGCCTTTCCATTGCACATGAGTGAAAAAATTGATACATCCTTAAATGTATATTTTAAAATATGTGGAATTGTTTTATGGGATGTAGAAAATTTTACGTAGTGGTGTATACTTGGACAGCTATGGGTGTTGCAGCTTCGTGACGATGTCGATGATCCGGAACAAGATCTTCCACCGTGAGCGGGCCTTGGGTTTGTACAACTACGACTTCTGGTTTGTGATCCAGATCCGCAATTCCTACTGCAGGATCCGTATCCGGACCAAGACGACCAGCCACCATTGACTTAAATAAGAAGAGCTGATATTCAATATATTGGGAGAACAATGATAAAAACTGTATGCAATTAAATGGCAATGAATATATTAAGCATTTCATTACACTTGAGTGAGAAAATTTATAATCTTTAAAATATGTTGCATTGATGTACAAAATTTAGAAAATTTTGTATATTGTTATATACCTGCGCAGCTGTGGGTATTGCAGCTTCGTGACGATGTCGATGACCCTGAACAAGATCTTCCACCGTTGGATGGTCTGGGATTTGTACAACTCCGACTTCTGGATTGTGATCCAGATCCACAATTCCTACTGCAAGATCCATATCCAGACCACGACGACCAGCCACCATTAACTGAAATTTTTTTTTTTTACAACTTGAAATAATGATTTTAAAGTTATGATTGTTTCTTCACCATTCCCTAAGGTCAGTGTATATTCCTTTTTACCAAATTATAATTTTCATTTGATTGCAGCTAAATGCATTTTCTTTTGCTTTTTCCCCCTTGAAATTTTTTTTAAAATTGAACTACAATAAGAATTGATTCAATGTTAGTCCTATTCTATTTATTTACTTGGTGGATCGGAGAACTCCCAGTATCCCGTGGCACCCCATCCAGTACTGGCAGCCAGGTAGTTCACTCTTATCGAGGAGTCCGGGAAATCCATGAGAGTGCTCGAACCGTATGTGGTACCTCTCCCTAGTTTGATCCTGTTCCCTCCCCATGAGACCCAAAAGTAGTTGTATGAACTGCAGCTGAGAACTCGTCCTCTATACTCCCTGTAGCAATGTCCTTGTTTGCCCTTACGTAAGCAACATTTTCCGTTCCCCCAACCCCCGATGACGATCTCGTAAAGCGGACCATTGTCACGATCATACGTCATCAGTGCCAAGTGAGCGTCATTACAGGCCCTCACTCTGAAAGTGACGTAATTCTTCCCGGCACATGTTATTCCGTATCTACTTACTTTGTGGTAACTATACGCGTTTGGTGTATAAAACAAAACGCCGTAGCTACCTGAAAGATAAAAGCAAAATATTTAATAGGAATAATTAATAATTAAAATAGCTTTATACATGAATGTACTAGTAATTCTAGATCCCAACTTGCTTGCAAAGACATCCATCTAATGGGACAGTTTTTAGCTCACCTAAGCGCTCAAGTGGGAAGCTTTTCCAATGGAATTACAACAAGAGATAGATGTAGATTTATTTTGGAAAACATCTTTAAAATCTTCTCAAGAACAAAAAAGGCCTTAATTAACTAATTATTAGTATCATTGTTCAAACAACCTAAGGTAGTGAATATTCAAGTTTGTTCAAAATCATCCCTTACAGGATAGATTGAGGCAACAATACGGAATCAAAACGATGTATTATTCTTCTCAAGAATTAATATACATGTAGAGGGGTATTATTAAAACTCATTATTATGCAAACATCCCATCATAGCTCAGATTCATATTTTTTAGATCATGGCCTCTATGACTATATAAAAGGTGGGAAATAGGTATTCAAAATTTTACGTTGGAATGTATAGGAAATTAATTAAAAACAAAACCAAAAAAAAAAAAAAAAAAAACGCAGCAGGGCGACACTATACTATAGGAAATGCAAACACACCAATGTCATGTGGGTTCAAGTTTGTTCAGTCATATATGTAGACACGGGGGTTTTGGTGGAGATTAATATATAGAGGAAAAAATCTTTAGAAATTCTCTCTCTGAAACAGCAAGGCATTAGTCATAATGATATTCAGAATCTCCTTGTCCGTGGATTCAAGTTTGCCTAAGTCATAACCAGTTGGAGCTAGGGTTGGGTCAAAATATGGGGTCATATTTTTTCATGGGATTAAAAGGGGGAATATTCTGAAGAACACAAGGGCTTTGGTGACCCAGAAAAAGTCTGTGGCCCTTGGGCTTTTTTTTTTAAATTTCTCTCATACTATGAAATATTGCCCAATAGTTTGTTTAGAAAATGAAATAAAACTGCTAACTTGTCAATTTCAAATGCTTTGGAATCATAATTTTTGGGGGTCCAATTTCTGTTGATTTCGTTATTGTGCTTACCCACGGATTTGAAAGTTTAATGAATGCTGAATTTTAGGTGAAATCTAATAAAAGACGTTCGTCCAAGAAATAACGTTCTCACGCGCCTTAATGTTCAAACATTCTCAAAAAAAAAAAAAAAAAAAAAAAAAAAAAAAAAATGCCCCAACGAATTAAAACAATTTTACAGTAGTCTATCTAATTCTACAAAATGGATTATTGAACAACCAAAATAAAACACTTGGACCTAATTTGAACTTGTTTAATTGACCTGCCCTAGCTTAAATATAATCTTTGTTAGAAAGTATTAATGTAATTTGTCCTGTAATATAATCCGTCAGAAAGTGGGGTTCTTAAATCACTTCAAAAATACCAAGATTATGTTTCACGGTTTGAAATTACTTTATATTTCACTAAGATTCTATACTTCTTCTCCGGTATCCTATACATGCATTGAGAAAACGTTAAATAAAATATATATATTACGTTTGTCTTCCCTAAAGTCTATTGAAAATTAATCAAATATGTACCGGTACATAGAAAATATTTATTATTAATTGATAAATATAAATGCTTAGTATCTTGTTACTGTCTTTGTTTTATCGGATGGTAGTAAAAAAAAATAACAATATGATTTTACTCCCACCTGCGGTAAATTAAAATTTACAGTACATGTCTGACATAATACTTATTCATCATTACAACCACGATCGTCACGTCTTGAAGTATCAAAGGATTTAGTTTCTTCTTTAAGGATACATAACACAAACAAAAAATTGATGCCTGGATTTATATGTATATATTTTGACTGATTTGGAATAGAAATTACTTAAATTAATAAATCCCTAAAATATAAAGAAATCATAAGTTTTCTTTGGTGCTAAGATATGCGACCTTGTGTCGTTTTCTATGTAACTCTATACAAGATTTTGCGCACATTTTAAACATTGTGACAAAATCTTAACAAAATTTTCTCATTTTACCTGGCAAACATTATTCAGGTTAGTACCCATTTGAATATAAATTTATATGAGAAATATTGCTGATTTCTGAGAAAAAAAAGTTTGTGTTATTTATTCATGAACTCATTGAATCCCCCGAGTGTGGTTCAGTTATACATGCGCAGAAGACAAAGTTGACCAAACTAAATTACATCTGTCCTAGCTGTGTTAATGATTCTATTAAGGGTATTCCCACAACAGTCCATATTTGAAAAAAGTGTATATAAACTGCATAATAAAAAGAATTGCAGTTGCACATTTCTGTGACCTTCAAATGTATATGATTTAGGATTATGACTTAGCTTCCAGTCGTGAATTTTGGGTGTTTCTCATTTACAAAGTTGTTGACCAGATATCAACTTGTAAATTTTGAATTTATTGGTGAAAGTAAATTAAAATTTGAAACATGGTTAGGTTTTTCATGGAAATTTTGTGTTTACCTTCATTCGATATAAAGTCTGTACTTTCAAATTCTATGTGAGACTTTGGCGTTGTTTTAAATTTACAGTGTTCTCCCCTTCAAAGTATGGAATGGACACAAATTTTTCAACTGTAATCTCTTTGACCTTGACATTTTCCAGATGACCTTGTGTCAAGATATGGACCACCCATTCAGTTGTAAGCTATACAACTGGGTCAAACATAAAGTGTCCAGAAATCTAGGTGAAGTTACATTAGACTTATTAAGAACTTGCTTTCTAAATGGTTTCCCATTTATCGTGAAAATATAATTTTATTTTATTACGAGGGTCGTCCCAAAATTCTGTAGACAAGCGTAGTTTTGTAGGATCCCGGTGTCATAAATTAATGAAACTTTGTACATAGATTAAAACAACAATAACTAATTAATTTATGGACAAACATTGTGTAAATACACAGATTAAACCTATTTAAATAAAATATTTGAATGTAAGAAGGCGGCGCAGTATCTAAAAATTGCAATTAAAAATCGTTAGATAATATTTAAAATCCTGCGAAAAAGTATTCACTGCTCAGTATTTCACGAATGGAATTGAATATTCTTAATATTGTATTATTAATCACCTTTTCTCAAATTTTTGTGTATAGGCCTATATATGCTTTAACGAATATGAATTTTACAACGTTGAAATTTGACTTATTGAAAAATGACGGCTGTGTTGACACAGGCGGCTCACTGGACTGTTTTCCTTCTGAATTCAATCCTACAGAAATCTATAAGTCATAAATATTCGATACACATGGAAATGTTTTCTGGTCCTTAGTTTATTAAAATGACTGGAACGGTTTCTCTAAGTATGTGGAGAAGGTAAACTAAAAAAAAAAAAAGAAGAAGAAGATCGACCGAAGAATCGGGCAAGAGTGACACTGTGCAACTCCAATATAGGAGACAGACGAAAAACTAGTAGAAACAGAGTTTTCAAAATATTATTATATCATACGTGTACATTCACATACTTTGTTCATACATTTTAATGTTTAATCATATCGTAATGATTAAGATATTTCACAATTATATCTATATTAATTAAAGAATTTGATTCTGGTATTTAGTGTATTTCCTCAAAAAAATCTGAACAGTTAACATTCGGAGGAGATTGCTCCGGGTTTTAGGGAACGATAACATTTCAATTCTTATCATTTGAATTGTTTTGAAGTAATCGTCTTAAAACTTCATTATTTAATTCATTATTTATCTGCCAACACCCCCCCAAAATTTAATAAAGATACATTAATTTCTGTGAAAAATATGAGCTCAGTCTACGGAATTTTGGGAGGACCCTCGTAAACATGTTCCTCCCTTTAGGTTAATTGTCAATTCAGTAGTTATACATTTAATCAAAGATCTCAACGTCATTGGGAAAGTCAAGTATCAATATTCTATAAATCAGTTATAACAGAAAGCAAAATAAATATATCCTGATGAGATCCATGCCATTTCTTATCTTAAAAAAATTTATATTATGTGCATGTACCATAGCATAGTCAAATTATTGCACGATACAATACATTTAATTAAACATGCAAATCGTATTAATTAATATCATGTACTTTATTTTGTTTTTTGTTTTTTTTTATTTTGTATTTTGTCTGCTTTGATTCATAAAAAAATGCTTTAAATTTTTTTTATTACCTCGGTTTCCTTAATTCAAAAGACTGTGAAAATTATTATATTATTATATATAAAACTTCGATATTAAGATTTTCAACCATTGTATTACAACTGCTGTTTGAGTGATGTTCTTTTTTTCCCTTGATTTTAGCCAAATATTCGAAGAACAGAATGATTTGTTTTTAATTTCTCAACAATAATTTTTTCTACATTGAATTATTTATTAAGCTATTATTAAATATAGATCAAGAAAGGAGAATATTACCTTGAACAGACTGTAAAAATTATTATATTATTATATATAAAACTTCGATATTAAGATTTTCAACCACTGTATTACAATTACTGTTTGAGTGATATTCTTTTTTTCCCTTGATTTTAGCAAAATATTCGAAGAACAGAATGATTTATCTTTAATTTCTCTACAATAATTTTTCCTACACTGATTCATTTATTAAGTTATTATTAAATAAATAGATCAAGAAAGGAGAATATTACCTTGAACAACCATAAGAATATACACAAAGATGAGCCGGAACATGACTTGATTTCGGGGGATAGGTTCCGTTTTTAATGACACAATTAAGCATACAATTCTTATTTTATTGGTTTTGATTTATATAATTGTTTTAATCCGATAATTCTCAAACCTCAAGGGGTCAAACTCTTCTCTAAAAGTGTAAGTCAATTCTTATAATGCTATTTATTACAATTGATAAGTAAAATCTGAAACTTCTGGTAATCCTAAAAAATTAGGTCAAAAAATAAAGGTTTTGAATTTAAAGAAAGAATTTAAAAAGCGGGATTTATTTCTTAACTTTCTTTTATTCCACAAGAACATGCGTATAGCCTAATTTTTTGGAGATATTTTGACCTCCGATATATGTAAGATCGAAATCAAGTTTAAATATTTTTGCTCTACTTTAAGTTTAATTACTGATGTTTTGTCCGAGTCGAAAGATTTTTTACGTGTCATTTTACCCCCCTAAAGTATTATGGTAATTGTACAAACTTCTTCCGCATTGCTTTATCGACTTTGAGATTCTCTCCCTGAACCAAATTTATGGCCCTCGAGGTTTGTACCACTTAAGGGACAAGATTTTGGTTTTGACATTATTGTTTGTCTGTCCGTCCATAACTCTTTTAGAGGACTCAAACCTGAATATGTCGTTGGTGTGTCAAAACGTTTAATCAAGGCCATATCTCATTCAGGTCGTTTTCGGACAATACCTTTGAAAGTGCAATAATTGGAATGAGTTCAAACTATGTGATTGTGATCTAGATTTGTGTCATGACCTTTGGTTTTTCTGAAGATATGCCATGTAACAGTTTAAGAGAATATAATATCCCAGACATGGGCATGCCCTCCAGAACTTCTGCTTGGGGGTAATATATAACCAATGAACTTCATCCTAAAATTGATACTGAGCTAAGGATCGGGTGGATTAATGACAACAAACGTCACTTATAGGTGAATGCTAACAGAAACTTGAATTCTTCACACTAATTTAAAGCGCCATAATATACTTTAATCAATCACGAATCTATATAGATGAGTACAGGTTTCGCAGTACATTTCTTTGATAAAAGTTAATGAAGCACAGTCGTAATGAAATTCTATCATAATGTAGACATTTAAGTACAGAACAGAACAGAACAGAACATTTATTTTCTAATTTAGAGCCCATAACAGACAAGTATGAAATTATTACAATAATAAAGAAAAGATATGCCAATGGATAGTATAACAACTTGTAAATGACATTACTCATTTCAACAATAATATTGTACTATTTCAGTTAAAGGGAATACTATATATAAAACTGTATGACTACTACAACATGTTATCATTTATGAATTTGCCCACAGAATTAAGAGTTTCTTTGTCTTCAGTATTGAGTAACCAAAAAAGTTTTTGTTCATCATCTAATGCCGAGAAATTGGGAAATTTACTTTTAATTGATTGAAAAATTTCTTTTCTTTGATGATCATATTTTTTACATGTTATGAGAAAATGAGTTTCATCATCTACACTGTTAGAGTTACATCTATTGCATAATCGATCTTCACGAGGGATGTTGGTAAATCTTCCCACTTCAATTTGCAATCTGTGACAAGAAATTCTTAATTTACATAGAGATTTTCTGTGATGAAAATTTTTAACTACTGATAAATAATTCTCATAACCCCAATTTTGTTTGAGTTTTACATATGTGCTTAATTTACCATCAGTATAACTTTGTTGACTTGTATACCAATTTTTTATATAATAATCTAATATGGTTTTATGACAGAGTGACTTAAATTTATGCTTCCCATAACAAATTACTTCATCTTTGATATTCAGTATATTTCTTAATTTCTGTACAAATGCGAACCATGAGTTCTTTCCATGTACATAAAGATTTTTACTACATTCATATGCATCTTTAAGTAAAGGAAATTCTGTGGACAAATTTTCAAATCTATACCAACTTTTGATTAACAATTTGACAATATCATAATGCAGGGGGAACCTTCCCAATTCAGACAATACTGCAAAATTTGTACTTTTCTTATGAACACCAAGAATATATTTACAGAATTTAAGGTGTATTCTTTCACAAAGTAGATTTCTGAAACAGTCTTCAACTTCTAACTTTTGGCATTTTAGGAATCTTTCAGTATTGATATTACTTGCACCCCACACCTCTGCATTATACAAAAGAATTGGTTTAATAGTAGAGTCAAATACATGTATACTCGTTTTAATCCCAGGATTCAAATTAATAAAATCATTTCTCAGTTTATAATATGCTTTTAACGCCTTTTTATAAAGCTCTGATCTTGCTACATGAAAACTTCCAGATGCAGTTAGGTGAACTCCAAGATATTTGTACCTAGATACACAGTCTATCCTATTATTTTGAAACATTAGTTTTTGCGTGAAATTACGACCAGCTTTATTAAAGATCATGACTTTAGTTTTTTGAATGTTTACCTTTAAACACCAATCAGAGCAATACTTTTCAAGTTTAGAAAGTCTTGCTTGTATACCTTGAGCTGATGCTGATAAAATAACAATGTCATCTGCATACATTAAACAGTTAACAGTTTTTGTCTGAAGTGATACTTCATCAATACATGAATCTAAATATGATGGAAAATCATTTATAAATATTTTAAATAAAGAAGGGCTCAAGTTATCCCCTTGACGGACACCTATAGCTATTGGAAATGGATCCGAGAAGAACCTTCCAATTTTCACACATGCCTGACTATTCTTATATATATTACTTATAATATTATAAAATTTAGATCCAACATTCATGTGAAGTAATTTGAGCTTTAATCCTGTGTGGATAACACTGTCAAAAGCTTTATGAAAGTCAATAAAACAAGCATATAGTCTTCCTTCTTTTAAGCTACAGTATTTATCAATTAAACACCTAAGCACAAATAGATGATCAGATGTTCTTGCATCTTTGGTAAAACCCATTTGAGATTGGTGAATTAGATTATGTTCTTTAAGAAATTTATCTAATCTAGAGTTCAGAATGCTGTTGAATAACTTGCCAAGTGTGCTGGTAATTGTAATACCCCTATAATTTGCAGGGTTGTTTGGATCCTCAGACTTAAAAATTGGACTTATGTACCCGTTACTCCAAGTTTGAGGATAAATACCATATGTGAAACAACTATTAAAGAGCTTATGTATACAGGAGAGTAAATAGGACTGACTATGTTTTAACATTTCATTAGATATCAAATCAAGCCCCTTGGCTTTTCCATATTTTAAATTTGCTATTGCATCTACAATTTCCTTATGTGAAATCTTGAAATCCAGTTCATTAAAGGATGGATTTTTCTCCATGTCAGCCAAAATTGAATCTAGCTCTTGTATCCTTGATTTAAAAGAGTTATCACAAACAGAATGAAGGTTGCGAAAATGATTTACCCACGTTTCAGAATCTATGTTTGCAGCAGAATTGTCTTTATTATTATCTTTTAGGTCATTAATTAATTTCCAATATTGTTTTGGTTGTTTATTTTGAAGTGCATCAAGTTGATTTAGAATGGAGTTTTGGAAATTTTTACGCTTAAATTTTCTTAATTTATTGTACTCTCTAAGAAGTCTGTAGTAATGATTCTTAACAACTGGATCCTTTGGAAATATGCTATAAATTTTTCCATGCGCAATCAATCTACGGCGCATTGTTTGCAAGTCTGAATCAAACCACTTTTTATTTTTATGCTTTTTAATATTCTTACTTTTATGACCTGGCTTATTTAATGACATGTTAGCAGCAGTTATGATAATGTCATTGAATTCTTCTGCCTTTTTCTCGATATCAGTAGAAGTAGATTCTGTAATAAAAGAATCTAAAAAAGACTTGATTTTTTCTTGTATCCTATCTGAACTTAGAGCCATCTGAAATTTAATAGGGGAATCTTCATTCCATTTAAAATTTTGAGGGGCGGGATGCAAGGTTCTGGCATTAGTAGCATTTGAATTAATTTCCTTAAATTTTGCTAAAACTTCCCATGATATTTTACAGTGACAATCAGAAAGAGTTGGGATAAAATTTGATACCCTAAAATATAGAATTTGTTTAACTAAGTGTTCACTTGCAACAAGGTAGTCAATTGTGCTTTGACCATGTGTGTTAAAACATGTGTAATCACCAAAAATATCCCCCATACATCTACCATTAATAATTCTCAACTGATTACTTATACAAAAATCAATCAATTCTTTACCTCTTTCATTTAAAATGACATCACGATTACTACGTTTACAAAAATTATCATCAATCTTATATGTTTTACAAAGAGGAAGGTACCTTACATCATCATGTTCTATAAAATCATCTGATGAAGCAGTGCGTGCATTCATATCCCCACAAATCATAATTTCCCCCTTATACTTAAACTTATTAACATCTTTCTCAATAATTTCAATAACATCATAATTTAACTTTTGAAAGTAAGTTGAATTCGAAGGTGGAATGTAACATGCACAAAGATAAATATCATTTTGAAGATTAAAAAACCTTTTTTCTATCTTAATCCACTGAAAATCTTTCTGGGTACCTGGTAATAACTTAATATGTTCCTTAATACAATTTTTACGAAAAATGCCAATTCCCCCATAAAATCTTCCATTTGCAGACATGTCCCTACATACAGGGAAGTATGTAAAACCATCAATAAAAAGATTGGTATTATACCCAACATGTGTTTCACTTAATATAATAATATCATAGTTTTTCACCTCCTTCAAAAATAATTTGTCATTTAGTTTATTCTCACCCTGTGTAAAAATTCCTCCAACATTCCAATAACAAATTTTTATGCTATTTTTATACATATACTTGTCCATTTTGGACCCTTAACTGTATTCTACTGTGATAAAATTTAAACAAATAAAGAAAATTAACTAAGTTATAATTTTAAGGTTCACCAGTTTCAGATCTACAGAACAACTTGAATTACAATTAACCACCCTTGTGTTGATGGCCCTTTCCATGCTCAACGAAAATAGTTCGGACTTTTTCTAAGTTGGCGGTTATAATTATCGTCCTGGTACTGATGATTCCAGCTTAAACTGCTCCTATAGTAATTGTTACGGTTATTCGCCTGGAAATGCTTTTCCTGGTTGTTGTAGTTTGACCTATTTCGATACTTATTTGTATATCCCTTGGAGTTGTTGCCGATTTTTAATACGGTGTGCATTGCTCTCTTCGTGTTGGACGCTAATATGGATGTTCCCTTCGGAGACAAGTGAAATTTATCATTGGGATTCAGTAGTTCGATTGTAGGTAGATGTCCATGCCACATGTTTTCGTTGTCAGAAATATAAACTCCAGGATACTCCATGTAGTCTCTCTTTATTATCCCATCCAGGATCTCACAGTTTACCTTGTGCAAGGAGTTGTCTTCTCTTGGTGTGGTTAGAGATATGATGGTGTGAACGTCCTTCCACTTCTGTTTAATAACCTCAACCACCCCTTGTAGTTTCTCGGCACATTTTTCAGGACTAATATTTCTAACATCATTTGTTAGAGAATGAAGAACTACTACATCATGTGAATGTTTATCCCAATCCGAGGTTCAAATTATGAAAGCACGTCAAAACTGATAACTGGTTTTCTAATTTAAAATTCTACCATGATTGTAAATACGCTATTAGATCAATAACAGCGTGTCGAAAGAATTTTAAAAAGGAATTGAAGCATATCGAGAGGTGAAAATCTATTTAACCTGCTGAAGAACAGCATGATATTAAAATGAGATGAATGGTGTGTAGCCTTTATAGCTCTCTGTTATTTATTTCTGTTTACCCGATGAAACGTGTCCTTCAGTAAGTACAAAATATTTTTCTTTTTTTTTTCATGAGGCATATATAAATCAGTTATTGTGACCTTAATATCTTAACCTTACAAAGAATTAGTCAATACCGTAAAGTACATCTTATATACTGAATCGTCTACCATTACTTATAGTTAAATATTCGCTGTTTCTTTGTGTGTAAGCGTTTTAAACAGATTAGGGAAATCAGACTTCGAAGGTTGAATTGGATCGAAAAAAAAAACTCGATGTATGTCAGAAATTATAAATAACCTTTTATTTAGGAGCTAAGCAGAACTTGAAACAGTATGCAATAAAGAGGGATGGGGGTCGGGGGTTCATGACCATTAAAATTATTAAACAGAGCTCTGTATTAAATATAAGAAATTGCATTTTTTTTTTAAATTATGACTTACGAACTTGATTTTTTCTTCTTTACTTGATAATAGTTTATGGCTAGAAAACTCATTTTTCCTATTATTATATGGATTTGTTGGGTATTTTGTAGACAACCTAGTCTTGTACGCTTCTATTTTTTTTGGTATTAATTTTGTATGCATCTTCAATGCTAATACAATCATATACAGTCCAAGAACAGTCAAATTAAAGAGTTCTAATTCAAAGAGGATAACACAAAACTAGCCATAATGTTATTTATTTCGTGGCCATTCTTTAAAATATATGTCACGGATTCAAAGCTTGGTGAAATCAAATATGAATCAGAATACATTCTTTAAAGTGATTAAGATGGCAATGTATCCTAAAGTACATCGATTGAAATTCCTTTACAATATACCGTCATGTAATTTTATCTAATTTACCGGGTGGCAGTAAAGGCAAAATTAAGTCCTCAACTCTCGGAGTAGTTTGACATTATTCTATTAGAGTTGTAAATTGAAAACCCTATATATTAGAGTTGTGAATTGAAAACCGTTTTTTAAAATAACATTTAATAGAAACTATGCATATTGTGCTTTCATAATCGTGGAATGAAACTGGTTTTATTTATATATAGAACCATAAATAGAATGCGAATCTGCATTCAATATGTCCAATTTTTGCTTAAATAGTCGATTCCTTAATCGTTCCCCCCACAGCGTTTAATGTCTCGGCTTTTGTAGTGAATACGCTTTTCACCGTAATAGTCCCTGTATTGGAATTTTTATTGTGTACCAAGAAGGACGATTTACTCGTTTAAAACGACATCGGATACATGTTTATTGGCAACACATGTTTAGATTGAATCGAAAATTCACTAGAATTGAGGGGGACCAGCACATGATATGACCAAGTGTGATTGTTTACATTTTTCCATGACCGAGTTTAATTTCAAAAAAGAGGTTTCATATTCTAGTCTGTCCTTGAATATCATTCCGTTTCCGATGTATGACTTTATGACTGTTTTCTGAGACAGATAGTACTAATGGGAATATAGAGTTTCACAATCAATGCCCCAGTTTCTGATAACGATTAGGAATATCATTTCCCGTTTTTTTTCCTTCAAAACATCATATATGAAATCCAAAAGAAAATTGTAGTAATGGGCCTCGTCGTAATTTCTCTAATCAGTTCGGCACTGGTCTATCTTTTTGTGATATATTTTATGCCTGTCTCTGTAAAAATGATATTTTTTCCTTCTTTGTCATTCATCAGCTATATTGGTTTTAGCGATGACACGCACATTTTCACCTTCTTCGGTAAACCTAGAGCCAAAACGAACACATGACTTCAGTCACAGCTGTTTTAGCATAGTATATGATACAGACCCTGATATATGCCCACGGGCCAGCTGTCAAAAACGGGGGCTGTTCTGACGTAGAGCGAGGAAAAGATTGTTTTTATTTAACACTGAACTGTTATGAGGTAAGACAATCAAATAATTTCTTTTGTCGTTTATTAATTTTCAGTCTAAAGTTGGATACAATTAACATGACAAATCATTGCGTTTTTAACATTTGATTGAAAAATATATGATAAGGAATACTTGTAACATCTATTTTTGATGGGAATTAAATGCAGTCATTATTCATACATACCATAATTAAGACCGTTAATATTGAATACATGCGCGGATCTAGAGGGGGTCGGGGGGGGGGGGTTCCGGACACCCCCCTGGAATTTGCCGAGTTATTTAAAAATGCAAATACCAAACCAACTAAAAGTGACCTTAGACCCCCCCCCCCCTTTTTTTTTTTTTGTTTTTTTTTTTTGTTTTTTGTTTGTTTGTTTGTTTTGGTTTGTTTTTTGTTTTTGCTTGTCAAGAAATTTCTGGCTTGGATTTATTTTTTCACTGGGGTGAACCCCCTGGAAAAAATTACTGGATCAGCGCCTGGAATATATGTATCTATTAAAAGCCCTCTTCGAAACAGAGACATGTAAGAGATTATTATATGTCTCTGTTCGAAACAACATTTAATGTTCTTTTAAATGTAAAAACCGACTTGAAACAACATCTTTTTTTCTTACGATTCTTAAATCATTAATGTTATTTCTCAATATAGCAATATCTCTTTTCGAATTAAATTTTATTGTAAAGAAAAATGTCGAAAAAGTAAGCTAAAAAGGAAAAAAGAAGTAAACGAAACAATAGATATCCACCAAAAAAAAAAAAAAAAAAAAAAAATCAAAATTAGAATATACACAATTCTTCTTTGAAATTATTCTTTGTATTGCTCAGTAAAACAAATTAAGCTATACTCCATCGGAATAAAATTTAATTAAATTAAATTACAATTAATTGATTTCATTAATACCAAAACAAGTGTTAAATATGCATGTATGTTATTCTAGGAAGATGATAAAACCTTGGTCGATGAAAACCTTGCTGTTGTTGCTTTGTTTCCCGTGTAACATAGTGACACTTCTGGGGACAGAGAACAGTACTGCTCTAAAAACCCCTCTCTGTTCCGACCAACAAGAAATACAAGGTTACATAATCTACTATTCATCAATATGTTGATTGCAATTGAATGAACATTTCAGAATTTAGTTTATGTAAAAGGGCTCACTAAAATACTAGTAATATTCCTGCAATTACAATTTAGGGTAATCAACGTCTTTGTTATATTAAGTATCAATATTGAAATATATATTTTTTTTACTGGGAATAAATCTGCAACTTGTACAGTGTATATAAAGTATACTTTCCATTTCTGAATACTGGAGGGATCTTGATTTTGTCAAAAATCTATAGTTTTAATTTTGATTTTGGAAATTTCTTCAATAGAGTGGAGACTCCCTGACATCTTGTGTGGGTGTTTCCAGGTGGTAGTCAGACAGACAGATAACGGTTTTGTGCTACTGGCTCTGCTTCAAAAAGTTTTCTGGAAAAGTCTTTCCCTTCTGTTGGCTGTTTCCGCCAGATTCGACGTATATCTCAAACATAATAACAAACAGATTCCCATGGGGGAAATCATCTGCGCTGTAAGATGGTGTTTCGCTTACCGAAAGTTAAAAAAAAAATTATGTTTTGCTTTTCAGATGGAATACGAAAATGTGTCTTGTTTTTAAAAATGACAAACATGCAAGAGTTCTCTAAATAGCGTATCTTTTACAGGAAAATGCTACGGTATGTGAAAAATATTTTGAGGCGAACGGACTAAACAACAGCCAAGTCCAGATATTTCAGGTAAAATTAAGATACTAAGCTCAGTTATTATATTTTTTGTACATTTCATCTTTCCAATTTAACACTCTATATAGGTCTCTATGTTATAAAGAGAAACGTTGTAGAAACATTAGATCTTGATTTTAACCTGACTGTAGCAAGAAGCTGGTTATTGATGAACTTTTTATTCTAATATTGACTATTTTTTGTACCTGACATTAGTTCACCTGTAATATGTATATTTATTATTATGATACTGATAAAACGCTTTTTTAACAGGTTTATCTGTCTTGTGACTCGAAGCACAAATGGATCCCATCTCCATGCGAGGATTGTTCATACATTAAACTGTTTTGTAAGTTAAAGCCTACTCGCCGGTGACCGTTTATCTGTATGTATTGGAACTGTGTGTGATACAACGACCCCCCCCCCCCCCCCCCAAAAAAAAAAAAAAAAATCTGCAAAAAGAAAACATAGGTTCAAGACTTTGCGGAAATAAGCGCTGTATTCTTTATTACCTTACTAGCTCTGTGAAAAGTTGACATTGTTAAAGCAAGCTTAGATAAGAAATTTATGTCAAATAATAATTTCTGATTTAAAGCGTATGCTATATCCCCTCCAGATTTTTTTCAATTAAATGAACCGAAAAAAGAAGAAAGAATCTGCGGATTGACTTTGGAATTAAATAAAAACGATACAAAAGCATTCGAGAACTGGTACATATTCCGGCTTAATATATTTGGAAATTATCATGTATTTAATTGTCTTTTTGTATATGCTAAACGTAAAGAAGTATATATGTTTAAACGTGGGTTTTATAAATAACTTATTAATTTTTGAATAACACTTTTCAGCATTTTTACCAAATATTTAGCAAAGCAGAAATGTCCGAGAACTGTTCGTCAGCCAGTACAGTCATTCTTCACTGAGACAGTAATTAAATTCAAAATTATGAACCAACACTGCACAAATATGTCAAGTCTTTTACATGATAAAAGGGAAAAATCTAGCCTGCAATACTCGGTTTTTTTTTCTTTGTCGACCCCCCTTCTTCCAAACTCTTGATGGCAATTAAATTCAAACCGACAAAAGAACTCTACCCCAGTCTATCCTCCATCCCCTCTTAATATTTTTTTTAAAGGAATGCTTTGTTTTCCCCTGCATATTGGTATGCCTAACAATACAAAATCTTATTTTAAAATAAAATGAGAACTGTAGAATGACTCTGACATTACTTTGTAGACACACCGCGGATAGACAGCCCTATCTCTTATATACACCCTTCTGGGAGAGAAAATGTCAGCACCGAGAGGTCGACGCCCTCTACGCGTGTTCTATACTTCATCATTCCCGTGGTCATTGTAATTTGTGCAGTAGTCACATTTATTGTGTTTTTTGTCCATAAACGTAAGTTTTAATTTAAAGAAAATTATTTGAAATTTATTAAAGCATAGTCTCATTTTTAATTTCAACGTAGAGCGCAAATATTTTGCACTGTTGTGTTTGACACAGATTTTTGCCATACTTTATTTATACTTTTATTGTGTGAATTACGGTATATTATATTTTCTTATTATATGGTATATTACGGTATATTATATTTTCTTATTATGGTAAATTACGGTATATTATATTTTCTTATTATAGTATATAACAGTATATTATATTGTCTTACAACAGGAAGATCAAGAACCTCGGAAGGGAGAACGTCTGAATCCTATAGTAGTGAACCACTTGTTTCTGTGATCGAGACTTCCACGCCACAGTCTAAAAAAGAAATCCTAATAATAGACATTGCGCCGAACGAGTCGTGTTCTGTGCACTTTCGCAATATACTAAAAAGTGTTCCTAAATTTAGTGTTGTATGCTTCATTGATCATTTGAAGGATGTTAATCAGAACATGTACGATTGGGCACACAAGAAGCTGAAAACATGTGACTTCATAGTTATAGTATTCACCAGTGAACTGACGAGAGTGTTCGAATCAGATTCGTGTGAAATACTTCAGTCATCTCCATACTCAGATATTGTCAAGTATTTACTCTCTCAAATGAACAGCAATATGTACACGAATGATGCTTCCTCGCCAGAGTACACCGGTGTTCAGTTTGAGGCTAATGTCGTAGTTCCCTCAAGTTTTAGCAGACATCTTGCCAATATTTCTTTCAAAAACATTTTCACCTTTCCAAATCTTCTGCAAAAAGAAAACTCCACTCGTTCGCAGCTGAACAGACTTCTGATGAAAATTGGTGCAGATAATGAGGATATAAAACATTGCATATCCACCTGACACACAGAGTGAAACTTAAGAAAAGAGGACTTTCCGTTGAGTTCTGCAGTATCTAAACGAAGCTGTTAACTCTGAAACACAGGCCAGTATTTACCAGCTGGGTGATAACTGTTGACCTTCTTGAGTTTCCTGCAAATACTTGTACACTTTGAACACTAAAGGTGTTTCGAAGAAGTATGGTGCAATATGCATCTGGAGAATAGACCGACTATAGAGTGCATTAATTGTTTTGAATATACGATTGTGTAAGTGAAAGCATATTATATGAGTCTACCATAAATAACTGTCAGTGTTGTCTTATAAAAATAAAAATTGGATACCAATTAGCTGTAAAAATGCTGTCCTCACCATTTTTTTTTAATATGACGTTTTTGGTATAGGACTCCTCTCCGAAAAAATAAAATAGAGAGCTTCACTATTGCAGCTGGACACCAATACAAATCAGTATGAAGTAGTCTCATTAAGAGCATAGGAAATTTTGTCTCGGTGTCAAGATCAATCTAGTTACGTATCTGTACTATTGTTGTCTACTTTTCCTCTTAGATCCTAAAGCTTCAAATACATAAAAATCAAATTCAATTTGTGAACTAAGTATTATGAACAAATTCTAATTTTTTAAAGGTATACAATTATGACAAACAAAACTTTTCTGTAGACAAATTTTCTCAGCAAAAAAAAAAAAAAAAAAAAAAAAAAATTCCTGGGACTTGCACCCAACAGACGCACGTCTATATCAAAAATTGTGTTGTAGTGTGACGAAATGATCATTTTTGCCCTCTTTGGTGCGTACGTGCTATTTCATAGACGAATTATTTGTGAGATTGTTGCAAATTATTGATATTTTACAATAAGTATATACGTTAATGTTAACTGAAATATCACAGAAAATATTATACTTGAGATTTTATTTTTCACTTTCGAACCATAAGCATTTTTTCTCGACTAGTTCGCCCATCTCCTTTAAAACCGATATGCACTCGCATGACGCAGTACCAACTATGCATAGTACGGGAAATTTTGTCAGTATCAAGATCATAAAATTATATATTATCTGTATTGTATTTGTCTGCCATTTCTCTAAAAAATGACATTCTATACCATTTACATTTAATATACTTAGTAGTAACTCTCCAATATGGATCTATATGTGTCAATACTACATGTACATGAAAAAGCTCAAACCAATTCAACATTAATCCAAGGGTCATCATTCCGCTTAAAGTTGGAAACATGTTCCAAATTTAAATTCAATATGTAAGTCACAATCAATATTTTTTTTTCAGATCTATGCTACATTTCTATCTTAAAATGAATTTCAAGCTTCTTGTGTTTTTTAGACGGACCCCCAAGGGAATATTATTACGAATACGAATTGTAGAGAATATTTAATGATCTCTTGCTGGAGAAAAGTTTTGAAGGAATTGTTTAAAAATCCATGTTTCTTATCTTTGTTCCTGTGTGTGTTTAAACGATGTTTTCATATTTCATGGTCGGAAAAGCCCTGTAATTGCTTCGTTCTTGAATTCTATATGTGGAAATCTACCAATTATTATGACAAGACAGTAACATTTTAATCATGAACATAATTTATTCATAAACATGTGCAGGCTGTACTAAGAATCACCATTAATACAGCTAAAGTTTAATTATACATTCTGCATGTTCTGTACAATAAAAGAAACTCTACCACAAATAATTAAAAGAACTTAAAGAAAATAATTAATATAATAATGAACAATTTTATCCTTAATGGTACATGCATTTCAGAGATTTATTCAGTTATTTGAAGAAGTTTGAAAGGTTCAAGCACTCATTCTGAATAGCCGCTCCTCGGCCAGGAAAGATAACTCTAATTTATTATTTAATTCAAAAAGTCTCAAATTAAAGCTTGAAATTGAAATCTTTTCACGCAACAATTTTCATTTTATGCATCTCAGTGTGATTCAAGGTTTTTTGAAGTCTTAGAAACGGTCTTTTAAAAGTTGATGTTTGTACCCCATAAAAGTATTTTAAAAAATTACATATTCACAGAAATCCAATTTCCTTTAATAAAGTCTTTAGATTCCAATGTTTATTTGCATGATATGAAATTAGAAGTGGTTTATGGTGTTTTGCAATGATAGGAAACGCTTTATAACACTATGCATTATAAAATAAATTGAAGTAAACAGAAGAAACTTAAGTACTGTATAAGTGTAAAAATCATGCAATTTTCATCAAATGACAGGATATCTATATTTTTTTTTTATCCTAAAATATATTAGTTGATCAATTTTCAATTAGAAAATTCATAGTAGGTCTTTTTATTTGCATATTCTGAAAATTTATTTGAGATTTACTATGGGTAAATACTTTGAGAATTCAGAGATATTTTTGTGAGCATTTTAATTCTTAAATTATTCAACACCTGATTTTCAGAACCTGAGGAGCGGACTACCTTAATATTATTTTATTTATTCATGTTGTTCATAAACAATTGTGTTTTGCATGGCAATGAATAGCTTTGATATTATGCTTCAATGAATTAAAACATTAAAAAAAATCCCATCTGACTAGCTTAGATACTTTATCAAACTGTTCACTTCTGTGTTTCAGTAGTTAAAAGATGATGAGAAAATAACATGCAAACAAGAAGTTTGGCTCAGATTATCAACTTATCATTGCTACATGTACAAGTACTTTTAATCATTTAAATATTATAGAAAACTTTTGATAATACTTTCCCACATAATAAAACATTTTCAAATAGTAAAAATTCAACATCAAAATACAGTAACAGTTGGTTCAAGCCATCTCATTAAATTTGTAACAAATCTTATGAAAGAAATTGATTCTATTCTCCGATAAATGCTGTTTCTACTTGTGTACATAATCCTTATAATTTTTTTTAAACATTACAAGTCTTGAATTCTTGCCATAAGCTCTTGTTTTAATGATGAGTTGCTTCCTTTGTTCCCCTGCTGAGCTTTGACCTCTTCCATCACCTCCTTGTCCCAGGAGAAGTTAACCACAGCGGCAGGGGCCAGACCCAACTCTGCAAATGTCAAAGAGTGATCTGTCAGTTTTTGTCCACCAGATGAACTCAAGTGAAATGGAATCCAGTCATGCTCTAAATTCTCTCTCACAAAATCAACTAAACAGGAAAATGGTTCATTAGCTTTAAAAGTGCCCTCCAAAAGCACATCATGAAAACGGACTCTGATTAGGACAAAGCGATATTTAGTGAGTTCTCTTCTCTCATCCCTTTCCCGCATTGCCTTGGTACGCAACATTCCTAGTTTTTCTGTGGCTTCTTGACGTGCTTGTTGTTCTCGCTTGAGCTCTGCTGGTGAGATGTTGTAAAACTCATCAGGAATGTTAAATCTGGATGCTGAAGGTGAGGGATGGTAGACCTTTAAATTTCTATCAAGTTGTGGCCTAATGGGCTCTGCTGTTAAAAGAATTTCTTTTATATTCTCTAGACAACCTGAGTCTTTTGCTACCTCCTCTTCTATCACATAAAAATCAGTCTCTCCATCTTCAAAAGGCAGTTTTCTAATTGTAAAGCCAACAGCTTGTAAAAATTCATCTGTTCCAGCCAGATTTCTCACTCTCTCTATGAAGGCTTTGTTGGAAAGTCTTATCTTGCGGAACTTTTCTTCGGATGGGTTATTAATGAGATTGTCAAGGTATTTTGTCAGAGTTTCTACACATACTTTCACTTTCTCTTTGTCCTTGTTTAATGTTTGGATCATGAGGGCGGAAGCCATTGCTGGCTCCTCTGCTAGCTGAGACAGTAAAAACTCATGGATGTATTTATTCATCTCCTCTTTTGGCAAAACTGCAGGTCCTGAAAATAACAAGTCTCTAGATGGTAAATTGCATAGGTCAAAGGTTGGATATTTACATGTAAATTCTACATTTTTTTTAATACGTTCTGCAGTCATCTTGCTGAAAGAGAAGACGCACCTTCAATTTTTTTTTTGCACTGTAAGTTATTTTTTAAGATGCACATAGTTTGCATGTATCTAAAACTTAGATATGAACCTCTGGATTTGGGGCCATAAAACTAAGACGAGCTTATTTTTTATCTCAGTCTCACTTTTCTATTATTAATTCCTTTTGTAAAATTGAGACTGATTATTAATTCCTTTTATAAAATTGAGACTGAGATCAAAAGTGAGCACATCTCAGTTTTATGGCCCTGAAGCCTGATGATAAATGAGCTAATACAGAAGCAGCTTATAGGCACCAAAAATCATTGGGAGACTACTAATTTTGAATTCCCTGAGAATATTTTTATTCTTTACCTATATCAGGGCAGGTGTAGAGTATACTGTTTAGTACAGGGGCGGAGTCCTTGACAATTTCCTTTGGTTCCTCCCTGTATTGGCTCGCCAGCTTCATCGCTTGTTCTGCAGCTTTTTTCTCCTCCTCCATCTCCCTTCTCATTCTTGCTTTAGCAATGTAGTTTGGGTCTACCAAAAACAGCACAAACAAAAATTCATTCTTCAAGAATGCCAAGTGATTCTAAATAACTGCATCAGATTGTCCATAGATAAAACTGAAACTTTAAGAACAAACTTTTTGTATGTTAATCTGAGGACTTGTTCTGCAAGAAATTTTTTCTACTAATGTTATGATCATGCATCATCATGGATAAAAACTGAGCACACTATTGTAAATACATATACAAACAGTATCAGTATCAGACATTACAGATGAAATCAATGCTAAATTTGTAAGAGATACTCGAGTGCTTAGGAAGCATTGTGTTACAATAACTATACACTTGTCTAGATAGTATGCCCAATACTTTTTAATGCTTCAAAATAAACAGTGTTGTAAAATGTGGATATATTAGCTATACATTCCATAAATTCTTAAAAACTTTGTAAAATGTACCTGATTTAGTCTGGTTTTTAGTTGTTCTCATTAAGGCTGCCTCAGCTGCTCGAGCTGCCTCCTCAGACGGCCCTGACCTTGGGGTTTGAACAGATTGTGGCCGTGATGAAGAGGGTGCTGATCTTGTATCATCTGTCAATTTATGTCCCTCTCCAGCCTTCTTGAACTTGACATCTAACTTCTTCTTTTGGAAAAATTTCTTTATGGCTGACATGGTTAAACTGTTACAGCACTGCTTATTCTCTGAAAAATAATTATATTCAAAACAAAATTTTATGTTTAAAAACTATCCCTGGGGGCCCCTTTCCATCCATATAAAATCATCTTCCTCTTTAAAAAATCTAGTAATCAGAGATGTCGACAGTAATGCTGGAAGTGTAACTAACCATCATTCCTTGGCATATTTGATTAAAAGCCAGTTACTCTACCAATTTCTCTCATTATCTGAGAGAAAGAAATTTCCTTTATCATAATGATGTCCTACATATTTTGTTAAGCAATAGAAGTCATTGCATGTAATGGAGAAAAACAAAATAGGTAGATGAACCATGAAGGGAAATTTGCATACTAAGGCAAAATTTTCAAGGGAGGAAGACTGGAATTATATGGTCCAACACTGTCCAATATAAGCATTTTGAGAACAAGGAGCACAGACATTTATTTCATAATTGTACACAGGACACCCCCTTCTTTCATTTTCCACAAGGTATCTAATTCAATTTCCGACATCCCCTACTATTTCATCTATCATTAAGTTAAACTTACTTTAAAATGACATAATTTGCTTAAAGAGACCTGATAAAACCAAAGACTTCATAGTAAGCTCGGAAGTCTTTGGTTGTATCGTACTCTATAACCCTAACCAGAAGATAATGTATTTTGTGTAAAGTTTTAATGAAGCCCAATCTAGATCAAAATTATAAAAATGGTCCGGCAAATATTTTTAAACTTTGGATATACATTTGTATGTCCCATGCTTAGAAAAATCAAAATGAAATTTTGTCTTGACTGTAATGAAATGGGGACCATTTACCATTTCAAAATATGGACCATTTTTTGGTGGTTTTACACACAATTATATGCTAAAACTACCTAATAAAGAAATTAAAAAATAAAAAACACTAAAGGGTGAAAAACTTTGTTTTTCATACATCATATACATAGCCATTTCTCATTTTAAAAATGAAAGGAAAATTGGGGATTGCCTCTATTGTAGTTAAAAGGGAGCATATTAAAACACAAAAATGGACTGAACATTTACACGTAAGATGCTTGTAAGTTGCCATAAATTTACATAATATCAACAAATGATTTTTATACTGAGTGTTATGTGAAAGAAACTGCTTCTAACATTTTGAAATATTTTTCTTTTCATATTCTATCTAATTTTACACACAACATGGTTTTACTGGAAAGGAGGAGGGTTTTAAAAGGGCAAAAAAGTTAGTTTCATAATTATGGTACTATGTAGAGAACTTATTTATTTTTCTTGGTTGCATTAAACTGACTCATAGATGATAAAAGAAATTCAAGTTACTGTATACATGTGTAAGTTTTCAACAAAAAATGTTAATTAAATATTTTGAAAGAGAAAGTCTATAAATATGTTTCCTTTCAGTTCCAGTCATTTTTAAACGTGGAGACAAATCTGTTGAATCTCTACATAGGAATTGACAATATTACCTAAATAAGTTTTGTTAAACTGTTAATTTAAAAAAAAAAAAATTATATGAAAACATAGGTACTGATAGAAATGCCAGAATGAGTATAAGCTTTTCACATGCGCAATCCACCATGCACGAATTGCGAAATGTTTTAGTGCAATTTGACCTCATTTAAACTGATTATTGCATTCAATTGTGTCGGCATTCAAGGGTACTGTGACGTATCTGATACAACGCTGCATGAAAACATATGCACAGATCAAGTAGACTGGGCCTCCTTAAATGTGCTTAGATAATTTCCGAGGAACAAATGAGAGGCTTGACAAAGGACATCTGGAATGATAAGTTAGAGAAGAAAAAGGTCTCTTGATGCGAACTATATCATGTGAAAAACTTAAAGTAAGTTAATGATTGATAAATTAATATAAATATGAGCGTGGGGGTGCCTGAAATTGAATAAGGTACCCTGTGGAAAGATAGGGGCTGTATACGAAGTAAATGCCTGTATCATGGAGAGTGAATTTCCACAATTAATTAAAATTAGACCTTTCAGCTCGTTCTCGTAAATCTATTTGTCGCTCGTGAAAGCGACAAATACTGAAATAGATTTACGAAGAGCAAGATGAAAGGTTTAATTTTAATTAGATTGGAATTTTCATTTCCTCTAACATACTTACTCTAACGATAAAGTTTCTCAAAAATCCTCTCTCCGTAATATCTCCAGGCAATAGTAATCAGAAGCAGATTCAAAATCAGCCAGACTATTAGGAAAACTAACAACTTGCTCTGAACATCATACTGTTCGTGTTGAATAGAGAGATATGCGTCAACTAAAACGCCCCAGATTATTGAAATAAACTCTGCTACACCAACAGTTTCCGTAATTGTCGTGCTTGAAGGAAAGTTGCTCCTCATTGACAGTTTTTTGATAAAATATGTGCAAAAAATTATCAATCCTGTGATTTTGGAGTGACGGGTGTTTGGTAGTTCGTACTTTAACTTATTCTATATGAAACAACTCATACTCATTTATTTCCATTTCGAACAGTCACGATGCGTATTACCTGAATCAAGATAAATCAAAGTTTAATCGAATAAAGGATGTAAATAAAAATGTTTTATTATATTATTTGCTATTTCAAATTAATGATTTTTAAAAAGAAAAACAAAAACAAAACATTATTTATAAACTTGAGTGAAAAGGGGAATAAATCTTTTTTTTTTTTAAAAAGAACACAAAATTATTCCCCTTTACACAATGATCAATTTTGGGTTGGAGTTACACTCTGTTAAAAAAATCTAGTCCAAATTTAAGCACATGCAGTAGCTCCATACATAATATATTAATCTTTTCCGTGTATATTTTCAATATTGATTTCATCTAGAAATGACAGCAAACATGAAGATTACTGGAAGGTTACAAATTTATTTTATCCTCCCCCTTTTTTGCAGCAAAATCAGATTTTTTGCAAGAAAATCAGAGATATACTCAATTGCAAAGAAAAACACATTTAAAAAATAGCAAAAATTCATGAAATTAGGGAAATACAGAAAATTACTTTAATCTACCAATCACTTAAGCCTTATGCTTCGATCCTGTGAATCACAATCAATACCCATTTTGACTGGAACATCATTTTTATTAGGTATTGGCAGGTATATCTAAGAAGAAAAAAGATCATAACATACATGCACTGCTTTAATCATCAGGGGAATAGAGCTAGAAACCTTTAACAGTGTAGGCAATATTTCCAAATTGATGTATTCAAATAATATTATAAAAAAATAATTCTGTAGGTACATGTGTAATTTATTTCTGCATTAGACAAGCTAAATGTACCGGTAGTTGTGGCTTAAGACATACCACATATCTACAATGAAAAATAAATTACTTTCATGAGCTGTATTGATTAAAATAAGTTACATTTTGTGAACACTCTTAAAAAAATCAATATGCCCATTATAAAATGCATAATGCAGATCCAAAATGCATAAGGAAAACTTATGATTTCAATAAAGAATTACATAAAATCACATGTGTGGGTAAATAAATAGGTGACAAGATAATGCATTTGATTAAAAACAACAAATTGAACATGCCAGCTTAGCTATCTAAATGCCAAATTAAACAACCCATAAATATTATAATGAATTTAAAATAATTCATCCATAAAAGGAGGTTGAATAAAAATCATTCCTATTACAATGTATACACTGATGATGTTCATAAATTATGCAATGTCAGACAAAATGATACATATTGATTATTCAGGAATCACAGATAAAATGTAGTTTAAAGCCACTGTGCACTACACTGCTAGCTAACTTCTTGTGCTCCATTTGTCTGTCTGAGTTTGGTAATAGCAAGTCGCTCAATGTCATCTAGGCTTAGCCTCTGTAGGCTGGAGTTGAAATTCTGGAAACCATACATACATTTCTAAACCATTTTACTCTAAATTGACCAGAACTGTATAACATCTATTTTATACCATGATTACATTTTAATTGAAAAATCCTGATAAACTTTTTTACACTGTTAATTATCATGCATATCTTAATTTTTATACATGTACCGGTAAAAGGTACAAGATTATCACACTATTGAAGAGTTAAGTGAAACGCTGCAACCCTAATTTTCTCCAAGTGCAATAAACGCTGTTGTGATTTTCGCCATTAACAGAAAAATTGCAAAATTTTATATATTTCTCACAGGTACTTGTGGACAGAACCTCCACCCCTCCACCCCTTCAATATACACCCTAGGGCTAGTTCAACTTTTTTCACATATTATATTTATCAGACTTATTAATCATGTATACCATAAGAAAAATATGGAGAAAAATAACCTAAACAACTAATCAATACAAAAAAAAATACTCCACTGTACATAATAAGAAAGGCAGTGGGTGCATGTGATGTAAACAAACCGGTGTGGCATACCTTTCTCTCTTATTATGTATGGTGGGGTATTTTTTGTATGGAATGGTCATTTAGGATTATTCTCAATATTTTTTAATATGGTATACATGATAAATAAGTGTGATTGATATAATTTGTGGGGAAAAAGTTGAACTAGTCGTGGGGTTTTATATCTGGGAGGAGGGAAGGGTCCTGCCCACAAATACCTGTGTATTTTCTGTATCTTGAAAGCAAAGGTAACTTTGGAGAGTGGAGAACATAGCGTTGTGAGAGTACTGTGGAATCATCATTGTTCGTGGGGGACCAATGTTCGTGGATTTCGTTACCCTTACCCACGAATTTACATCCCCACGAACGTTTATTTTGTAAACATATTGATTAATTGAATCTACCGTATAAACGAGTAACCCACGAAATTACGTCCCCTCGAACAAGTAAAATTTTGCTTGTCCATGAACATTGACCCCCCACGAATTAAAATGATTCCACAGTAATTGGTGCAGTTGGGTCAAAATGGTGTAAAATAATAAATCAAGAAAAAGAGTTGCCCTAAGAAGAGCTGGTTTATTTTATTTTCTTCATATGTGACAGTGGTCCAATTTCTACAGCATATAAAATCTTAATAAACTACTGGTAGTCTCTTACCCAGAATTTGCATGCATTGCATTCAGCTCAAAGAATTAATGATAGCTAACCCTTCGACACTTACTTTCTGAAATTCAATGAGGACTTTTTCCACATCCTGTGGTGTGAAATGCCTCTGTAAGAATACTCTTAGTTTGTCCCAGAGAACAGTGGTACTGCAATAGGAGAGGTCTGCAGCAAATTTTGGAACATTCCCCAGTGAAGGAGAGCCAGTTTTCTCGGGTTTTTTGCTAAATAGGAATAACCTGTCTCCCTCTTTGATATTGTAGTAACTCAGCCTTTTGTCATCTGTAATATATAATATCAATATGTTAGGAAAAATTACTTATTAGAATTAATTACTTATTAGAATTACAGGTAAATTTCTGTATTTTGAATATTGATATCTATTACATGGATATGTTGAATTGAGTTGGAAGTCCCAACCACTTTCTCTTTATGTATTTTACACTCAATATATTGAACATGTTGAATCTTCAAATATCTCTGGGGTTTTTTTTCTCTCGATGCAATTGAGTTTGGGATAAAGAAGTTTGAAAAAACTTAAATTATATGAAAGAGAATGATGTATGTGCAGTGTTCTACAAGGTGTGAGCTAAAAGTTAAAAAAAGCTTTTTACACTTTGTGTAAATAAAATTGTTTAGCATGTTTAAGAAGCTTATTTCTAAAGGAAATAATGAGGAAATGCTCACAAAACAATCTTCTCCCATTGGGTCATGATGAATACCAGAAAAAATTTAATTTATACAACAAGGTCAATAAAAGGAAGAAATGGTGAAAGTCCAGAAATTGGAAAAGCTGATTAAGAACTTCAAACTTGTCAGAATATGTTGTATTCATATGATTTAAGAGATGTCAACATTATGAAATTAAAAATCATCAGGAAGGGGTTCAGGGCCTTATTTTTTTCATATTGTTTACTTTAAAATGATTTAGATAGCAAATTAGCAAGGGAACAATACAGGCAAGCACTGTCTTTAAGGACTATGACTTTTATTATAATACTGAAAAATGAAGGATCATACAGACTTGTCGAAATCCGTCGGTCCTGTCGGCAAGGCCGGTAAAAATTTGTCTGGACTGACAACTTTTAATTAAGAAAACGTCGGTCCAGATGACCATTTGAAAAAATCGAGCGTGATGCAAATTTAATAAAGGTCGGGATCGGGATGCGCAGCTGAAGGTCACAAACACAGGAAAAATGGCCGCGTACGCGGCGTGTTGACGATAGCCAATTAAATTTGTTATAGCAAACTCATAAAACAAGTCATTTATGTCTTTTATTAAAGACTTTCTATCCCAAGGAAGGAAACTTGTAAAATTGAAGGCTGCTGAAAATAATCCAGGGCACTTTGGTGCTGTTATTCATATAACTTTCACAGCGTCAAAATAAGGTACATGTATCTGGTATGACAAAACTTTGACTGGTCCTACAGAACATTTGACTTTGTCAGACCAAATGTCTGATAATGATTTAAAAATTTAGACAATTCTGTCATAGCTATGAAAATTCCAGTATTTCAGACTTTCATGAAGAAAAACTAAAATTGGAAGAATAGAGAAATCATGGGGCATATTTTTAGATGCTCGAACTGTAAGCCTTATACCAAAATTGTAGGGATTGGCAGCTCTATGATTTGAGTAACATGTGTTTATTGTCCCCGCTTTCATTGAAAGTTGGGGATATTAATTTCGGTCAGTCTGTCTGTCCATCTGACTGTATTTCTGTCCGTCTGTAACACTTTAGTTTCCAAGCGATATCTCGAAAAAACTTTGAGCTTTTGCAATGAAATTTTACATAACAACTCCGATGGCCTATAGAAGACCCCTATTGATTTTGAGGTCAAAAGGTCAAGGTCATAAATCCATAAATTTTGTCTGTTTTAACACTTTTGTTTCTGCAAGATATCTCGAGAAGCCTTTGAGCTTTTGTAATGAAATTTTATACCACAACTCCCTATGGCCTAAGGAAGATCCCTACTGATTTTGAGGTCAAAAGGTCAAAGATCAAGGTCGTATATTCATACATTCTGTCTGTGTGTAACACTTCTGTTTCTGGGCAATATCTCAAGAAGCTACGTGAGAAATTCTTTTACCAAGTACCCCTTGAACATACCACCATTTACTGTCCAAGGGCTTTTGATCTGCTCCCCAAAAAACCTTCAGCAAATTACGCCACTTAAACTTTGGCAGACAAAAGCAACAACTTCTGGGCGTATTACATTTTAACTCTGGATTTTAACCAATCTGGTAACATTTTTTAAATTGTAGTCCAATATCCATTGTAAACAAATAGAGGTATATATGAAAGAGAGAAAGAAGAACTATGTAAAGTTAGTTATGTAAAGCAAGTTATTAAAGGTTTATCAATGCACGAAAATAGAGATGAAGTGAGGATATAATGTATTAGTTGGTACAAAAACACAGAGTAGCAAATCATTCAAAGGTTTGGGTTTATAGGGAGTGAAGCAGACCTAAACCCTTGCTTGCGAAGATGATGATTTACCAGCTAGAGCTTTTCCTTTAAAGACTAGTTTCTGCTCCTCCACTGGCATTGAAATTTGCATAGCCAGTATTTCTTTCACTCCCAGCACAGTCTGACCTGAAGACACCTGAAATACAAAATATTTCACATTCAAAATCAAAAAGGATCTTTAATACATGTGCACTTTAATTGAAATTAAATGTACAGTTTTCTTATTCCTTTGTATCTGGAGCACCTGGGAAGAAGCTGCATTGTGTGCATCATAAATAACATTATTTATGTCTCTGATAACACAGTCACCTGAAAGTTTATAAATGAATTCTACCCTTTTTTGTTCAGGGCTTTAATTTCAAATTATTTATAAAGTTCCAGGTGCCTGTGATTATAAAGATGGTATTTACATGCATGGCTATTTCATCGTGCCAGAGTTGGCGAAAGGCACCGGATTTTGTACCGGCCCGCCGGCGATCTCTGGTAAATTTTGTCTAAGTCCGATGGATTTTAGAACCACATCGGACACCGTGTCCGGTAGATTTTTCAGAATAATCAATAGTAAAATAATTAAAGAAATGAAATAATGCATTATTTTTCAAAACTTCTTTAGATGATAATATTGAAAATATTAAAAGTATTCAGGCGATTTAAATATTTTGGGAAATCAAAATAATATGATACCGGAAATTTCAATTTTAGTTTCTATGTAACGTTCGTTAATATCCGGTATCGAGGCGGCAAGTAAACATGTGCTATGCTGTGGCCGATTAAATGGACAGAGTCGGTAAAAAGAAAGTCGGTGCCGAAAGCTGATACTGATAGCTCAAAAGAAAAGAATTTTTAACAAAAAGTGTAAGAAGTTTAATCCACAGTGGATTAATGAAAGACAGTGGCTAAGGTATGACGACGATATGCATATGATGTTTTGTGTGCCATGTACGAAATTTATGGTAAAGTCCATTCAAGTATTGTTAATTGATTCATGCATCTTAAATAAAATTCAGTTTTACATATTTTGTTGTTTTTTACATTAGGTCCGGCAAATTTTTAGCATGTCCTGTAGTTTTTGTGATTTTTTGACATCTGTAGGACACTGTGTCCGATAGATTTTTTACCTCTTTCGCCAACTCTGTCGTGCAGAGCAGAGACTGAACACAATCTTCTCTTTCTTTGTCGAGAAAATTCGGACGAAATTTTTTTTATACCGGTAAACATAGGCCTAGTAAACGTAAAATAAGAAGAAATGGCCGTTTGTGGGAGGAATTGTATTAATTGTAAGTTGCATGATAAATATATATTTAACTTACAGCAACTTGAAAGTCATTCCCTTTCAAAATTTTAACGTAAATGTGCATTTCCAGTTTTGTTTTGGTGTACGCACCTCATGCAAGGGACTTTCCGTATGAGTGATACGTCATCATCGCGTATGGATATTTTGGCATTTTTATACACGAGATTCCTATTGAAACTGGTTTGGATTTATATGATTATTTCTTAATAAAAAAAATATATCATACCAAAAGTTACGCATTTTAATATATACAAGCATCGTAATTAAGTAAACAAAGGATTCTTTGGTCGGTTGCCGAAAATAGGATGCATATTCTGCTCTTCCATTTATTAAACCTGCATACGCAAACTGCTAATAGGTCTTTGAATTTATACAATAGAAATACCTTCTTTGAAAATTAGCAGACTTAATTGGTATTTAATTTTATGAATTATATAGTGAATTCTTACACGCATTTGGAAAAGAGAATAATATAGCAAAAAGTATAAAATTTGTATAACAATTACAAGGGCGTGAGTAAACAGATTATAAGGCTGGTCGATTCGTTGAATGGCTGGAAGTTCCTTGATTCTAACTGGCTCATAGTTGACCAACCAATTTCTCAAATTCTTCCCGATCACATAGGTTTGTTATTGTAATCTTACGACCAATTGGACAGCACGTGGAAAGTTTAATTTCTTGTAAATATGAAAAAGAACATTTATTGTCATTAAAATGAATTCAATAGAGTGTTAAATTTTATAACGGCAAAAAAACCTGGCGCCATCTTTTTTCTCTGTTTTCGATTCTGTCCAAATATATGAAAGATATGTTTTTCTGGCGATCAGGTGAAATTGGAGAGAGTTAACCGGTAAATATTTATTCCAATTGTGTCTTGTTTATTCCTTTAGCTCTGACAATGTGCTAACTTTTTTACACTCGCAGTTCTAGCTTTTCATTGAAATATTTAGGTCATAGCAGGTAGATCAAAAACCTATATTTATTTTCAACTGCTTGTGTCAGAAAATCCGTAAATTTTGATGTGTCATCTATGTTATCACAGAGATTAAGCAGTTCTATAGAATGATAACTATCATGTCCATTAGTCAATTCTTTGTTTTATGCTTATTTTCCTTTCAGCCTTGTTTTACTTCCTCTACAAGTTTATCTTTTATAAAAGATAAGTGAGCTAACGCTGCAGCCATGATAAAACACGGAAGAAGATTACAGAACCATTTTGTTTATTTTGCTGAATCGATCAATCAATAGGAAGGCAGTGCGGCATTAGGGCATGGGGTCTCGATTCAGAAAATTTATAAAACTCGAGTAGGCTTCAGATTGGCAATGTCATAAGTGTGCTAATTTTTGAAAGCTGTTGTTCACTGTAATTTCAACACTGTGTGGAAAATACAATAATTTTAAGAGATCGTTGCTTCTGAGAACACATTTTAAAATATTCCTGAGTGGTACTGTTTTGTAACAGTTGCTAACAGTCACATCTTCTGGAACCCTTTTGGGAAGGTCAGAAAAACTTAATATCACTGAACACAAGATGTTAAAATTTTGTACAAAATGGAGTTGCTTCCCATCAATTAAACTAAAAGTATTTTCTAGGCAAAGTTGATTAATTGTCTCTTCTGTAACTGTACTCTAGGTTGCATTCAATGAAGTGTCATTTAGATAATAAATTATTTCAATGTTTGTGAAAAGACGGTTATCATGGATGCTTGAGTAACACATTTCAAGTTTCTATTTTGAGTTTGCTAGAACCTCCCAAGAAGGTAGTTAAGAAAAGCTAGGATTTATTATCAGTTTTAGAAATAACTGATCTCTGCAGTGTTGGCGTATAAGGCCTAAGTTACTGGTACTTTGTTGTACAGGTTAGACGACAAAAACATTGAACAAGGTAGAATGCTATTTTAATGTCTGAAGAAATTTTCAAACCTGAAAATATAAATAATTTGTTTACTTACAGGTGGCTATGGACAGTAACTCAGGAGATGGGGTTGGTGATGGAATGGGGGATTCTTTCATGGGGAGTCAATTTGTTATGGAAGGTAAGTAGTTTGCAATGGTTGCATTTCATTTCCGAAATTTTTCAAAATATTGAACTTTTCATTTCCGACATTTTGTAGTTTTCATCTCCAACATTTATCATATGATATTTTTTTTTAAATGAGTCAAGGTTTTGAAATAAGTGTAATATTTATATCCTGTTAAAATTTTATTTCCGTATTTAAATTGCCGGAAAGGTACCTCTAAAAATTCCGGAAAAGTAAAAAAAATAAATGTCAGAAATGAAAATAAAAAACTTCGGAAATGAAAATAAAAATTGTTGGAAATGCAATGCAAAATTCTGGAAATGAAATGCAATGTTTGCAACAAAAGTATGATGTTATAATAATAATAATAATAATAATGCTTTATTTAGAGAAGGTAACCCGATTAGTACAAGGTACTATTCTTCCCCGGGGCCTTCTAAATAACAAACAATATATTACATAAAATGATACAATCAAAGATAAAACATGTAATGATAAGTTCATTAATTCATGAATAATTAAATGTAATATTCAACTTAATGAAATATAGGCTCAAAATAGATAAGTCAATATTTATAGTTCAGGAGACATAGTTTAAAAACAATAGTAATAATCATACAATATGTACAAAGGAAATATACAAACATATATTTACAGACGTTGGCTAATAATAATTTTTTCCACATTTCTTCTAAAAATATGTAAAGATGGTGACAAATTTACATTTAATGGTAGGTTATTCCATAAATGTACACCTGAATATTGAATCGAATTTGTAAATAGAATTGTTCGATGTTTTGGTAAACGAAGATTATAATTTAATTCTGAACGCAGGGAATATGAGTCATGGCTATGAAAAACAAAAAGGTCCTGGAGGTATTCAGGGCTCATACCATAAAAAGTTTTGTACAATAAAATACACTTATGTAACGTGACTAATTCAAACACATTTAGCCATCCCAGTTTTTCAAACAATGGTTTTGATGGTTCGTTGTAATTTGGTACAAATGTCTGGTAAATGGTAACACAGAGAAACCATTCTTTTCATGGAGAAACAGTCTGCATATGATGTATATAACTACCAATCAAAATATTGTTTAGATCTGTCACTAATCTTTGGAAGAGGGTAAATCATTATAGTTAACACCAATTCATTTTATTGAACTGATTTGGTTTCCTTTTGGCATAGATACAATGTAAAGACCTTAGGGGGTCTTTGTGTTTAGGAGTACAGCTGAATCAGATGGTGTCTGTATATAAAGAACATAAGATTTTCATTTTTTTTTTTTCTTTTGTTACCATGTATGTTAATTTGTTTTGCATTGTATCAGTATAAATGTCAAAATTATAAGATTGGTGTTGGTGTGGTTGTTACATCAGGCCCAAAAAAATAATAGTCTTGTTTCCTGCTACCAGCCTGAAAAAAATAGGATAGGTAGGTAGGAAAATTATTTTATTTTTTTGTTTTATTTTATTTTTTTCCAACGGTATTTTTTGGATATGAACTAATACAAAACCAAATTAAACATGTCATAGGTCAATATTATCTTTTAAAATTAAATTTCATGTCTTTTGATGCACAACTCAAGTGGTATTTTATGAAAGTCCATATTTAAAACATAGAATTTCATGAAATACCACTTGAATATATATTTTTTTCAGTTTTGGAACATGAAATTCCTGAAATCCACAATTTTTTTTCCAAAACTAAAAAAAAAACTTTAGGGTCGGGTGCAAAAAAATAGGGTAGGTCGGGTAGCAGGAAACAAGACTATTATTTTTTTGGCCTCAGATGGAATCCACTTGGGGTTGAATCCTGGTTTGTTCTGTAACATTTGTTAAATCTTGAATTGTGATGAAATTTTGTTATATCAGATATATCATTGACACAGTTATATGTTGTAGATAATTGTGATGAATTGCTTTGTCTGTAGGTGGTGGAGATGGAGAGGAATTAGGAGCCACCGAGAATGATGATGATAACAGGGGAGATAATGAGCCTCTAAGAGAACAGGTCTGTTAATGCATGTAGTTATGAAATCAAGGGGAGGTAAACATTGTAAATGAGCAAACTGAGAGAATAAGTACAAATCTGCTAAAAAAAAATTAAACGTAAAATAATAAGCTAGTATGCATACATGTCCTAAGTCAGGAGAGACAATCCCTTTGCATTTCATGATGAATTTACTTAAATTAATAAGAGACCATCTGCACAATCAAACCTAACCTTCATTATATTCTCACTCACTTCATTTGTCCAAATATGGATTAATTACACTTTAAATAATGATAACAAGAAATTATGAAGGAATGCTTCTCGCTAGAACATTAATTTATTTTCAGTATCATTTATCATTTAGTGACCATTCAAACACATAATGACATTACATTTTTACTTTGACATACTTTTTTTGCCAAATATCAAAATGTCTTCTCTTTTTACTGCAGGATCGATTTTTACCCATTGCAAATGTTGCCAGAATTATGAAGAAATCTATACCAAAAACAGGAAAAGTAAGTCGGGAAATATATTAGAATCTTTACAAAAGTAACAAATTTTATAGAATACACTTAAAGTAGTGAAAAATCACATAGAAATTAATATGTTTTAGAGATACACGTATCTTGTGGGTTTTTTTTTCAGATAGCAAAAGACGCTAAAGAAACTGTACAGGAGTGTGTATCCGAATTTATTAGCTTCATCACTAGCGAGTATCCTTCTATAAATGTTACCATATTTATCTTGCTCAAGAATTCAGGTTGCTTGAAAGGAAAATTGCCTTATGCTTTCTAAAATAGACTTTTTCTGTAATTGTCACAATTTTCTAACAGAAAATAAAGATTAAAATAAAAAATCAAGCAAATTTTGAAATACCACATGGAGCATAATATGAAAAAATCATTACCTAAGATGGAAATTTTATTAAACATAGCAGAGCGTGACATATATACATAGTTGAAAATGTATTGTTGCAGAATGAAAGTGTGAAGTTAGCATTAATACATCAGGGATTTTTAAAAAAGTTTTTCAACATCTGTGCAAAAAAATTTATTTGTTTTTCGTTTTTTAAAAAAAAATTTCAGGGGGGGGGGGGGGGGTTAATGTGTGATAAGTAAGTTACATCGAAATAATAATAAAAAAAAACAACACATCAAAAACTAGATGTATTAAAGTGCACTTCTTGTGTCATCACTGTAGAAGTTTTCTTAACACATTACCCAGAGCGAGTGAACGATGCCACCAGGAGAAAAGGAAAACTATTAATGGAGAGGATATCCTGTTTGCAATGTCCACATTGGGGTTTGATAGTTATGTGGAACCACTGAAGCAATATCTACAAAAATATAGAGAGGTTAGATTTACAGAAAGGCTTTTAATACATGTCATGTTTCAATTTCTGTTAAAAGGCTCACTTTTTCAGGGTGTTGAAGTTTATTTTCTCAGTACGTGGTTGTAGATTTGAGAATTTGTGACATGTTGTTTGGCATGTAATGATTTTTCTCTGAAAATGTTCCCCGTTTTCATTCTTTGAAAATGATCCATGTTCTTCTTTCATTACTGAGAAAGCAGATGTTAAAACAGCAAATTAATTCCCCCCCCCCACTTTTCCAGTCTTCAAAAGCCCAAGACTACCAAAATTTGGTGTGGGTTAGTAAAGAACAAGGTTCACTTAGGGCCTTTATTGGCCCTGTGAATTTCTGAAAAACTGGAACTGCTTAGTTTTAGTTGACAATGCATTAAATTTCATTTAGACATTTGGCGATTGCAAATCTACCAAAAATGACGTTATTTTCTGGCTACTAAATTCATTATGACGTCATGAAATGCATCATTTTCCCCATGTCCAGAACAATTCTACAAAAACAGCCAATTTTTAAAGCTATTTTTCGGTATTTAATATAGAGCGCAATCTCTGATCTAAAATATGCAATTATTTACTGATAGAACCGTTTCTGAGGATTACAAAACATGTTTTATTTTTTTTATCAGAGGGTGCGCTCATATTAATTTTCTTCTCTGAAAGTACTTAAATATACCTGTTTTCCTTAAAATCCAAGAACATTGCAATTCCATAAAGCATGTTTTCCAAGACCTGGACTTTAAGGAGAAAAATTTTAATAGGAAATGAAAGCACCAAGTCTCTACTTTATCTTGATGTCTAAACTGGAACATAACGTGTGAGTCAATAAATTGGTATACCTACAGGGCCATTTTATGCATAAAGTGAACCTAGCTCTTTAAAATGAACTTCTGAATCAATAGCTTGATGGGCTACTGCAGTGAGTTAAAATTTGTTTTATTTCAACTTTGTGAAACTATAAGAAAGAATAAATGTTAGTGTCTGAAACATTTTCTATAGGGTATAAATTCCAGGTACATTATGAATAAAGCTGTTCAGATACCAGTAGATTTAAAACAATGAATAATAAAGTAGAATGATATATCTGAATTAGGTACTGAAGAAAACAGAAGTCAAGGACAGATACTCCCAATTAATGACATATTTAAGCAAGTTATTTGGAAATGTAACTTGTTGCAATCATGCCCCTTACTAAAGCAAGTTTGCAATTTGTCCAAATTGCCACTTGTACCAACACTCATGTTGGAATGGTCATAATATCAGGTGCATGTTCATGTATTTCAGTCCTCCAAAGGAGAAAAAGGTGGCCCAGCTCTGGGAGCCGAGGGAACCATTGATGAACTGGGGGAAGAGACATTCTGTAAGTTTTACTAAACAATTGAAATGCAAGGTTAAAGTTTATATGTTTAAAATAATGAGAAACTTTAGATGTGAGAGATGCAGAAGTTTATTCCATTCAACAGTAATAGTAAGTGGACATGTACCTGTAATATTTTTCTTCCGTGTGAGAAAACACTTGCAAACAATCAACAAATTATACAAGTTAATTTCTTCACTAATGAATTTAATTTATAGAACGATATAAGTTTTACATGTACCTACAGGGGGAATAAATCATAAGGAGACTGAAGTAATGAGTATATTGTGTAAAATATTGAACGAAAAGCAGTGAAGAAATTGAATTTCTTTCCATTATTTTTTGAAATTCTTTGAAGTTTTGTATGAAGATTTATTGGCACAATATGAATGCCAGGTGCAAACTTGTATATCAGGCAAAAATTTTTTGGATGAAAATAGCTCAGTAGTTTCTTTTTTTCCCCCCAGTTTACAAAAATGTGCTCTTTAAAAAACGTATGGTACTTAAGCAAACAAAAGCTTTATCATGTTTATGTATGCATTAACTTTCATTGCATTGATCATGTTGATACATGTACTGTAAACCTTTCCTTGTTTTGTTTGATACAGCCCAGACTTTGTCATCAAGTCTGCTGACAAATGAACAGACAAATGCACAGGGCGTCATCTATACACAATACTCTGGAGCGGTATGTATTTTATAGTCAATATAGGTGAAAAACAAATCCGTTTCATTCTACGTAGACCAATGATCATTTAATTTGATATATTTACAATGCTATAGAAAATTATGTGTTTGAGTATCATTCAAGTGTGACCCTCAGAGAGAGAGAGAGATTTATTTAACCTATTGTGAATTTATATATTGCGAAGCCAAAAATACATGTAATAACATTTTGATTAAATACATGTACACTGAACATATGACTTCACAAATGATATGGCAAAACAACATACCAAAATTAAGGTTATGTTTCAAGTTTTAAAGAGATAAAGACAAACAAAGAATTTGTTTTTGGAGAATGACAAATAAAATAACCTATAGTAGATGTCCACAGTTCTGTAGTGTGCAGTGACCTCAAATACCAAGTGGTATTACATGTATATCGTTAAACTCTGGTATCTCTGACACTGATATCTCAAATTCCATGGATATGTTGAAACGAGTTGGAAGTCCGAACCACTTTTTCTGTAAATTCTATGTTTACAAAGCTAACGATATTAAATCAATGCATTATCAACTGATTATGAAACAGACAAGTAACCTTGATATCTCAAATCTTAAGATATCTTGAAGTTTTTCCTTTGGAGTTCGAGATTAGGAGGTTTGATTGTATGCAGGTTTGACACTAAGGCATTTCTGACTACCCCATTCTAGTAAATGAGTGGCCTGGTAGTTTAAAGTGTATGTGAAACAGACATGTGGATAAAATAAATGTAAACCCCTATTTCAGTATTTCAACATATAATTTAAAACTTTTCAAAAGATTTTCTTATCTGCCACCCAGCCATCAATATGTAAAGGAAAATTTCCCAACAATGCACAATCACTATTTTTAGTCACATCTGTGATAGACAAGTCACAGTCAGAAGAGGAAGTGTTAAAACTAGCTTCTATCAGAATGTATACTTTAATTAGTTTATTATTCCCCACTTACTAAAGGGATATTAATTTTGGTCTGTCCATCCATCTGTCATTTTGTCTGTGTAACACTCGTTTCATTAAGACCACGGAACATTAACTGGCAAAATTGGAAATATGCAGCTCACATCATTTCCACCTGTTACAATCAAAACATTTAATGATATGCATGCAATGGAATGGGCAGGTACAATTCGACACGGACGTCCTAGAAAACATTGGATTGAAATTCTAGTTTGAAATTCATTTTCAATCCACCTCAGCTACACTAGATGGTAATGTCTTACTGATTGACCCAGAAGACAAATAATTTCAATTTCGGAATATTTTGAAGTTTAAATGTATAACTCAGAATTTCTGTCCAGTGTTTTTCAAGAAATATAAAGGGACAAATATTTTATTTCTGTTAGGTATGTGCATGCAAAGTGTGTGTGTGGGGGGGGGGGGGGGGGGGGGGGGGGGATGGGGCTGAACGATCTTGGAAATAAAAAAGAAAGTTTTTATTTTTTTAGTTTGGACAACCCCTCCCTGTTTTTGATTGTCAAACATTTTTTGCAGTGAAGAAAAAGCTAAAGAAAATACCTCTTGTCATCCTAGAATTAAATATATTTTGTCATGTGAAGGCATGATCTGACTCGACAATTCCCCCCCCCCCCCTTTTTTTTTTCTAGAATCAAATAGCTATTCCCTAAAAAAATATTATAAAAATATTATATAATATATATATTATATAAAAATTATAGGCTAAAAACTCATATAAACAATGATTAAATATGAATTTCAAACAACATGTATTTGGGAATTGAAATGATTTGTCTTTTTGATCATACATTCACACTCTGTATTTGAAAACAGCTCAGGTGGATTGAAAATGAATTTCAAACTAGAATTTCAATCCAATGTTTTCTCGGACGTCCTTGCCGAATTGTACCCGCCCATTTCATTGTCTATCATTAAATGTTTTGACTGTAACAGATGGAAAAGACGTAAGCTGTATATTTCCAATTTTGCCAGTTAATGTTCCGCGGTCTTATGGTAATTCAAAGTCTTTAAGATTTTGCGATGAAATTTTACATCGCAACTCCCTATGGCCTAAAGAAGACCCTGATTGATATTGAGGTCAAAAGGTCAAGGTCATAAATTAATACATTCTGCTTCATTTCCAGGTGATATTTTTAAAAGCCTTTGAGCTTTTGCAATGAAATTTTATATTACAACTCCCTATGGCCCAAAGAAGACCCCTATTCATTTTGAGATGAAAATATTGAAGGTCAAAGTTATACATTCTATCTTTGTGTAACACCTTTGTTTCTGGTGATATCTTAAAAACCCTTTGAGCTTTTGCTATGAAATTTTAAATCACATGGCCTAAAGAAGACCCCTTTTGATTTGAGGTGAAAAGTTCAAAGGACAAGGCCAGAAGTTCATACATTCCAAATAATAGTTTAGAAAACTTCAGTTCTCTTTGAGCTTTTTTCAATATATACCGCAACTCTTTATGGCCTTAAAAAAGTCCCTTATATATTTGAGGTCAAAAGACAAGGTCAGAAATTTATAAATTGCAAAAAATGGTTTCCAGATGATAACTTTAGTTCCCTTTGAAGTTTTCAATGAAGTTAATCATAAATCTTAGTGACTTAAAAAGATTTCTTTTTATTTTAAGGTCAAAGGTCATGGTCAGAAATTCATACAATGCAAAGAAATGTTTTCAGGATGATATCACTAGTTTTCCTTGGGCTTTTTTTTTTTAATGAAATTCATATCTCATATCTTCCAATGACTTGGACCTCCTTTGAAATTTAGGTCAAAAGGTCAAGGTGAAAAATTCATATCTTGCATAAAATGGTCTCTAGTCGGCCTACTTCCCATGAAATTCAGTAGCCCTGACCATAAAACCACTAGCCCTGTCCTACCTTTCAATTTACTTCTTATACATTGTAACCTGCTAACTTTAATGAGATAATGTTTCTTTCATTATAATATTCACATTATAATTAGGGCCCTACAATGATTTGCCGGTGCCCTATAGTAATCACTCTGTCTGTCTGTCCGTCCGTCTGTCTGTCTGTCCGTCTGTCATTCTTCCGTCCACAAATTTTCTGTTTTTTTCTAATAACTTTTTTTGTAGTTGACCAATTAAGTTCAAATTTGGTATGTTGGTTGGAGAGGCAGTAAGACATATTTTGATGCTAAGTTTGGTTCTCTGTGTCATCCAGTTTGGAGCTGGGGTGGTGGGGTAGATTCCTTAACTTTACATTAGAATGAATGCCAGGGCAAAGAGAGATAACTGCTGAGAATGTTCATATTGTAAATATGAAAGCTGCAACTAGTCTCATGGGATTAATTAACTTTCCTCTTGAAGAAAATCCAAAGCATTATCTGTTGCTGTCAAATTGAGATTAATTAACACCTCTGTCTGTTTTGAAGTTAAGGTCAATTCTGAATGATGTTTACATTCTCTGATATGTGGATTTAAATAATGTTCATACTTTATTTTGGTAAAATATACAATGTGTTATGAATTTATTGAATTCTAAAAACAAGATATACATAAAGATATGGGGGGGGGGGGGGGTTAAAATTTTTTTTTATTTATTTATTTTATTTATTTATTCATTTTTTGGCTGCCATATGTAAATTCAAGAATACTATTAATTTTAATGGGTAGTCCAATAATAAACCCATTCTATCATTACTGAAAGAGTTCTTACTGTAAACTTTGAAGAAAAGGATGAGAGAGCAGTACAATTAATCCCTTGGGATTAATTATCTTGACTAGGGCAGAAAATTTTCCAGGCTTATCTTTATTTGTCATTTTAAGATAAATTAACCTTTGTCTGCAACTGATGTTTGTTTTGAAGTTAAGGTCAAGTCTGGTTGATATTTGTATTCACTGAAGGCTGGCATTTTATAAAACACATGCTTTATTCTTGTTTAAATATACATTTAATTGAGTTATTATAGATATGTTTTTTACTGCCTTACCGGTATGGAAATACAGGGATACTCTTTACAGGTTGTTGGATATTTAGGAATTATCTTGAAATTTTATAAATACAGTTGTTATTGCATATTCTCCTTCATATATTTTAAAATTTTTGTAATCAATTAAAATTCTCATTCTGTAAGCTGCACCCCACAGGTACTTGTGGACAGGACCCCCCCCCCCCCCTCCCTCCCCCCCCCCCCCCCAATTCAACCCCGAGGTTTGTTGGACATTTTTTTTTACAAATTATATTTGTTACACTTATTCATAATGTGTACCATACGAAGAAATCGTGAAAACCCCAAAATAATCGTTCCACACAAAAATACCCCACTATACATTATAAGAGAGAAAGGTATGCCACTCCGGTTTGTTTACGTTGTACCCCCACTAGTCTTTCTGGGTTTAAAAACATGTATTTATTTTATTTTAACCTAAAATGTCGGTTCAACGCATCAAACGCGCTGAAAATTCCTTAGGTAAACGCAACGGAAGTACACCAAGAATGTATCACTTATTACAATAACGTCCGAGAGAGTTTTGGTCTGACGTAATTATCTCTCTCGGGTGTTATCTTAATAGGTAATATATTCTCTATGCACTTCCGTTGCGTTTACCTAAGGAATTTTCAACGGGGTTAGTACAATGAAGTTTAAGGATTAATTGTGGGATTCTTACGAGATGCAGAGTCAATCCCATAGCATGAACTATGACAGAAATATATGTAGAGACCTGTGTTCTACCCCTCGGTGGGGCCCTTGCTGACTGGTCAGTTTTCTAGTATTAATTATGGTTATATTCAATGTGTCAAGATCAACCAACATGGCTTTTAACAGACTATTTGATAAGTTGCAGCCAACTGAGTCGGGTTCATTGGGATATACAAATATATAATATAATACATGTTAAAGAACATCAGTCATTCCAACAACCTTAAATAAAATTATTATTCTTTTTTTTATAAGTATTTTGCCATGGATATCTCGAATCCTCGAAGTTCTTTTCTTGGCCCCACTCAAGTTTGAGATAAGGAGGTTTGACTGTATATAAATTTCTGACCTCAAAATCAATAGGAACCTTTTTAATGTCATATTGACTAAAGGTATAAAAATTTCATTGCAAAACATCAAAGAGAGCTAGAGTTATCACCAGGTCTTATACATATAAAAGTTAATGTCAAACCTTGGTATATATAATAATAACATCAGGGTATGTAAGTAAGGAAATTCCACACTGATGTTGTACATGAAAATTGAAATGTGTCGTACAACAAGCTCTGTAGAATTCATTCTGTTTATTAATCCAGTTTTGGGGTTGTCCCTAAAAATTAAAATAGCAGGGGACATTAAAGGACTAGAAGGGGATCTGGGGTTCCTCTCCTGACAGGGGAGTAAGGAGGAATACCAAAGTAACTGGGGGATTGTGTCATTATAGGCAGGGAAATTCCCTGTCCCCCGGGTCTTAGGGACAACCCTGCAGTTTACCTCAGCTTGGATTAAGTTAACCCATAAATATTTTAATCCATGTCATGTCCATACATTGCACATTTTATTGTGGATTAACATTGTCAGTATATCATGTATGTGGAAGTGAGTTTTAATTGTAGCACATTTTACTATTGCCACACTCAACACAAAAATCATGCAAAATTCTTGACTTTTTCACAGTGTAATTTTATGTTACTTGCAGCTTCCCCAGAATATGAGCTTTTCATGATTCTGAAGTACCTGGATGATGACCTCTGTGTGTGTGTATTATAAAGACAGAGCCTCGGAACGCTTTTAATGCGTAGAGGAAGAAATTAATCAGATCATGACAGGGTGTGTTGTTTTCTTTATGGTTTGTGACTGTCATATATAGAGATTGTGTGGTGCTATGTATCAAGTTAATGGCAAGCTACACTGCCTGTTTGCAGCAGCATTTTACAGCTGTTAATTTATCAGATAATATTTTATGATTTATGATTAAAATTTATTTAAAACTAATAATTTAATAATTTAAAAACTTTTGATTGAATATAATTTTTGTTAGTAGGTGTACCAGTTATATTTTTAAAAAATGTTTTATTATAATTTACAGCATGGCTTAGTGTACTGTGTTATAGTTTCTTTATATTTAATAAGTGTTGTATTTAAGATTTACATTGTATTTGAGGTTAAAATTGCAGTTGTTAAACTGTCATTTTTATTTTGACACAAAAGGAGAGCAATATTTCAATGGTTACATGTACATGTACAACATTACAATCCTATAAATGGCCTCATTATATAGAGAAATGGCTTCATTATACAGAGAATATGTCAGAGAAGTTGAATGGTGCACTCTGCATGTGACAAGAAAAAAAATCATTAAAAATAAGATTGACTAATCAGAAAAAGTAATTTTCTGTAAACTTAACATCATCAACTTTATTGATGAAGTACACAGTAATTTTTTTAAAAATGAATATAGTGTTGTCATTTTGAAAAAAAACAAATAGCTGTTACAGTTATATACAGAATATAAATGAAACTTTATTCTAGTATTGGACATAAAAATAATACATTCTTTTTTTTTTTTTTGATAAGGTGTCCAAATTTAAATCATGCATTAATTGTGTACAAATAAGGTATATCTCGACTGGTTAAGTGTTGTTTTTTGTTCAGTTTTATTTGTACCATATTACATGAACAATGATAGATAATATGATTTCTTTAAATTATATGTTATGATTTTGCATTTGTTGTATTATATGTACAGTGTAGATCTCGATTCAATTTCATTTGTGCAAAACTTCATGTTTTTCAACTGTAATGGCAGTACATATGCAAAATTTTGTTTTTGGTTCATTTCATACTATATTTAATTTTTTTTTAAATTTCTTTTCAAGAACACACTTTTTTATCTTTTAATTTCTGGATTATATTTATTTTAACAAAAAAAATATTCTTTGAGTATTTATTTATTTTCAATATTATTAACATAAAAATTGGTACTTAGGCCTAAGTAAGAAATATGTTTGTGTACTATTACATGCATTTAAAAAAAAAATGGGATGGTAGGTAGGATTATATTTTTATTTTTAAAATTATTTATTATAAACATAAAGTTGAAATACAAAACTTTTTGAGCACTTATGAAGCTCACATTTTCTTGGTGCAAAATCTTTTTTTCCATCTACCATATACATGTACCTCATTAAAGTGGTATGGAACTTATGTCATATAAAATTTAATGTTCAAAGAATATGTATGGACATGCAATTTTCCTATCATACATCAAACAAGAATTTGGGTCGGTGCAAAAATCTAGGATTGGTCAGGTGCATGTAACTGTAAAAAAACTTTTTTTTCTTAGGCCTTATATATATATATATATATATATATATATATATATATATATATATATATATATATATATATATATATATATATATATATATATATATATAATTGTTGTATGCTGTTTTCTGAGAGAACCTTGTTTCTGTACTGATTAATGAAGTGGAAAAATAAAAATTCAGTGCAAAGATTAGGACATGTTCAGTGTCTAATCTTCAGGAAACTTGTGGATGAATCATTTCTTGAAACATTATTTATTTTGAAAAAAAAACCTCATTGGGTTGGGGATGGGGCAATGCCTATAAATACCCTCTTTATACAAAAAAAATCAAGGTATTATTGTCCAGTCAAGCAGACATTTTGGTTTTGGTGGGCTGACCACAGTAGGACTGACTTTAGGAAAGCCAGACACATAGAAAAAATGTTACAGTTGTGGTGGTCAGGCAGGTTTGATTGCTGGTGGCTTGATAATTCGGTTGGTAGAGCACCTGACTAGTGATTCAGGAGATCCAGGTTCGAATCATGATCAGGTCCAGTGCAGTTTTAGCTCACCTCAACGAAGTTGGGGGAGCTTATGTAATACCCTCCGTGTCTCATCCCAGGTTAAAGATTTTGGGGCAGATATCTTTTCATAGCTTTTAGTAAGACTCATTGTACCAGTTAAACGACCAAGTAGATGTTTTAGGAGTAGGTCTCATTTCCAAGCCCTATATTGACCGAACTTGCATGATACATCTAAGGATGTACACTACCAGACTTGTTTCGAAAGCTGGATCTGACCTACATTTTCCGGATGAGTGACCAGGTTAAAGTTTTTGGAGCAGGTTCATTCTAAAGTAACCAGAAGACCTATGCTGACCAAACTGGCAATGATGATGCATCAAGGAATGAACACTCTCAGACTTGCTTCTCCAAACTATTGAGAAAATTGTGACAAATCTGTTCACAAATAATCCAAAGTGCGCTGAATATTTAATGATGAATTCAACCAGTGTATATATTCCAGCATTTACTTTGAATTAGCGACATTATATAATTAGTTAACGTAAGAAATACAGAGGCAATTACATGTAACTCTGCAGCTTGATCTCGGGTAAATTCATATCACTCTACTCGATTTCTTAAAGAACAGTAATCGATTATTACCAGATCCATACAGCTCATCTTCTTTACGTTTTTCTCATTTAATATCCATTTGTATCGAATCCACATTTTGATTTGTGATGAAGGTGCAAACGAGCAATCAAATTACATGTATTTAAAATGTCATAAGTCTGAAATGGAAACTTATATCTTAATGCTTTTATATTCCTTGGGAAACACAGCAATTCAAGGAAAAATCTGTAAGGAGTAGATAAGATTGAATTTTAATCCTCACTAAATTTTCGACGAAACATATTTTGTTATGGACTCCATTCATTTATTGAAATTCTAAATGAAAAGATAATGTACATACATTATAGAGAAATAAATTGCTTTATTAATTGAATAGACTACACAAGCTATTTATCGATAAGAATTGTTATCAAACAAAACAGTATTTGCAAACATATTTAGCTACCGATAAATACAGTATTTTTATATGTTGCAGTAAAAACAGAATAATATGCCTGAATCGAAAATGGACGGCACTACAGAATAAGCGTTGCCTACATGATGAAACCTGCACTTAATTTGTTCAAAACTTAATTAAAAGGACTTGGACAATCTTTGGCTCACAGTACAAATGGTTTGGCAATAACACCAAATATAAAGGTGAAAAAATTGAGGGGTCTTTTTTCAGGATGAGTGGAAATTCCTGAGATATTGAATATTTTAGGTCTAACACTCAGAATCATGACGTGAGTCCAACGAAAGCATCCGCCGTCAGTTCTGCGTTTTCTGCGTGTTTTTCGGTAATCACAGATGCCATTTCAGACTTTCCCATCTCAGTTACTGCTCGTGCAAGTTCTTTCACTTTTTCCCGCTCTTTTATCTTTGGACGCATGTCTTTCCAAGAGTCTTTCCATGTGAGCAGTATTTTCTGTGTAGTGTCAATCCGGGTTCTGTCGCTGACGTCACTGTACCCTTCGTCTGATGCAGCGTTAGCGATGTTGACGATTGTTGTGGTAGGGACATTTAGATACATTCCGAGCATTAATCCGCTGTATTTGTCTACGGCCCCAAGCTCCCTCGACAGCACAGCGAGACTGGTGTCCTTTAGCACTGCTGCCTCCTTCTTTGAAGTCACGGATGATGATGCTGAAATATTGAAGAAAACATTGTAAAACGTGCGTTATGTTTTGTTCCAAAATATTAACAAACCATTCAAAGTAACTGGATTTTTATTTTTGATCATTTATGAGAGGGATATTAGCTGATGAACTTGGTCAATTTTAAGTATAGTTGATACAACTACAGCTGTCGCCTGCGTGGCGCAGTGGTTAGAGCGTCTGCTCTAGAGTCGCGGAGTTGATCCTTACATCGCGGGTTCGAATTCCACTGCGGGACCTGAAGAGCGGTCCTTCGGATGAGACCGTATAAACCGAGGTCCCGTGTCGCAGTAGGTACTGGCACGAAAAAGATCCCTCACTGCGCAATGGCCCTAAGTGCCGAGTATAGGTCAAAATTTTTAGCCCTCCATCAGCAAGTGGTGGCGTCTCCATATGAGTGAAAAATTCTGAGAGGGACGTTAAACAACAAACAAACAACTACAGCTTAATTGCTGACCACATTGGCACATTCTCAAATTTTTAGGTTGTAGTTTGGTGATGTTGTTCTTGGATGCATTTTGCAAATTAGAACACATAATGCTGAAAGTAGAAATGCATTTCCCTGATTAAAACCGTGCTCTATGTGCAAGCGACAACAACCTTTTTTTGTAAGTTGTGTACAACATATTGCTTGAAGCCTTTTCATTAAGTACCGTTCGAATACCATTCCTTTGCAAAGAATTTTCATTGCTGGAAACTTACATTTCTGAAGTTTTGGATTCGCATTCTTGGGTTGATTTTGTTTTGCTGGTGAAATTTTCCCCATATCCAAAATTATAAAATTCTCATTCACGTTTTAAAACGAAAAATAGAAGATCCAAGAGCTACTGATTAAACGTGTACATGCAACTCTATCGTTGCCCAGGAAAGATTTTAATTTGCACTTATTTCCAGGTCCACGTGATCCTTGCAATCTAAACCAGAAAATCGAAGCATTTCTAATCCCAGACTTTAGTGCGTTTCTTTGCACAATTAACAGATAATATTTCACCCTCCACGTCTTTGTATTTTGGACATTATTGATTGGTTGATTGATTTTCCATTCTATGAAGTACAGGCTGTAATTGACACTTGTCTGTCGGGGTGTCATGACCACGGATAAAAAGTACGCGGGGAGTATTAATAAAGTATACAAACATGTGCTCTGTTCTACTACAGCAAAAAATAGCACATGACTGTACAGAGAGAAATACAGGAATTTTGTTCATTTCAGTTTAAAAAGATTGTGAGTCTTCAGGATTTGTCTTGTGTATTGAGTCTTTGGACAAAACAAATAGATAGAAATTTCGATAATAAAGTTTACTTAGTTTGAACAATTGTAATTTCTCTGGTATATTGCCGATGCATCAGCTTTCTGTAGACATGCTGACAAACAAGGATGCATAATTGCAAAAAAAAAAAAAAAAAAAAAAAAAAAAAAAAAAAGGCGGGGGAGGTAGTAGCAAGAGTTGAAACTGCATGAGGAGGCACCATATATAAATGTATATACAAACAAAATAGCAAGGTATGTACTGATTTTAAGTGAGATTTTTACTGAGTAACTTAAAGTTTGGTTTCATATGTTCTTTTTCCTACATTTTTGCTACATATAAGTACATTTAATTGTCAAGAATACGGAAGGGGTTAGTGGGTGGTTGCAGTAACAAAGTCCAAGTTTATTTAGTCTCTCACTGTGTCAAAAGATGTATAAAGTACAAAAAAAACATTGTATATAAATACATGACATCAACAGAATACATATATATGGAGACATATTTATATAACCTAGCTGTAAATCCCTATTACCTTTACACAATGTCATATTTAACTTATGTGCAAAATACACTAGGGCAGGGCGTACCCCCACTTCCCTCTCTTGACTGTATTTTACCCACTGTTGGTCTCGCTCTACGTCCCAAAATTTCAAATTTCCTTATAATATTATGCCTACTTCATCCTATATCAACTCCACTTCATATAAACAAATGTACAAGATTTATCTATATAAGTTACCCGTGTGGGATATATAGATATACAGAATATACATCAAAAACGTAATTCGATTTCTTTGTGCGGGTGTGTTACTGTGTTAGATTAATCGATTTGTGATTTTCAGGCAACACTGAACACGAAGTTCAATATACTCGTATGTACCATTGATTTTTCTTTAGACCGTGTAATCAAAAATAATACCGGAACAGCTTTAAATAATTGTTGTATTGTGTATGCATCTAGGAAACCATCAAAAATTTAAGTGTCGTCGTAGAATTTTTTAGTATTTTGACATAGCTACACAATCAAAGAACATACAAACTGACACATTACTGTGTTTTTTGAAAACAATCCACGCACACACTTGGAAATCTCCTAACAATACAAAATCTTGCACGTATTGGAACAATTCGGATTTCTGGCACGCCAACAAGCAACTGTATAACCGAAGACAACATATTATTTGTAATTATATCCACCAATTAATTAATTAGTTGATTAGGAAGAAACGATGCGTGTTGAACTTACCGTCGTCAGCCATTGTCTTTGCTATATGTCCCTTTTTATTATAGTGCTTTTAAAATCCCAAGAGAATTAACGCTTAATAGAATTCTCCAATGTAAACAAATCTCATAGCAACGAAGTTGACACCACACTTGTACCTTTAAAAGCCAGTCGTCGAAACTCAAGGTTATATCCGTATTGATAATACCTGTATTGATATGTGTTGAATTAAAATTCTCTCTCTCTTTCTCTCTCTCTCCAATCTGTAATTTATTTGAATTAGAAAGTTTATCTTTTAGGTCCCCCTTTATACAAAATTCTGCCAGAGATTTAATTACTGATAGTATGTAGGTCCATGATTCTGCTAACTTTTAAAGGAATTAATTTTAAATGATCGGTAGAGAAGCATGCATAATTTCTTTATGTCATCTGTTTATAAAGTTAAATAGATCTATAATGCATAAGATAATATGAAAATACAAATTTTCTTAAATTTTATTTAAAATATCACTTTTTTTTTCTTCAAAAGCCAATTCCCACAAAACCAACCACAATGCAAACAATATTTGACCATTACCCAAAGCGTTTTTTTTTTAAATGAATATGCAAATTATCATACATGTACATGTAGCAACGTTAACACAGCTGAGAACTAAGTTGCTTCAGTATCAAAAACAGAATCAATGGTATGCATAATATGCATGGATTATACATTTTCATCATGAGATAAGCATCCAAAAAATCCATATGCTCTTTAATCAACCCTGCTCTTTCATCAGTTTAAGAATGCATAACATGACATTATTTTGTTTTTATTGGAAGGGGAGGGGGTGTACCGTACAATGTAGTAAAAAGATTCCACATTTTTACTAAGAGGAATATGGTGAATTACTTTAAATGGTCATATCTCAGTCATTTTTCTTCTTAATTTGTCATTTTTTTCACTGGGAAGTGGGGGGGGGGGCATTTATCAGTCTTGAGGTAAGAAAAAAGTATACTATCAATTATCAACACTTCGAGTTTGAAAACAATCCATTCCAGATTTGGGGAATGGTGAAAGGGGTGGGGTGGGGCGCTTAATTGCACGATCTACTACGTAAGACCAGGGACACATATATTATATCTGTTATGATAAAGGAATTTACGAGTAGATATATAAAAATGCATTTATACAGTTTTTTATGTGTGTGTGTTGGGGGGGGGGGTATTCAGACACATGAGACTGCAAATAGATTAAAAGTTTATTCGGGGAAGGAGGGTTGTTGAAAATGTGTGATCATTTATACTTCCTTATATCCATGGACAGTTCACTTAAGTGCATAAAACTACACTGCAATTAGAATTCTTTAGTGTGCAGAAAGAGGAAAGGGGGGTTACAAAGCACTGGTTTCGGTTTTCTGTCCTTCATTCCAGTCACTGCCGCTAGGATCACTGGTTAGTGGGTGCGTCTCTTATTGTGTTCTTTTGACCAATCAGATCGAGTCAGGTGAGGCTATGTCCGCATTCATGACCATTATATATATATGATCTAAACTAGTTACTGGAAAGCAGACCTGTTTGTGTGTCGTAAGAAACCTACATTGTACGTATCTCTATTTTTCTTTTCTTTTAATTCGAAAAAAAACTTATTAATTATAAATTTACAAGATCTCAAAAATAAATAATTCTCGCGATATTGGACGTCTAAAGCGTCAAAGTGAAAGTAGAAAATGTTTTATTACCGGAAGTATTATTTGTCACGTTGGATGTTTTGGTAAACAGAGAAAATTATGGACGCCGCAGTAGATGGAATCCCCCCTATTATGTGGGAACCGGACCGAACCATGTCGACTAAAATGGATGAATTGAGGACAAGAATCAATGAAAAATATAGTGTAAATCTGGGTAAGTTAAACTAAGAATCTCGAATTTCCTCTGTCAATCATCGGTGCCATGGGGTTGAAGTGAAGGAGTACAAAATTGGATGTACCAGCAGGGACGTATGTAGGACCAGATGCCAAATAATTTCCATTTATATTTATCTTGTATTGTACTCCAATGTCTTGATTGAATCATATTTTTTTTATTTAGGATCTGCAGATAATCATTTAAAAAACTTATATTTTTTTAAATGACTTGAAATAGATCATGGACCTAAATACTACAGTATTACTATATATGTCCCTGAATAGATACAGTTATGGAATCCAGTGAAACCAATGACTAATCATCTGTGCCTCAATTATAGCTCCTCAATTATAGCTCGTGATGGAACATAAAAATTAACAGGAGTGTTTCCCATTCTCACATTTCTTGCTGACAATATTAATTGTTAGCTAGTCATGTCAAAAGCAAACATGGCAACAGGCACTGTTCATCAAAATTGTCAGCCAGTTATGGGTGATAAATTAAACAAAAACTTATGTTTTTTCTAAATAGTGGCAATGCAAAACCAGTGATGCTAGCTAGGTTAACATGAATTGGATCAGAATGTAGGTGTGATGGGTAGAATTCAGAAATTGAATTCATGTAATGTTGATAAATAATAAGAAGGTCATGGGGTCATATGTCAGGTTATATATATATATATATATATATATATATATATATATATATATATATATATATATATATATATATATATATATATATATATATATATATATATTCATGTTTACAGAGACTTATAGAGAGTTCCACAAGTGGTCCTGTGAGAACTATGACCAGTTTTGGGAGGAAGTCTGGCAGTTTACCGATGTCATCCACTCACAGCCTTATACAGAGGTAATATATTGATTTGTCTGTATAACAGACCTTCAAATCATAAAACATCACCTTCTCAATAAAGTATTCATTTTATATGTCTTAAATTCTTGAACTGATGGTATATATATCTTAAGAAATGTGTTTGTCATTTTTAGTTTATCCAGAATGTTACATAACTTTTTATGCTCCGTATCGAAGATTCGGGGGTATATAGTTTTTGCCCTGTCCATCTGTCTGTTTGTCTGTTTGTCCGCAAAAACTTTAACCTTGCCCATAACTTTTGATTGGTTGGAGCTATGGCTTTCATATTTCACATGTGTATTCCTTGTGGTAAGACCTTTCTTTGGGTACCACCATATTTGACCTTTTGACCTAGACCTTGGAGTTTGACCCACTTTTGCAAAATTTTACCAAACTTAAACCTTGGCCATAACTTTTGAACAATTGGTGCTAGGGCTTTCGTACTTCACATGTGTAATCCTTGTGACAAGACCTTCCTTTGGATACCAGAGTTCGACATACTTTTGAAAAACTTTAACCTTGGCCATAACTTTTGAACAGTTGGTGCTAGGGCTTTCATACTTAACATATGTAATCCTTGTGAGAATACCTTTCTTTGGATACCAACAACTTTGACCCTTTGACCTTGACCTTGGAGTTTGACCTACTTTTGGAAAACTTTAATCTTGGTCATAACTTTTGAACGATTGGTGCTTCGGCTTTCACATTTCACCTGTGTATTTCTTGGGAAAAGGCCTTTCCTTGGGTACCAATAATTTTGACCATTTGACCTTGACCTTGATGTTTGACATACTTTTGAAAAAACTTAACCATTTCCATATCTATTCAATGGTCACTGCTAGGGCTTTCATAATTCAAAGGTTTATTCCTAGAGACAAGACCTTACTTTGTGTACCAACATATTTGATTTGCATTGAGAAAGTTTAACCTTTACTAAAAGTTGCCATACGGGGGCATCAGTGTTTCACAAACACATCTTGTTTTAAAATGCAAACTATTAAAGTTGGAAAAATCAAAAATATTTGCCATATATAAGATAAATTTGTCAGCTGAATGTTCATTGAAATTTCATCTTGATTGTAGTTTGCAGATCCTTCTCAGATTTTTTTTTTTAGATTTTGTTCTTCATCTTGTCAGTTGCTGCAAACTTGATTTTCAGGTGATTGATAAATCCAAGAATATTGCAGAGATTCCTACATGGTTTCGAGGGAGCCGCCTTAATTTTGCGGAAAATCTGCTCCGTTACAATGATGACCGTGTTGCAGTTTATGCTACAGGTAAAAGAATCGACATCATAGCATAAATATATTGCTAATGGAAGAGCTTCTTGTAAACAGCCTCATTTCCATGTAGTTTATTTTTATTCGCAGGATAACAGAATAAAAAAAAATAAAATCACATTGCAATGATGCTAGGAAATATACAGCATACTCCGGATATATTGAACTTCAGAGGACCATGCAAATTATTTCAATATATCTGTAATTCAATATAAGCGAAATCGACTGACGTGAAGCCGCCATTTTTACAAGTTCAATCCCGATCTAGAATAAAGAGGAACAAACCCGAACAAATTAATTTGGTCATCGTTTATCTATTACAGTCTATTTAGATTTCTCAGCAAGAATTAAATGGATAATGTTTGAGGATCTTGCGTTTGTGAACCATTTGAAAAGACCATCTTCAACCTCATTATAATTCCCTGTTCGCATTCTTTTACGTTTTTGGAGAAAATCACCGAACTCAACCGCTTCAATTACTTGCTGAACGCTGCTTGTATATCATCGTAAGTGTACTCTGGTCAATCCCAAAATCCTTAGTTATTTCGGATTTAGGTTTTGTCTTCTTATCAATAGCCATAACTAATACATATTTATTGTCCAAAGATAAGGTTTTTTTCTGTGGGGTTCCCATATTGTCTAGCCTCAATACATCCGTATATGTGAAAACAAAGAATTCAACAGTGAATACATTTTATTTTGTAAAAGCAGTATTAAAACACATAAGGTGAGAAATTATTAATTCACACCTTTGTATATCAACCAGACAGTTAGGCATAATTACTGTCACCAACGGTAATGACAGCCGCCAGGGAGTACTTCAATATAACCGTTATGAAAACAACTCAGTATCACCTCTAGGGACCGATCAGTGGCTTCAATATAAGCGATATTTCAAAATAGCCGATTTCATTAATATGTTATTTTAATGCAAAGAAATTGAGAGGCTAAAACTGGGGACTTATTTTTATTTCAAAATAAGCGGAAATTCAAAATTAGCAATTTCAATATAAGTGGAGTAAGCTGTAATGAGTAATCAGTGATAAATCATGTATATGTCTTAATTTATTCATGTATGGAGTCAACATTTTAAAACTCTTCCTTATTTATCAGGTGAAGGACTTGGGATCAAAGGAATGCAGAAGAAAACATTTAAGGAACTCCGATCCTCTGTGGCGAGATATGCAGCAGCCATGAGAAAAATGGGGGTCCAGTCAGGAGACAGGGTCGTAGGTATGCATGATTTATTATGATTTCCCATGAAGAAGTTTTTAAACCCTCATTAAAGGACTTATCGCATGTTTCTAAATTATTTGAAATTAAAAGCGTAAAACGTTCCTTATGACCACAGTTTATAAATTTTGTGTTTTTGCTGCAGATAAACCGCGGTAATTAACCAATTATTGACTCAAATGAAAACCCCTGAATTAAAAATCTAAGTTAATTAGATAGCGATCACGTGACCCTGTGACGTCAAAGGCGACAATGGCTGATCAGCTCTATAGTTAATCTTACTAAAATATACGCGATACAACATGGATATTCTGCATTTTGGACGACCATTTCACTGATTTTATCGATATGAAATTGAATGTCCAACCTTATATTTTAGAATTGTCATCAAGAAAAAATCTGAAAAATCTGTTAACATTGTAAAAATAGCAGCGACGATATCGAAGGAGACGCGGCGAAGACGAAGAAACTCACCATCACAATACAATTTGATTTGTCATCTTATCACATATATTAACTTCATTGATTTACAAATTTAATATTGTATAACTGTTATTCTTCGTTTTTAGCATAACATTAATTTACTTATGTTTTGTAAAGGATGGCAGTCTTGAAAAATAATTTTCCGATCACGAAACATTGCCGTAATCGGAGCTGTACTGATTCTGAATGTTTCGAATAAAAAAACGAAAACATCTCAAAAGCCTTCTACCTTAGAACTAGTTAATGTTTCTATAGTAATTAAAAAGCACTCTAGGAATTATTTTTTTCAGCATTTTTCGTAATTAAGCTGCATTTGTTGTTGATAACTCCGTAAATAGTTTATATATTCTCATCTCTCTATCACTGAATTGTCGCCTATGACGTCAGAGCAGTATTTTGCCGAAATCCGACTGAAATATGCATATTGCCGTATTTGAATTTCAACTCTCAATATCTCTTAAAATATGCTTTCAATAACGTTTATTGTATTCAATATTTTAAAAACAAGGTTGTAGATAATATTTTTCATAAAATTACGATTTTTGAAAGATCATGCGATAAGTCCTTTAACCATGCTATTTGGAAGATATTATATTTTACTAGTCTTGGACTTGAGGGTGGTTGTCTGGGGTTTCCTTGGTTTCAAGGTACGGTAATAAATCTTCAAAGGATCTGCTTTCAATGTACTATTACGTGTACCTATATGGATATGTTTGTTGACTCCACATTTTGTTTGTTCTTATCAAATCACCACCAAATATGGATAAAAAGTTTGTTTCCCAATGATATCATAGCTTGGAATTGATCTGTGTGCATGGACGTTATTTTTACACAACTGAGACATTGTAAAGTATTGCTTTACAAAATTCACATCAATGTAAAGATCAAATGTTCAATATCAGGATCATCTTGAATTTTTACAGATTCTAACATTCTTAATGTTAAACATACAATACATGTATACTTTTTTTCCATGGGGGCATATGTTACCCTGGCCTGGCAGAATCTAAAAAGAACAGGAGAGGTGAAGTACGTTACGTTTATTTGGCGGGTTTCAGCAACAATTAAAAAGTCTAACACAAGATACGCATTATTATACATACATACACTCATTTAGTCTAGGGGATTTACAACTACTAATTTACTATGACATCAAAATATCACTGACTAGAATAAAACATGTGGCTAGTAGATTCCGTTTGATAAGTTATCAATAAAATATTTTATAATACCATATCTTTATGTCCGAAACAGCCAAAACACATTTACATCTGTATTTGTTGACGTTTTGTCTCAAACCGGAAACAGATTACACTACTCTAAAACATGACTCTAATCCGTGCAACTCAACTAATTCCGGAAACAAATGAAATTGTATATATTCTTTAGAAAATCAAATCTATATGTTTAGCAAATACTTTCTGTGATTATAACATAACAATTCTGTACATATAACCTGTTCACTATTGTTTAAACTCAAAATAAAGACTTTTCACTGAACTCTACCCACGTGACTAGACCATGCTGCATCAAAATACTAGCGAATACATTGAAATTCACCTAATCGCAATATTTTGAGAAACAAAATGTCTTATATCAAACATATTATATATCAAGAAAACAGTTACAAACATGTTAACATGTACAAATTTATGTTCTTACCTAAAAAGAACAGGAGAGGTGAAGTACGTTACGTTTATTTGGCGGGTTTCAGCAACAATAAAAGTTTAACCCAAGATACCCCACATTCCGGATTTACACACATCCAAGAGTTATCTCTCTTTGATCATAAATTCTATAACAGACTAATACATTATACAAAAAAATGGGGGTGGCTGAAACCCAATATAAACTACGTCACACACTCCCCTACAAAATTGAATGTTGTCCCGACATTAACAATTACAATGAAACACTCTTTGTAATTAAAATAAAGCAACATTATCAGGCTTCTGTTTTCCACAGAACAGTATACTGTATTATCATTACATAGACCCTTTAACAACATACATATGCAACTTGCTCGATTATACCCAAATGTCTACAACTGGCCAAATTGCAGACAACACTCTAAAATGTCCTAAGTATACATAAAGCTAGACACTAAGGTTACATTTACTCTGTCGCATACATGTACATGGCCCATATAACAACCATTAACTAATGAAATTTGACAATACTTGATAAATGCTATAATTAGCATGTGATTCATATCACTCATGATATTATTAAATAAACATACATGTATTGATTTCACGAGGGCATTTGCCCTTAAAGCTGTAAAACATGACAGTCTACTAATATGTGAAAATCTACACAAAAATTTCAAAATCTGGTTTAATGGTCTGCACATATGATGGTTTCCCTAACTGATCATATGTAAACTTCCTGGGAGGTTTGGTTGCTCTCCTAGGTCTTTCTGAATGATAGTCTTCAGTCTCGCTTGTTTGTTCAACATCTGGCTCCGCACATCTATCCTCAGAATTTGGGTCCTCCTGATCATCAGATTGTCTATCTGAGCTATGGGCTGACTTGAAACTATCACCAGAACTGTCAGAAATCACAACCGGTTCCTCAGAATGAGAGTCACAAGGATTCTCTACTTCAATTACCGAGTCCGAGCTATCATTTTCTGTAATATGCTGCTGAGGCACAAACGGTTCTGCATGTGGATTTAAAGAGATCCCTCCAAAATCAATTGATCCATCAGAATCAGAGGAGCTGCCGTCAGCATCATAAACTGTCACTGGGACTGCAGGTTTAAAGGGTTGTTTAATCCGGCAGGTTTTTTTCTTCTCCTTATGTCCAGACTCTACGGGTAGAGAATTGCACTGCCTCAACAGGTTCCTGTGAAGTCTCCTGATACCACCCTGTCCTGACTTCTTCCTCACCTCGTACACTGGTGTATCCTCATTTACTTGCTTTAGTACCACATACACATCCTGCTCCCAGTATGACCTTAATTTCCCTGGCCCTCCTTTTTCCAACAGGTTCTTCACCAATACATGGTCTCCAGGATACAATCGTGCGCTCAATAGTGCCTTGTCATACTGACGCTTTCCCTTATCAGACATCTTCATTGCTTGCTGTGATGCAACTTTGTAAACCTCTTCCATGCGAGCTTTCCACTGAGTGACATACTGTGAGTAAGTCCGCTTTGATTCTGAATGCTGTAGCTCAGGAAAAACTAGGTCAATGGGCAGTGTTGGATGACGTCCAAATAACAAGAAGAATGGTGCATATCCAGTTGATTCATTCTTCGTACAATTGTATGCATGAATGACTTTGTTTAAATGAGATTTCCAGTCAGATTTGAAAGATGGTTCTAGAGTTCTTAACATTTGTAACAAAGTTCTATTGAAACGCTCCACCTGGCCATTTCCTTGCGGGTGGTAGGGTGTTGTACGAGAGTGATGAATTCCACACAGCTTCTGGAACTCAAAGAAAAATCTGTTCTCAAATTCACGTCCCTGATCATGGTGAAGTCTGCTAGGCATTCCAAACCTTAGCACAAAATCATTGAACACTTTTTCTGCTGCGGTCTTAGCCGATTTGTTCCTGGTGGCATACACCTGGGCGAAGCGAGTATAGTGGTCCATCACCACAAGAATATATTCATATCCCCCTTTGCAGCGCTCCAAATGGAGGAAATCAATTGAGACCAGTTCCAATGGACAAGTCGTAGTTATCGGTTGTAGTGCTGCTTTGCGCGGAAGATGTGGTCTTTTGTCCTTGATACAACAACACTCCTGAGTGACATATCGCTCAATCTCTGAACCCATGTGCGGCCAGTAGAATCGATCCCTTGCGCTACTCAATACTCTCTCTGCTCCTAAGTGTCCTAGATCGTCATGTAAATGTTTAAGGGCTAATTTCCTATAACATTTTGGAAGTACCAGCTGTTGTATTTGTCCTTCTCGAGGTAGTGAAATCTCCCTCCTAAGTAATCCATTGACCATCTTCAACTTTGGCCATTCTCGTAGTAAACACTTGGAAGCAGAGCTCCATCCTTTGGTTACTTCCTTTGACGGTCTTGTCCCCTTTTGTACAAAAGGAATTATAAGCCCAATGTCTGGGTCCTTACTCTGTTCCTTTGTTAAGGTAGCACTGCTAACAGAAGTAAAGGTTCCACCCTGAAGTTTCTCTTCCTCAGCTTCAGCCTCTTTAACTGGTGCACAAATACTGCCACAAACAGTCTCGTCTAACCTTACTGCTGACACAATGGCATCAATGGTGTCAGGGGAACAACTTTCTGTAAACTTGGACACATCAAGGGGCATGCGACTGAGTCCATCTGCGTCACTGTTTTTCACACCGGGCTTGTAGTGGATATGGAATCGGAAATCTGCCAACATGGAAACCCACCTTAATCTCGTAGCATCTAGCTTTGGGGCGGTGAATATATATCGCAATGGGTTATAGTCACTGTACACTTCAAAATGAGTGGCATAGTAAAGGTAATCTCTAAATCGCTCTGTCACTGCCCATTTGAGTGCTAGGAATTCTAATTTTCCGGAGTGAAGGTGGTAGTTTTGTTCAGCTGGTGTCAGTGTCCTAGACGCATAAGCAACTACAGCCAGCTTGTCATTATCCTGTTTCTGATAAAGGATAGCTCCCAAGCCCATTTGTGATGCATCAATGTGGAGAGTATAAGGTTTGTTGAAATCAGGATAAGCCATCACTGGTGGGTGAAGTAGGACATCAATGAGATCCTCTAAGATACTTTGGTGTTCAGCTGTCCATGTAATCCGCACTGATGAACTCTTCTGTCCTGATTTCTGAGACTTGGTTTTCTTCTGCTTCTTCCCCAATAAGGGTGCATCATTGTCACCTTTCAGTAAATCGTAGATGGGTTTTGCTCTACGGGAGAAATTTGGGATATAACTCCTGTAATATCCGATAAAGCCCATCACTTTCCGTACATCTCCAACTGTTTGAAACCTCTGATCCTTTAATTTCAACACTGCCTCCTGGTCATTTGGGTCTACAGTATGACCCTGTGTAGTGACTAGGTGACCCAAGTAACGGATCTGTTTCTGAAAGATATGGCATTTACTAGGTTTCAATTTCAGTCCCTTCTCCTTCATACGACGCAACACACACTGAAGGTCATTCAAATGAGCCTCAAACGAATTACTGTACACCAAAATGTCATCTAAGTATGGGAGGCAACACTTATCTCTGAGTCCTTCTAGAGCTTCATTCATGTATGCTTGGAATATTCCAGGAGCACCTGTGAGTCCAAATGGAATACGATTCCACTCGTACTGTCCCCATGGTGTCACAAATGAAGTGTACTTTCTGCATTCCTCTTTCACAAAACCCTGATGGTATGCTTTACTTTGATCAAGAAGTGAGAACCAGCGACTTCCTCCCAAGGAATCGAGAGCATCCTGTACTCGTGGAATTGGATGTTGGTTGTGGACAGTTTTTGCGTTTAACTTCCTATAGTCAACACATAAACGGAGTGATCCGTCCTTCTTCCTTACACACACAATAGGACTAGAGTATGGGGATGTTGATCTTCGAATCCAACGTTTCTGTAACAAGTTGGCAATATAATCTTTAACTTCTTGGTAAAGAGGCCTCGGTACAGCCATGTAAGAACTATGCACTGGTTCTTTGTCCATCAGTTCTAACTCCAACTGCAGATCCACGGCACAACCGATATCATCATCATCACATGTAAACGCCTCACATTCCTCCCTCAATAGCTCCTGGACTTTCTTTTTCTGGTCTGGGGTAAGGGAACAGTTTGAAAGATCAACAGGCGGATCCCACTTTTCACAATTTTTAGTACTCACTTTATTTACTACTGTCTGAACACTATTAGATCCTGTAGTCTCAAAGTGAATTGATGAACAAATCCTTTCAACATGTCCTAAAGGTGTTCCTTTTGGGAGGACAGAGTCCATTTTGGATGGATTAGACAACAACAATTTGACGTGTCTAGTACGCTTTGGCTTCACATCAATGAGCATTTCCTGTGATGTAACTCCATAGGCATCCAATTCTTGAGACGGAATGAAGACAGCCTTAGTGCCATGCTGAAGTTGTCTGGTCTTGAATGGTACTTTGACGATTATCGACGACTGCCTTGGTACGGTTATATTCCTGCGTCCTACCTTGACCATTCCCAGTGTTCCGTCTCCCGTGTTTTTCAACTCCCGGTAGAGGGCGTTGACCTGAGCCTCATCAGCCGCTGGAAGAGTACACTTTAACAAGTCAACAGCATCACTACTATGTACAGTTTGTACCAGGTGTTGTATAATATTATACCCAAGAATAGGTTCATTCATACCAGATACATTGGTGATCAGAAAAGGCACCTGAATTTCACTACCTTGTTTTAACAATTTCAAACTGACAGTAAGAACACCTTCAATAGGTATATCTGAGCCCGAGGCAGATACTAATGAAAATTTCTCCGACTGTAAAAATTCTTCAACACTCTTAACACTTTCAACTACATCTGGACAATAATTCATGACAAATGACTTACTTAACAGTGAAACTTGGGCCCCTGTATCCCACAATGCTTTCACAGGTTTCTCATTCAATAATACACAAACATGACATGGCTTACTGACAAGTTTTACAATGTTCGGCCCAATATCATAAACATCACCTTTGATTTCATTTACAGAAATTGCAGAAAAATTGTTAGGTTGACATTCAGCAAAAAATTTTGTGTTCATATATTTGACAGCATTACAAATTTTCTTATGTTCAACCCAATGTGCTTTTTGACAATTTACACTACAATATGTGGCTAAATGACAACTTGTGCAAACTTTGATAGTTTCACTTGACAATTGACGATGACATGATAAACAACTCTTGGGACATTCCATTTGCTGGGCCGCCAACTGTCCCTCTAAGACGACCCGCTGCGGTTTCCCGATGGGTGAGACTTCCGGTTTGGGCACTGTTGTCGACGATGACCGGATCCACCACATGTCCAGCAGTGGTCGCAACGCTTGCCGGTGGCTTGGCAGTCGGCACATCCTGGTCTGCTCCTTGCGTTTACTGGTTGCGTCCTCACATCACTTTGGGAATGTCCTACTATTTCTTTCAGTTTATTCATCTCGAGCCGTAAAGATTTAATTTCACTCGCAAGGTCATTTTTCACGGCCTCTTTCACAGAGTTGATCTCCAAGGTAGAGTTAATTTGAGACACCGAGTGTTTAGATTGGAGTTTGTTAAGTCTTTCACTCTCTTGTATAAGAATCTGATTCAGCTCATGCATGAGCTCTGCATCTGATATAGTCACTTTGTCCAAATGTTTCCTCATCTCATGTCGTAATGTTGTGTCCCGTAACCCTGTGTAAACTGTTCTTCTGAATAGACCAGCAACCAGTTCTGGACTGTATTTGAGTTCACTGTTATCTTCCTGCGAAGCAAACAGAATCCGGTTCCTGAGGTCCATCACACGCAAAAGGAAATCATTAGGGTTTTCCTTCGGATTTTGGGTCGCGCTGGCAAGTTCACTGTACAACTCAGTAGCATTTTTTTCTGCATAGTGTCCTCTTAGAATACTCCTCAGAGTAGCCAGATTTATGTCAGGTCGTCCATCAAGGTAACTACGAAGACTCGAGGATGGAACAACTGCCTTGATCACCCCATCAATAATGTCAACCTCTGAATATCCCTTCTGTTTACCAGTTTCAATTTGTCGAATTAGGCTTGTGTAAGATATCCCTGCCTTACAATCAACCTGGCCACTGATTTTAAAGTCCTTATGTAGCTTTACCGCTGTGGGATTTTCTTTCTTGACTTCCGGTTTCTTTTCTATTTCTTCTTCACAAATCCCTGGAGACTTAGTGTCCTTCACACTTTCAGTTTCCGCTTTCATACCCACAGTTTTTTCAAGTTCTTTCTGAGCTGCCTCTGCTAAAGTATATTTTACTGAGAGCAATGTGGTTCCAGACTGTGCGCCTTCCATCTCCTTCATGAAGAATTTATCTGCCTGCATAGCCACCACTAGTCGACCCTTGGAAGCATCAACAGTCTCCCCGAATTCCTCCAGAATTCCCTTCAGTACGTCCAGTGGTGCCATCATCAGCTTTGACCTCACCTCCAACATTTCCTCTGTCAACTCTGCCATGATAAGAATCCCGGACGAGCCCCCAAAATGTTACCCTGGCCTGGCAGAATCTAAAAAGAACAGGAGAGGTGAAGTACGTTACGTTTATTTGGCGGGTTTCAGCAACAATTAAAAAGTCTAACACAAGATACGCATTATTATACATACATACACTCATTTAGTCTAGGGGATTTACAACTACTAATTTACTATGACATCAAAATATCACTGACTAGAATAAAACATGTGGCTAGTAGATTCCGTTTGATAAGTTATCAATAAAATATTTTATAATACCATATCTTTATGTCCGAAACAGCCAAAACACATTTACATCTGTATTTGTTGACGTTTTGTCTCAAACCGGAAACAGATTACACTACTCTAAAACATGACTCTAATCCGTGCAACTCAACTAATTCCGGAAACAAATGAAATTGTATATATTCTTTAGAAAATCAAATCTATATGTTTAGCAAATACTTTCTGTGATTATAACATAACAATTCTGTACATATAACCTGTTCACTATTGTTTAAACTCAAAATAAAGACTTTTCACTGAACTCTACCCACGTGACTAGACCATGCTGCATCAAAATACTAGCGAATACATTGAAATTCACCTAATCGCAATATTTTGAGAAACAAAATGTCTTATATCAAACATATTATATATCAAGAAAACAGTTACAAACATGTTAACATGTACAAATTTATGTTCTTACCTAAAAAGAACAGGAGAGGTGAAGTACGTTACGTTTATTTGGCGGGTTTCAGCAACAATAAAAGTTTAACCCAAGATACCCCACATTCCGGATTTACACACATCCAAGAGTTATCTCTCTTTGATCATAAATTCTATAACAGACTAATACATTATACAAAAAAATGGGGGTGGCTGAAACCCAATATAAACTACGTCACACATAATCCACGGAATCACAATTTCTGTTCAATTGACAGGTAGAAAAATACTCAGATTACTTGGAGTACCATTAAATGTCTTAAATGCACTTTATGTTTGCTGTTACAAATTTCCAAAGAAAATTTGTGACCACATACATGTACATAGCGTAAATTAATCCCACATGGAAAAAAGTATGTCTACAAGTACAAAGTATTGTAAGTCTTATGATCTGGTTACTAGTAGTGTATAAACAGTTTCATATGCTCTACCAATGGAGCCTCTGTATCTATTGAAGGATTTGATGTGTAATCCTTCCCATTTTTGTCTTATTTATGTAGGGTACATCCCAAACTGTACAGTTGCTCTGGAGGCCATGTTAGCTGCAGCATCTATAGGTGCTGTGTGGAGCTCTACCTCTCCAGACTTTGGGGTACAGGTAAGTCAGAAAAATTCTCCAGCACATCTTATTAAAAAGATACTTAGAGAATAAGAATCATTCACTGTTTTCACTCAACACAATATTTCATTATATCTCTGTGCCTGAGAATGCATCTGATATTGCCTATTCCAGAAAATTTCCATTCCGTAAAATTCAAAATTTTGCATCATGTTAAGTCTGTGATATATTATAATTAAAAAAAGTGTAATTTATGCAGAAATGATACTGATTTTTTTGGTAAAAATATTACGGTAAATGAATGTTATAAATAATGTGCAAATGAGTAGCCAATAATTGTTTTCATTTTAACAAAAATATTATAAATGGTAGCTAGTGTGCCAAGAGGTACTATCAAACAACACATTAATTTTGTTCCTAAGTTAGGAAAATACTATGGGTATATCTTTAAAAGGTATAGGAAATTAGTACGCTATAAGGTTAATTGAATGCACATTTTAAAATTTATAACAATATTTATGGGTTTTATGTTATAAACCTTTTATACCCAGTTGTATTTACCTGTATTATACTCTTGTTTGTTTAATATACATTTTAGCAGAACAGAAAATAAATCCAGTTAATATATATGTATTTAAAGTAAAGAGTATAATAAACAAGAGAAATTCTTTTCATCTATTGTTGTTATGTTTTTGGTAGGGTGTTTTGGACAGATTCTCACAAATAAAACCAAAGTTGATATTCAGTATTAATGCTGTATGGTACAATGGCAAAGTTCACTCACATCTGGAGAAACTGGAACAAGTTGTCAGAGGTACTGTGTTACAATGTATTTCTGATTCAATACACAAATGATTATTTATGGTAACATGAATTAGATGTAAGAATGACTGGTAAGTTTTTAATTTCTGTCATATTTGCCATTGAGATCAGTAAAGTAAAACCTTTTTAATGGATGGTTTATACCAAAATGATCTCAAAACTTTGAATCGCGGACTCCTTTTGGAGAGTTACTTCCCTTATATCAATTGTTTCTCACAATTGATCTTGTGAGAAACATCAATTTGTTTTTGACATTTTTATATTCCAGTCAAGTTTATGGTGTTTGTCTCCCTTTGCAGGGTTACCTGACCTTGAGAAAGTTGTTGTTCTGAGGTTTGTTCCTGATGCACCCTGTGATATTTCAGCTATTCCTAACAGGTGAGACAATACAGGAGGAGGATTTATGTCCCAAACTTTTTGAACAAAAATATTCTCATTACTTTTAGATTCTGACATTATGATATTTCTAAACAACAAAGTAAAATGATCATTATGATTACTAATGTGACAGAGTACTGTAAAATCACTAATTTTCAGAAAGGGGGGAGGTATTGAATGATTTTGTGGTATGTAGAGAACTACCATTTCATATCCTCCGTGAAGTTTTACAATTCCAAACTTCAATACAGTGTACATGTATTATGTTTGTCTTTCCACCATGAAATGAAATCCTCACAAACCAGTAATTTTTCTCAAACCAGGCAAATTTAACTGTACAAAAATAAATGATTTCACAGTACATGTGTTGTATAGGATTTTACATGTCAGATTAGATAAGTTTTGCTACCTATCATGTTTTCCTACATAAAAATATCAGTAGGCAGATACCAATGCAGAGACTTTGTAAGAGACAAATACATACATGTACATGTACATGTATATGATTTTTTTTGAGTTTGTGATATATAAAAAACAATGTTTTGTGTTGTATTTAGCTGCTTATTGGAGGAATTTGTCTCATCAAGTGACCCAGATGTGGAGCTGTATTTTGAACAAGTCCCCTTTAACCATCCATTATTTATCATGTACTCATCAGGGACCACTGGAGCCCCTAAGTGTATGGTCCACTCAGTGGGGGTAAGCTGACATCAAAAATCAACATATTGGTAATGTGTTTGTAACTTGTTATCTTCTTAAAAATAAGTTTCACGTTTATTTCAAAAAATCAATATTGTAAGAATTTTTTTTCATCAAACTTGTGCAACAGCTGAGCTTGAAACTCACCATCACTAATTACAGGGCTCAACAATAATGCTTGTCCATATTCAGTTCATTTTGTGACCATGCAGACAAGTCAGTCTCCACAAATACTTGTCTGATGGGAAAAATTACTTTTATTACCTTTATGGAATAGTATGTGTGCATGACTTAAAAAAACCCCCCACAGAATTCATTAAACAGTGATATTTTTTAAACTGCATCCATCAAGTACATAACTTTCAAATCTTGGCTTGATAACTCGGTTGGTAGAGCACCTGACTAGTGATTCATTAATTTTCCTGTATACAGTATTTCAAAACAAACTTCTATCATGTTGATACGAAGAATTTTCAAAGCATTCAATGATTTGGTATTGATAAAAATGACATACCTGGTACTTTTATGAGGGAAAATTTTGTGGGGTTAGTAAATAAATGGAGTTTATGGGCTAAGGTGCTGAAAGTCTGTTGCAAGCCTCTAATTATACATGGGTTTACTACAGAAAGGTACAATTTATTGTTTTTGATTATGTTTTTCCACAGGGAACCTTGCTGAAGCATTTAGAGGAACACATCATACAAAGCAACATGGGAAGGGAGGACATTTTCTTTTATTACACTACAGTAAGGAGAATGTTTACTTTATTACAGCATTAGGACAGATTTAATGCATTAAAAATGCCTTTTTAATTACTTTGTAATGGTTTTCTCTTGTGATATGCACAATGCCTGAACTTTTTCCTTTGTAGCAAGCTATACATTGAAGACATATAGGTAGTTTTCAGTGCTGTAAACGTACATGAATTAGCACAATCAAAATTTAGTGCCTGGCCTTTTCAACTGATTAGCACAATTATAAATTAGTGTACATGTATGTGAGTCTTAAATCCTACTTTAATCATACATAACATTAACGTAAACATGAATAAACATACAAGAAGAAGCATAAAAGCCGCGAGAATATGGTTACAGCTAAAATAAGGTTACCTCTAAAATAAGTACATTTAAGTATTAGAAGTTGAATTTCACTATGTTTTCTATTTTCTCTTTTACCATGTTTACTGAAGAAAGTCCTCAAGCTTGAATTTGATATAAATCTCTTGAAAAATACATGAGAAATACCAATCTAATTAAAATTAGATCCTTTACGCTCCTGTATTTTGTTACATCGCTTTAAGGATCCTTACAGTGACATAACAAAATACAGGAGCATAAAGGATCTAATTTTAATTATATTGGAAAAATACTGGCATTATAAGAATAGTTGACTTTTCAAACAAAATTTTGGGGTCATACTTAGTAAATATAAAGTGAAAATTATTTTATGCAGATAATTCTAAAACTGAAAATAATTTACTTTTACTGTGTACTTGTGTATGTGATAGGTTGGCTGGATGATGTGGAATTGGTTAGTCTCAGGTCTGGCTGTGGGTGCCGCCATTGTTCTGTATGATGGGTCCCCTCTGGTGCCCCATGCAAATCACCTCTGGGATCTGGTGGATGAATTAGGGTAAATGTTTTCAAGTTTAATATAAAAACATTTTCTTTGATATGATTTTTCCATGAGCATAATTCTATTTTCATGATTCTATTTATTGGTTTATGAAGATATTAAAGGTATTCTTTTCAGATTATAACTACTTTTTAGATTATAACTACCTAAAAATTTAGAATACACCCTCAAAGTGCAGTGAAAACTGTCTAATCTGACACCTGTGCAACCCATTTCACTGTGTTTTCCAACCTTTATTTTTGTTCCCATTTTACCATTTTCCATGTTCTTTTCACTGTGTAATCAGACACCCTGTCTATTCCGACACAAAATTTGTCTCTCAGTGCATGTCTCAGATTAGACAGGTTTCACTGTACAATATTCCTCTTGCCCTTTAGGCTCGGTACTAAATATTTTACTCCTCAGGTAGCTATATCATCATTTTAATCTCAAAGCCAGCAGTAACTGTGTATTGTACAAGGCAAGTTTGAAAACAAAGGGATTGTTTTTTCCAATATCAAAGAGAATTTTAATACTTCAATGTAACAAAGTCCTCATTTGTTACCAAGTAAATGTGAACAAACATATACTTGGAAACAAACTATTATGAGTAAAAATGATGCAGTTAGAACCCATAGCAGATTGGTTAATCTGTGTTTTACTCCTCTTATAGGATCACTTTGTTTGGAACAAGTGCTAAATGGTTGGCTGTAATGGAAGACAGGGGACTGAAGCCAGGTAAGAGTTACAGTTACTGTCAGGTAAGAGTTACAGTTACTGTCAGGTAAAAGTTACAGTTACTGTCAGGTAAGAGTTACAGTTACTGTCAGGTAAGAGTTACAGTTACTGTCATGTAAGAGTTATAGTTACTGCCAGGTTAGAATTACAGTTACTGCCAGGTAAGAGTTACAGTTACTGTCAGGTAAGAGTTACAGTTACTGCATCTCTTACTGCACACTATACGCAGGCTATTCTTTATTTTAAAAAAAACACACCAAAAACATGCATCATCTGAATCTCCCCTATAGTGCACACCAAATTCAAAATTGATTAGGAAAGTGGCACACACTGTATCTTAACTTTTTGTAACTAACTGTGACTTTTTATATGCCCATATTATGTTATGGCGTTCATGTCCGTCTGTCTGTCTGTTAGCTTTTCTTGTGTCCGGCTCATAACTTTAATACTATTAGGCCTAGGATTATCAAACTTTGTCAGCTGATACTTCTTGGATAGAAGGTGTGTCGCGCACTAAAAGTAGGTCGCTCTAACCTTTAATTAAGATGCTATGGCCAAATATGGAAAAATCCTGTCCGGCTCATAACTAGAAAACTATTCGACTTAGAATCATCAAACTTGGCCAATTTATGCATCTTAGGTAGAAGGTGTGTCGCGACCTATTTCAAGGACACTGCAACCTTTAATTTAAGTGAAATTTAAAAATAAAACTGTCTTTTTACTATTAGATTACACAATCCCAAAAAATGCAAGAGTGTTGTAGTATCCTTATTAAAAATATGTTAAATCAAGAAAATACTTATTTTTAGGTCTCCTGAGTCACTCAGGTGACCTATTGCTATCCGTTCTCGTCCGTCGGCGTGCGTCGTGGGGTGTGCGTCGTGTGTTAACATTTGAACATTTTTAGCTTCTTCTCTGAAACCGCTTAACCAATTTCAACCAAATTTGGCATATAGCATCTATGGGTGAAGGGGAACAAAAATTTTGAATTTCATGGCCCCGCCCCCCCTGGGGCCTGAGGGGTGGGGCTAAAACCACCAAAAATAATGCAATATTTAAAAATCTTCTTCTTTACTCCTGGACATCAAGCAGTCAAACTGTTGGCATTTGGCATCATTGTAATAAGCATTGAGTCCTCTACCAAAATTGTGAAATTCATGGCCCCAGGGTCAGGGGTTCTGGTGCTAGGGTGGGGCTATATAGATCATATAGTGAAAGTGCATTATTTCTTTGAAAATCTTCTTCTCTGCTCCTGGGTATTATATAAACTAACTAAGTACATACTTATGAAGAACAAGAGTGCCTCTTTCAAAATTATGAAATTCATGGCCCCAGGGTCGGGGTTCTGTTGTTAGGGCGGGGCTCTATTGATTATATAGAGAAAATGCATTAATTCTTTGAAAATCTTTTTCTCTGCTCCTGGGTATTAAATAAAGAAACTTAGTATATAGTTATGATGAGCAAGAGTGCCTCTTTCAAAATTATAAATTTCATGGCCCCAGGGTCAGGGGTTCTGGTGTTAGGGTGGGGCTCTATTGATTATATATTGAAGATGCATTAATTCTTTGAAAATCTTTTTCTCTGCTCCTGGGTATAAAATAAAGTAACTAAGTACATAGTTATGATGAGCAAGAGTTCCTCTTCAAAAATTGTGAATTTCATGGCCCCAGGGTCAGGGGTTCTGGTGTTAGGGTGGGGCTCTATTGATTATATAGTGAAAATGCATTAATTCTTTGAAAATCTTCTTCTCTCCTCCTGGGTATTAAATGAACTAACTTAGTACATAGTTATGATGAGCAACAGTGCCTCTTTCAAAATTGTGATTTTCATGGCCCCAGGGTCAGGGGTTGTGGTGTTAGGGTGCTCTATTGATTATATAGTGAAAATGCATCAATTCTTTAAAAATCTTTTTCTCTGCTCTTGGGTATTAAATAAACTAACTAAGAACATAGTTATGGTGAGCATGACTGCCTTTTCAGAAATTGAATTTCATGGCCCTTGGGTCAGGGGTTCTGGTGTTAGGGATGGGCTCCATTGATTATATAGTAAAATTGCATTAATTCTTTGAAAATCTTCTTCTCTGCTCCTGGATATTAAATAAACTAAGTACATTGTTATGATGAGCATGATTGCCTCAGAAATTATGAATTTCATGGCCCCAGGGTCAGGGGTTCTGGTGTTAGGACGGGGCTCTATTGATTATATAGGGAAAAGGCATGAATTTTTTCAAAATCTTCTTCTGTGCGCCTGGGTATTTTTCAAACAAAGGAAGTGCATGGTTATGATAAGGAAGAATGCCTCATGGCCCTTGGGTCAGGGGTTCTGGTGAGGGGGGAAGAGCTCTATTGATTATATAGCGAAAATGCATAATTTCTTTCAAAATATTTTTTCTACCTCTGGTTATAAAGTAAAGAAACAAGTGTATAGTTATAATGAGAAAGGGTGCTTCTTCCAGAATTGTGAGTTCGTGGCCAATGGGTCAGATGTTCTGGGGTAAGGATGGGGCTTTATTTATTTAATAATATGGTGAAAATGCATTTCTTTGAAAATCTTCAGTGCTTCTGTGGATGGTCAAGGCAAACAGAGTAAAAGTTTTAATATGCAAGGGTATTTTTACCAGAATTTTGAACACCTGGACCATTTAGTCAAAGTGTTCTAGTCCTGGCCAGGGCTCTTTTAAGTTTTATTCTGCTTAGCAAAGTTATTCCCCTTTGCCATTCACCTTTGATAATTAATCAGTGTAAATAATGTTTTTGAAAGCTTTATAGAATAAGAGAATTATGCAAGATAATTTATTGTATAATAAAAAAGTACTTTCATAGTTTTAATGACTTGGAAATAATAGAAAAATAAACATGAGACAAAAATAACTTATCTTTTTAAATGTTCTTCGAAGGCGAAGAGAGGCCATTGTGAGAAGAAGTAATAATATGGGGTTAAATGATAGACATTTTGTTAATATTCTGCATGGGAATAGTGATAAATGGGGGGGGGGGGGGGGGGCAGAAGATACTAGACCAATTATTTTGTTGATGCTAATCATACTATTTTTCTTGCTTTTGGGCAACAAAGCTTCATTTTTCAGTTTATGGATCCTCTAAATTGTTGTATTGTACTCGGCTGACTGTTAAGGCCCTTGGGCCTCTTGTTTCATTATATACGTTACAGCAATCTATAACAATTGTAATGTTACAAGAGAAATTCCACCTCTCCCATGGGTGTAATTATCAAGCACTGGTCAAGGAGAATTTGATAACAGAAAATTGCATGTCAAATTAGAGAAAAATTAATGTGTTGAGTGTGAGGAGCTAACTGGTAGAGCATCTCTGATCAAGCAGGTGTTGTCTATATCTCTTTGGAACTGGGTAAAAAGAATCAGCCCTGTTGGATTAAATAGTTGGCTAGCCTAACTTTGAAAATGAATTTGTTGAAAAGTAATTAAAACTTATTTGATATTGTATAATAAATTAATTTGATACTGTATAATAAACTAATTGATATTGTATAATATAATTAAAACTAATTATACTTGGGGGGGGGGGGGGGGGTATTGGAATCAGCATGCCCATTGTCTGTATGAATTGCAGCTTAAAACCAGTCTGATATTAAATCTAAAAATAATCAAGTATTTTAAAAAAATGTTTTTATTATGGTAGATAGTCCCTACAAATCTAAGAGTAATGCAGGAACCTTATTAAAAATATTGCATCAAGATTACACAATTTTTTTTTTCTTTTTATAAATGTTTGTAACAAATAAAAAAAAAAATCTTTGTTTTCAAATTTAATATCAGAATGACATAAATATGCATTTTTATTGCACTACAAAGCAGATAGTATGTATAGATCCATTCATCCGTTGGGAGTAATAAGTGGACATGCATCCAGTTAAAGATTAATTAATGAGTTCAGTGTAGGAAGGCTAGCTGTCTCAATCATTTCTGTTAGAGGATCTCTGATCAAGCAGCTCTTATCTGTATCCTTTGGGAATTAGACAGAAGAACTGCTTGTCAGTTTATAGCATATGTCATTTGATGGCCAGCCTTTTATTTTTGATATTAATTTGATATAGATTAAGTTGTTAAGACTAAATTATATTGTTTGATATGACATTTTTAATTAATTTTTTGAAAATATCAACAAATTCAGAGGATCATGTCTCATAAATCTGAAAGCTGGAAAGGGGGGGGGGGGGGGGCTGCAGATGGGCATTTGTCAAGCTCTAACACAAACAGTTGAAGATCTATTATGTAATATTTGCTATAATTAATGCCTATACCACAGGAGATGTATAAACAAATATTACGAGGAATGCAAAAATCATTGAAATCCTTGTATCAAGGTTGACATGATTTTTTTGCACTCTTAACTGTTTATGACAATTGAACAATATTTGACGGGCGTATCATGCTGTGGCGAGCACTTTATTTACCATATCCTTTAACTTTATTTCAAATGAAAATATACATCTTGCATGTCGTAACTAACTGGATACATGTATTCATGTCACAGGGACCACACACAAACTGAAGACTCTAAAGATGATCATGTCCACAGGATCCCCCCTGAAGCCTCAAAGTTATGATTATGTGTACAAGGAAATTAAAAAAGACCTTCTCCTGGCCTCCATATCAGGTATGTAAACAGATTCTTTGTACTCGGTGGATGCAAAATTCAGGAGTTACATGAGAATTTGTTTGAAATTCAAGTATTGTTAAATCAAGTATATTAATAGGATCAAATTTTCATGGTTTGAGGAAAAAATATTGGTTTGTATAGATTTGACTTTGTGGTTGATGAAGTAATGGTATACAAATTTGATACTAAAGTTATAAACTTTAACATTTGGTGATTATTGAATTCGTTCTCTTCATACCATGAAAATAAACAAATATTTTAAAAATTCCCCTATAATTGGTGATTCACAACAATTGTTAGTAATTTTGTGTTAGGAATATAGACATTTTTTAATTTTTCGTCTTTTACTGTAGGTGGCACTGACATCATTGCCTGTTTTATGGGTCAGAACTGGACAGTCCCGGTACACAGAGGGGAGGTTCAGGGCTTTACCCTTGGCTGTGACATGCAGAGCTGGAATGAGGAAGGTAAATGAATCAGTATAGTACTACTATATCAGCAAGTAACAATGTTATCAATTGATATAAATTTGTATCATATTTTGTGAAAGCTCTTTCTAAGTGTTAAAATTGCTATTTATGCAGTAGCATTCAAACTGTACAGCAGTAGTGTACATCATCTAGATGTTTGCTTTTACCTACCTTGTGGAAGGTAATTCAATTCTTGATGATGTAGTCCGATACATCTTTTTCTTGTGTCATAGGTAAGCCAGTGTATGGGGAGCCAGGGGAACTGGTCTGTCTGAAGCCATTCCCTTCCATGCCCGTCTATTTCTGGAATGACCCCCAGGGGGAAAAGTACACTAATGCATACTTCTCCATGTACCCAGGTGAATTTTTGTTATACATGTATTGGATTAGACTCAGTTCTAATATGGCTGATTGAGATGAAATCAATTTACAGTAAATCACTCTTTTATTTGAGAGAAGACTTTTTTTAATTTCATGCATGGCCTTAGGCCATAGCTAATAAATACAAAATTACTTTCTCACAAAAATAAGGTGTCAGAAAAATTTGGTGATCTACAGTAATTGAAGGGTAGACTTTGGTCAATGTATTAATATATTTTAAATTGAATATTGTCGATATTTTCACCTAAAAAGACAAAATAAGTACTAGATACATGTACTGACATAAACATGTACAGTACTATATGAAAATCTGAATATATTTAAGATACCTACAAGTAATTTTGATTGCAAAAAAGGTTTTTTGTAAGTAGTCATAATTCAGTGAACGTCTTGTAGGTGTGTGGGCTCATGGTGACTACTGTTGTATTAATCCTAGGACTGGAGGGATAGTCATGCTGGGAAGAAGGTAAAAACACAATCACTTAGGAAAGCAGATAATTCTTAATTCTGAACAATTTTCATAGCTTTTTTATATCTAAAACTAAGCTTTGAATGTAAGTATGCTAAGGAAGATATGTGTTTTGTGTCAGATTTTCCAAGCATAATTTCTTTAAGAGATTTTTGATACAAAAATCTTTGAATTTCAGTGATGGGGTACTTAATCCTAATGGAGTTAGATTCGGAAGTGCAGAAATCTATAATGTTGGTAAGAACTCGATAATAATATATTGTCAGATCCATTTCATAAAAGAAGTCATCACTGGCTATCAGTGTCTTAAAACCCTTCTGGGTTCCAATAAAAAAAAAAAAACTCCATTAAGAGTTTCAATTACAAAGTGTATCGGCCACACTGATAAAAGAAATATTATTCCATATTTCAGTCGAGTCCTATAAGGAAATACAGGATAGTGTTTGTGTTGCCCAGAGAAAGGCAGATAACTCCGAGGAGAGAGTCATCTTATTCTTGAAGATGGCATCAGGAGCAGATTTTGCCCAGGAACTAGTTAAGAGCATAAAGGTCAACATCCGACATCTTCTGTCTGCCCGACACGTACCAGAGGTCATCCTCCCTATCCAGGACATTCCAGTAAGTAAACACACTCCCTTGTAAAAATAATTTGCCATTCCGGCAGCTCAAACCTACATCAACAAATTGATCACAAAATCAGAGGAGACTCTCTAGATTCTAAGTTTTTTTTTCATTTCATATTAAATTCCCTTCTTAAAAGAGACATTGATATGTAAGTTGGTAGAATGTAGACTTATGAAGAAGCATTCTTTTTTTTTTTCTCTTTTGATGCTTTCCAGTATACCTTTGAGAATAAAAAAGAGTGAAATGGTAAAATATATAGAATGATTTTAAAATATTTTGTACTGATCCTCTTTTGAGATTATTATACAAAGTAGATTGACTTTTAAATTCCGTACAAAAGTATTAATTTTCTATTTATCATTAATTGACAAATGTGTGTATGTATATTAAAAATCTGATGTGTTGTTTTTTTTTTAGTATACAATCAGTGGAAAGAAAGTAGAGGTAGCTGTCAGACGAGCCATTCATGGACAAGAAGTAGTCCAGCGGGGGGCATTAGCCAATCCCTCAAGCATTGATTACTTCTACGACATTCCAGAACTGAAAAAGTACTGAAATGTTATGTTAGTTCAATTATGAACAAAAAATAATCCTGTGATGGAACTTTTAAGTATTATTGTGTGATATGTGGGTCAATTATAACTTCTTCAGTGGGATTTAATTTAATTACAAGGAAATGTAACTGTAATAGCCATGTAATAATGGAAGGCTGTAATTGTTAAATGTGAAATCCTTAATATGCATAATCAGTTTTTGTTGTTGTGACAGCAATGAAATACTCCTGTAGTTGTGTATTATACTTTTGTTTTGTGTTTAAGAACATACATATCGGTTACTGATCTCATTGTCTGTTTCTGCTTCACAGCATCATTTGATTTCCAAGTACTGTGTACCACAAGAAATATTTCTCAGTCACAGATACTTACATCTTTGTTTATACATATAAATTGTTTAAGTTATAAGTTATAATAATAACTTTTTACCCTTTGTACATTGAAATATCATGGTTAAATTAGCAAATAATGTTTCTTTATTAAAACCATTATTTATTATTGTTAACAGTTTATGATGTACTATGAGGGATTAGTAAATATTTAGTGTATAGCCATACACACACGATGAGCATTGTTTTGTTTTATCAAGAAGTTCATTCAAGGGTCTTGTCATGACACCAAGGCATTGTCAACTCCATTGTATTGGGAAAGATGGCATATTAGATATACTAGTGTCGATTGGGCAAATGTTCAATTAACAAACGAAAATAACAGGTGGTGATTTAGCAATTTTGTATAGTGTATACATGATAAATAAAAAAAAATAATATAACATTTTTAGCACTTTTGGTCATGGACTGGAATAGATTATGTAATGGCAGAGTCCATTGTCCGTTTGTTTGAATTTTTCAAAACACCACTCATACTACAGTTTCTGTCTGACTTCACTATTCTGTAATTCAAGAAGACTACTCTAAAATAAACAATCCTTTTTTTGACAATCAATGTTGCCATAGGTACTATAAATGGAAAGTTTAAAATTCTTTTGAAACCCTGTTTCAGTTTTGGTCTTATTTCAATAGAATTTTTTGTGCATGAATAAGATTATAGCAAGTTCCACTAAATATACTTTTTGTTTATGATGTACAGAGTTGCCATAATTTCTAAAAGTAGAAATTCTCACAGAAGGCTTAGTTCGATTTCAGTCAAATTTGGAACACTAGTAAACAATACCAAGATACATGATTCTCTTTATCACTTTTTAAAAATTCAATGAATGAAGTTTCTTTGGTTATTCTAAATACGAGGGTTGTTTGAAAAGTTCGTGGACCATGTCAATCTTCGTTATACTATCTTCAAGAAATTTAAAATGAGCACATTATTATATGTAAAAATATTTATTTTGTTGATTTGTGAAGTTTCATTCCATGTGATTTAATAGAAGTCATGTTATTTAATTTTAAAATCAACATGTTTGGTAACCACGGAGAAACTCAACAACATTGTAATGTCAAACACAAAGCGTCATGAGGTTCTCAAAAATCTCCCTATAATTTCACATAGTATGGCCCAATACCAGTGCACTTACTAAAACCATTTCTTTATTACTTGAAATTTAGTTTGCTAACATTAATTAGTTCCAGTAGCATAATTTTGTTTTTCAATGTTATATATATATATATATATATATATATATATATATATATATATATATATATATATATATATATATATATATAAAGCATTAAAAATGACCAACGACACGAACAATAATTTGACAATTATTATAATTTTTATTATTATTGTTCGTGTCGTTGGTCATTTTTAGTGCTTTATATAAATTTCCATCCGTGACCTTGTAACTACTTAGTAGATCCGACACTTAGGATATACAGTGTTGTTGGTTTTTAGTGCTTTATATATATATATATATATATATATATATATATATATATATATATATATATATATATATATATATATATATTTAAAGAATCACTGTCTAGTTAGTTGAGTATGCCAGGGCATCAACGATAGTTGGAAACGTGGGATAATTTGCATAACGGGCGAAGCCCGTTATGCATAAATTATCCCACGTTTCCAACTATCGTTGATGTCCCTGGCATACTCTACTAACTAGACAGTGATTCCTTATATTTCCATTTCACTGTAAAATAAAATTGCAAATTTAGATTTTAAAAATGTAGAGTAATAGATTTAAATTACAAGAGGCCTCACATGTCAATTTCAATAGTCCCCGCCCACTGACGTCAAACACAAAGAAAGCCGCACGAGAATTACATGTACATTAAGCCCCCTTAGAGTCACACACAAAGACAGCCGCACGAGAATTACATGCATATTAGGCCGTCTTAGCTCCTGACCTTTCGCTTGGCGAAATTTGCATTCCGGTGGAATGATCAAGAAATCAACTCTCCTAACTTTCAAAGAGTTATCACAGAGAAAACAAATAGAAATGGAAATATATATATATATATCGCGTAACTGTGCTTTTACAAGATCAGCAACTGAGAAGCGCCTAACTCTCACCATGACCTTACTTACTTTTTAAAGTTTTTGAACAGATTTTTACAGATAATCCGTTTCTTCACAGATCGTCTTAGTCTGACACAGAGTCTCCATCATTCAAATACCGCCTGTCCCTATTCTCTTTAGAGAAGTGTACAGGCTTTCGCCTTCATCCACGTGGATGTAGGCGAAAGCCTGCCCACTTCTCTAAAGAGAATTCGCCTGTCCCATGTACACACACATACATGGCTCACTTTTGACATATTTTCTACTTCCTCCATGGCCAGCATTTTCAGAGTTTTTTCCTGTAGTGTTCCAGCGTACAACACAAAATTGTATCGTTAACTGCTGTTCCGTGACGTTCTACGACGTCATCGTTTTTTGCCTTTAGAGTTATGTACATGAAAAATGATTGTCATATGACATACTTGCAACTGTGAAAATATAACACTCGTCCACAAATGATATTACATAGGTTGAATCTTGAATTGAAAAGGTACCTCCGATATTATTGAAAAATTGCAATGTCTATGTTTTGCTACTGGAAACCCGAAATATGTGTCCGATCAGAAAGTAAAATAGGAGGTGCACAATGGCACTATGTACCAAAGATTCTATGAAAGTATCATTAAATTTTATTCGGTGGTATAAGAGGAGTTGCGGATAAGATATGAGTACCCCAAAGCGTAACAGACGGACGGGCGGACACCCCCGTCACCATACATCTCCCGCTTTTCAAGTGGGTTGTATAAAAAACAAAATTGGAAAATGTTGGGCTCGATCTAGGAATCACTACATTTACATTCCAGCAATCACACCTATGCGCCAGGAAGTCATTGATGTCAAATGGATAAATTTAAGTGAGATTGCTAAATCTTAAGATAATATGAAAAGAAAAATTAAATATATATTTTGTTCAACATGAAAACCACTTTTAACCAAAATTATCTAAATGTAATGAAATGCAGTCATGTCCAGATAAAATTATTCAAAAGTTTTTCTGGTTGAGGGTGGTCTTTGGCAACAATTTGTCATCGTTTAGGTGGATACCTCAATATTTACTATATATTCCATACAAACTCGATGATTTTCATATTTATCATATATAATGGAACTATTAACATTTAGATATCATTATTATGTAATTTGAATTTACACATTATAAACTAAGGTTGTATGATAACATTTTGCTTAAAAATGCATTTAAGAAATTACTACTAGAGTAATGCACATCAAATGCGCTATGGCTCTTTTATTAGTTGAAATAATTTCTTGTGTCAATAGACTGATAGAGATAAAATCTTATCTCTCAAAGTTCAGAGACAAACCATTTCCCAAAGCGCAACAAAATAAAGAATTAACACTAAACTATAACAGAAACATATCACATATAAGCTGTAAATAAAATAAAATCCTATCCGATTTATATAAAAATATTTTGAGAGGTAAGAACTATGATTCGAAACAAGAAAACATCCAAGTAATATCGTTTTCATTTTGTTATAGCAACTAACAAGGATTATGGCATTTAGTTCTAATAAAGTTGTATACCGACGAGAAATTTAGAGTATTTTGAAAAAAAAGTAGTCAAGTTTGTAAAAAGAAAATTTAATTGATTGCAATATACGCTCACTTTTTATGAAAAATGCATTTAATTGTAGAGATAAAAAGCGATCATTACATTCTGCAATTTTACATTTAATTACATTTGCAGTTTTTTCTACTAAGCCAACAGTGAAATTGATTTGAAAACCATTTTTGTGTATACTCACGCGTAGAAATATACATGGAGAAACTCGCGCTAAAGTGACGTCACAATGAGACTACAGAGACGTTAATAAAGTTATGACAATGTAGGGAAGCAAGAAATTCAAACATTGAGTATATTTTTAGTGCATTTAAACATGTAAAATGTAAATATAAGGAATGTTTTTAAGCTTAGTGTGAATTATTGGTGTGTAAATCACACAGACTTGCACATCTATAGGCATATTTTTCATGAAACGCTAGCGTGCTTCATGAAATATGCCTACGTGACAAGTCTGTGTGATTTACACACCAATAACTCACACAAAACTTAAAAACATTCCATAAATAACTAACACAAAACTTAAAAACATTCCTCTGTGTTAACTTCGATGCAAAATGTAATTACACAAAAAGGTAAATCCCCCCCCCCCGAAAAAAATTGTGTTTTTTATATTTTGCATTACTACTTTCTGCGTTGACCTCGGCGCAAATTGTAGTATTGCAAAATGTAATCATCCAGAAATCGTTTTATAACATTTGCATTTTTAAAATCTGTGTTGATATCGACGCAATATGTAATATACGAAAGCCTATTAGGATCAATCTATGAAGAAAAAAAATAATTAAAAAGCGTTATTGCGCCTTTTACGTCTTTCTAAAAGGCGTTATTATGCCTTTCTAAAAGGCGTTAACTTATTACGTCTTTTGAAGAGCCATTATTATGCCTTAATATGACAGACCCGTGCTTTAGAAAGGGGGGACAACCTCCAAATAAATTGACAAGCAAACAAAAAACAAGAACCCCCCCCATCCCCCGAAAAAACCCTACTAAACTGCCTAAACTCGAGGGGAATCTTTTTATATCTTTTCGGTAAAACTTTTTTTTAAAAGCAATGATTTGCCAGAGTTTTACCATACTGCAACAAAATGTTCAGAGACCAAGCAGCAAATAAATGAATTTTATATTTAAACTATAATAGCAAGACTATTCTCCCAAAAAGTGGGGGATCCCCCCCTCCCCCCACACACACTTGCACACGTACTATCAGCATGTTTGAAAAGGCGTTATATCCAAAAATGGAAATGTGTTATTTTATATTAATAAATACTTGAAAGATTGATTCAAAGCCATCTTTGTTTATGCAATATTTAAAAGTATTTTCTATACTCCTGCACATCTCGCAGACAAATGTTTGCATGCGTATCAAGAGAAGTCAACACTCTACCAGTGGAAATTCAGGATACAGGCTGATGCAGCTTGGGGCTTTGCTTGCCATGTACTAAAAATTTATGTCAATTTCGAATATATTTTTCTCCTCTTGGAAAAAAGCAGGCAAACTGTTTGCATGGGTATAATGAGCAATTAGCCTTCAACTAAATTTGTGAAATCCATGACCCTTGGTAGAGGTGTCTGGCATCAGAGAAGGACTAAGTTGGTTAAACATTGGAAATATATTAAACATTTAAAAATCTTTTTTTCTGGAAATCTAATTACAATACGTTTAAATTATTTTTGAAG